AAGGATCCAGTCTACCACCACCAGGTCAGAACACACAGGCAGTAAATTGCATCTCCAGTTTATTGAAAAGTGAAGCCTCACACTGTAACAAAAGGTGATTTTGACAGATTAAGCCTCATTTTGAATTTCTGTGTGATGTTATTTATTTTATTGCCCTTCTATTTATTTTGTCTGTATCCATGTTTGTTTTTTACAATGCTACTGTTATATAACATTTTGTACATTTTGTGTTAAATTTGTTGTTTTTTTGTTAAATAAACTCTCCCAAGTATTTCACTCACTAATCTCCTGTATGCTTCAGCTTCACTTGCTGAAAATATTTCCACTTGGTTATGCAGATTGTTAATGTAAAGAGGGGGACCCATGTCTTGCTGATGACTATTGTGATCACAGTAGTGTGTGTGTGTGTGTGTGTGTGTGTGTGTAAGTGTGTGAGAGAGAGAGAGACAGGGAGATGCATAATTAGTTTTGTTGTTGTCTGTAGACATCAATAATGACTGGCCAGACCTGTGGAGTGCTAAACAAACAGAAGACTTCAAATCCAAGAACCCCTGGTTGGGATCCAAAAACAAAAAATTGGGTAAGTTTAGGTAGATTGCTAGTTTGGGTAACTTCTGAAACAGTGGGCACAGATAACTTTGTGTGTGTGTGTGTGTGTGTGTGTGTGTGTGTGTAAAGGACCATGCACACGTACAGCTGTGGATACAGGAGTAGTTACATTGTTTGTTTATGCTTCGCAGGATGTCTGGTCTGTAGCAGTGTGAACTCCATTGGGATCGACAAGGAGCAAGGTGTATCGCTCTCAAGAGAATGGATGAACTTTGAAATTCAAGTGTCTGGCCAGGGAAGTAGAACAACAAGTTTGTCAATCTTGAGAAATAAGGTGAGGAAACATGCGTTGTCCAAGGCCCACACTCAGGCTGTGAAGGTGGCAGAGCAACAGAAAGAAGCTGCCATTGAGAATGCAGTGGAGACTATGACTGAGTCCTACATGAAGGAAACTGAAGCTGTGTTTCGAACAGCCTACCATCTGGCCAAAAAGAACCGACCCTTTTCTGACCATGAGAGCCTCATTGAGCTGCAGGAACTGAATGGTGTAAAAATGGGCTCAATACTTCATTCACGTTACAGTGCAACACAAATAATACAACATGTTGCTAGTGAGATGCAGAGCAAAATCATCAGTAGCATTATAGCATCATCCAGTAAGTTAGCTGTCCTAATTGACGAGGCATCTTCTTTAAGTCACAAAGCTGTCATGACAGTTTCTATTAAAGCATCAATTCAAGAAGAAAGCCCTGAGTTCATATTCCTGGAACTTGTTGAACTGGAAAATCAGAGAGCAGATGGCATATTACAGGCGTTACTCACCTGTTTAACTAATGCTGGCTTTACAGAAGAGTGGCTTCATGAAAACTGGGTAACATTTGTATCTGATGGAGCCAGTGTCATGCTAGGAAAGAAGTCAGGAGTAGCAACCAGACTGACTTTGAGATTCCCAAAGCTTTTTGTATGGCACTGCATGAACCATAGACTTGAACTTGCTGTGTCAGATGCAGTTGATGAGGTAAACTCTGTCAATCACTTTAAAACTTTTATCCAGAAGCTATACTCTCTGTATAGTGTGTCAAACAAAAATGAACGTGAACTTGTTAATGCAGCAGCTGAAGTAGGCTCACAACTTCTTCGCATTGGCAGAATCTTGGATGTACGCTGGGTGGCCAGTAGCTTTCGGACTGTTCGTGCTGTTTGGACATCCCTGGGAGCTCTTGTGCAGCACTTTAAAAATGCTTGCAGTGATGAGATGAGGTCCACCAAAGAGAGGCAGATGTACAGAGGTTTGTTAGACCGTGTTCAAAGTCCAGAATTCATTTGTGACCTTGGCCTCATGTACGACACTCTCCATGAACTAAGTCTCCTGTCACAGGAGCTTCAGTCTCGTTCTATAACGCTCCTCAGAGCAGAGCATCTGCTGAAACGCTCAATCAGAGTGATCCAGTCATTCAAAGAGAGTCCAGGTGAGAAATATAGTGAGGCTTTAGAAGCAAAACAGACTGGGGAGTATCGGTCTATAGCCCTGAAAACAAATGCAAAGCTGAAGTCTATCAATCCAGGCCAGTTCTTACAAAGCCTTGTGAACAATCTGGAGAAACGCTTGTCTTTTGAAGATGAGACCATCATGGACCTCAGCATCCTTGATCAGAGTAAGTGGCCATCAAAGCCCAGCATCCGCCATGGTGAAGAACAAGTTAAGCGACTGTGCAAGCGATTTAACTTGTGCACAGACCAAGCACTGAATGGGATGCGGGACCTACTGGAAGAGCCCAGTAGTGAGCCCAAGGACCTAAAACCACTTATGAACTGTATGAAAACATTCCCTGTCGGTACAGCAGAGTGTGAGAGGAATTTTAGCCTTATGAACAATATAAGCTCAGACAAGAGGGCTGTCCTTCTGATCTCAAACATATCAAACTTGATGATGATTAATATCAACGGCCCACCAACTTCCAAGTTTGATCCTAGAGAATATACAAGGACCTGGTTGAAGAGCCATCGTGCTGCCTCTTCGGTGCGTTCTAGACAGTGCAGTGTGAAAGCTCCTGCAGAAAGCAAATTTGTCTGGAATATACTGTAGTATGAGCAAAGGTCAGAAACCCAGTGCTGGGTTGAGAGAGTATATCACTGTTGATGTGTTGTTAATGCATATATTTTTGTTAATTGTTAACTAAATATTGTTGTAACATATTTTGTTGAATGATTTACCGGTAAATGAACATGTTCAAAACAAAGCATATAGCAATATGAACAAGGATGCATTGTCACCTTCAGATTTGAAGTATTTTATTTAAATAAATGTGCAAAAAATAATCGAAACACCATTTCCTGTTTGCCTCATGATAAATACATTTTACATTCATCCAGGCTGCTCTTGTGACCAGTAGTAACTACAAACTGCTCCTAATCAAGTCATGATCATTTTATAATAGTGTGCAAGTAGAAATTACATATTTTTGGGTAAACTAAATCATAGTCTTACATGTCACTGTTTCTAAAACAGGGCTTTTTTCTGGACTACTTAAAAAAAAAAAAGGTGAATACTGAGAGTATACCCACTTCTCCAGGGACCACTACACCACTGCCCATGACTGTTGTAAGAGTAGATCATCTGGGGACTCATTTATAAAACATTTGTTCACACAGATTTGATCACAAATTGCACGTTCCAACGAAATCCAAGCTTTTAAAATCTTGAACTTACACTGTCAAAAAAGTGGACCAAAACTGAGTCAGAAAAGTGGACCAAAACTGAGGCTTAAATGCAAAAACAGAACTGGTTTATTGGGTCATCATGATGCCCAGGAAGTGCAGAAAACATTCTAAAACAGGGGAGGAGTGCTCATAATAATGGCTGAAACTGTAAAAATTGAATGGCATCAAACCATGTGATTGATGTATTTGATACCATTCTACTTATTCCGCTCCAGCCATTACCCCAAGCCCATCCACCCAAATTAAGGTACCACCAACCTCCTGTGGTATTAAAATAATAAAAAGTTTAGTATTTGGTCCCATATTCATAGCATGCAATGACGACATTAAGCTTGTGACTCAACACATTTGTTGGATGCATTTGCTGTTTGTTTTGGTTGTGTTTCAGAATTTTTTTGCCCAATAGAAATTAAATGGTAAATAATGTATTGTGTCATTTTGGAGTCACTTGTATTGTAAATAAGAATATAATATGTTTCTAAACACTTCTACATGAATGTGGATGCTATTATGATTATGGATAATCCTGAATGAATCGTGAATAATGATGAGTGAGAAAGTTAGATGCACAAATATCATAACCCCAAGACATGCTAACCTCTCCTCATTACAATAACAGGGGAGGGTAGCATTGTTGGGGGGGGGGGGGGGGGGGGGGGTGGTATATGTGTGTCTAACTTTCTCACTCATTATTATTCATTAATTCATTCAGGATTATCTGTAATCATGATAGCATCCACATTCATGTAGAAGTGGTTTGAAACATATTCTATTCTTATTTACAATAAAAGTGACTCGAAGATTAAACAATACATTATTTACCATTCATTTCTATTATGGAAGAAGACCAGTTCACATGGCAGAAAGGAGCCATTTCATTGGATGTAGTCTGCAACTAAACCAAAGGCTTTCTTTCTGGCATAGTATTTGGCGGGAGCAGTGTGAACAGACCCTAAAACCACTTCATCTTGAAATGAGGGAGTAAAGCTGCTTTGTAACTAAGTAACAAATCAGGATAAACAAACAAAAAAAGACAAATGTATACAAGGACTGGGTTTATTTACTAAGAAACAGCAGATATTGAAATAGTTCAATGCAATGTAATGCAATGTTCTCTGCACACACACATCTCCCAGCATTCCAGAGAAGAATTGGGAAAAAAAAATCTATACAAAAAAGAAAAAAAAAACCTGGAGAGAAAGTAGCGCTGGTCCGGTTCTTATCATGGTAACAGTATTCTAAATTTGTACCTGAAAACTACAAGCTTAAATCTGCATCCTTGATTCATATTATCTCTAGATAAGCATATATTATATTAATATACAGTTCTCTACCCCCATCAAAAAACCCGACATTTCTCCCGATCAATATAAGTAGCATAAGTAATGACCTTTTTTACAATATACATTGTCTTTAATTACAATATAAACTGACTTGACACAACATAACCAACAGTACAATATTGTTAAAACAAATGGAAAATATTTACTTTGAATCACATAGTTAATCCCTTGTCTTAGCATATGTCATTAATTAGCGTATGTCCGTAATTAGATCAACTAAACAAAAACACTTTAGAGGGGTGGAGAACGACTGAGGCAACCAAGATGGCCGCCAAAATAGCCGACCCCTATCATGGTCGCTAGGAAACATGGGTCGTGTTCATTAGGCACCAAATGGAAAAACACGTACTGAAACAGGGAGGGACTACCTAGACTTGTCCAATAAGAATTGTTTGTTTTTGTTTTCCGTTGCAAAACATTTTGCTATGGTGTGCACTAATGAATATGACCCTGGTGGAGTCTCTGGTCCACGCCAAAGACTCCTAGCCCCAATCCCCACTCCAAAGACTCCTAACCCCACTCCAAACCCCTGTTTGCAGATCTGAAGGAATGAGATAGGTGTACACAGCATGGCAGAAGGTCCCCTAGGCCTGACATAAAGTCTAGGTGGTGCCATCACCTTTTCTTCAGATCTGTTTACACTAAGGGATAGGGCCTAGGAGCAAAGGGTAGATGACTAGGAGCCAGGGAAAGGTGTTAGGGGAAGGACCAAGGGGTTGATTATGGACCAGGCCTTTATCTAGGGGTTTCCTGTCTCCACAGGACAGTGGGTAACATATGTATTCCCTGCACACATGGGTAGTTACACTGCAACATGGGAAATGGAGTTTCCTGAAAGAGTCTGTAAGACTGAATACTGACTGACAGGCGCCAAGAGTCACACACACGGCCAGCCACACAGGAGCGCGCGCACACACACACACACGTGATGTGGAATGTTAAATGGTACTCAACCTACTCGGCTATCAAGGATGAGAAAATCAACAAGGTGCTTTAGATGTGACACACGCAGTCTACTCTGTATGATGTCTACGTGGACTTGTGTCTGTATATTGTCTATTCTGTATGGTGTCTATCTGGACTTCTGTCTGTATATTGTCTATTTCTAGCAGCACCTTCTCACCAAAGCAAATTCTGGGTATGTGTAAATGTACTTGGTGAATAAAGGGATTCTGATACTCTTTGGCAACTTGGCCAAACAAAAGGAATGCATGAAAGCAGACTGGGTCAGGGTTGGCACGCCGCGAGAGAAGTCAAATGGGAGAGGAGACACACAGACACTCACCTCTCTCTCTCATCACAACTCAGACCTACAGCTAAATGTCTGACTGTGCAAAGGCACGGACACAAGCGTTGCATAAGCTCTCTTAAAGGGATAGTGCGAACATTTTCAAATACATATTTATCTCTTTACTGTTGGGTGATCTAGCCCTTTAAGTTCCAATCTTCCCGTAGGTCTCCTTATATACTGTATACAGGCCCTCCATTAGGCCTAGAAAAACAACACGAAAACTACAAATATTTGGCTCTACATACAAATATGTATGTAACTGCTATGTGGGAGTGTATAAAATAAAATATGGACGTATAATCAAACAACTAAAGCAAATCACCAAGAGCGGTGTACACATTTCTGTGCAAATTGGCTTTTTTTGACCACCCTCTGTCTAATGCTTGGATGGACGGATTTTGACAACACACGCACACACACAGGGTTGAAGTGATTTGCTTTGGCACACAGATAGGCTAATAATGAAGGAACAGGCAATGTAACGTTTAGACAAAGGAGGCTGAATTACAACAGGGAGGAGAGGCACACACACACACACCGTGTACACACACACCACGTAGACACACACACAATTGGCATTGATGCGAAACGTATAATGAATGAGGAATACAGCTGAGGATAGTGCAGTAGCCACACACACGCTCATTCCAGCCACGTCCAATCACTGCATAAGGGATTCACTGATAAAAATATATCTAAAGAAAACAAAAAAAGCCTCCTGGTTGGTTGTCTGAGTAACACACATAGTTCTGACAGAGAGAACTTCATTACCCATGAGCCTCCTCTTCCGTTGAACTTTCCTGGGATTTGCTGCCACCTGTGGAACCCAGCCAATAAGAGAGAGGGGGAGGCCGTGAGTGGGGAGATGACATCACACATTGCACAATGACATAATGCCATCCGTTATGACTTCCACAATGGCACTGATGAGGTTACAATGCAGCCCACTATGACATCACAATACCACCCTGTGACATCACAATATGCTCTTTGTGTAGCCTGGTGTACATGTGACTGTTTCAATGCAATGGACACATTTTGGTACTTGTTTCTTTTTGTCAACAGACATGCAGTCTTTACCTCCTGTACACACAGGAGGGGATGAAGGAGAAGGGTGGGAGAATAGCAGCATACGTACCCAGTAGAGAGGGATGGGATAGGGCAGCCACAAAAGGACAGAAAGATGCGACGAGAGATAGAACGAGGAAACAGACATAAGCTTTTCAAGCGCGCACACACACACACACACACACACACACACACACACACACACACACACACCTCTCTTTCCATTCCGCACCCACAAACACACCATCTCATTCACCCTGACCTGATTGCATCTCACTATCTGTAAGATACAAATAAAGGGTACTAAATAAAGGGCACTAAAATAAATAACACTAAGTATTTAGAGAAGAAACAGTCTAAAAGAACCCCCTCTAATTGGGTACGTTCCACACACAAAGCCTTATCCCAGTGTCTGTGAAGGATCTGGTCAAGAGACAAAACTTTCTAAAGGCCGTATTCAGACTTGAAATCTGCATGCTTAACTTTCACATAAACTATTCAGTGATGTCAATAGGAGACTTCAGCAACCATTCAAGCGCATATCTCAAGTCTGAATAAAGCCCTAAATGACCCTCAGGCGCTTTGTGACTGACTGAAAAGAAAATGAAAAATACTATTTTATTTTCTCCCAATGCCTTGGTGTCCTTTCAGTGTGTGTGTGTGTGTGTTGTAGTTGTCATGTCACTGAGGACACTGCATTTCCTTTACCTCATGCACACAGAAAACACTAACAGTAGTTCTCAATGGTGTCAAAGAAGGAAAAGTTTACAGGGAACTCTGGAGTGGCCAGAGGAGAGGAGGAGACAGGGGAGAGGAGAGGAGGAGACAGGGGAGGGGAGAGGAGGAGACAGGGGAGGGGAGAGGAGGAGACAGGGGAGGGGAGAGGAGGAGGAGACAGGGGAGAGGAGGGGGAGACAGGGGAGAGCAGGAGGAGACAGGGGAGAGCAGGAGGAGACAGAGAGGAGGAGCCAGAGGAGAGAAAGAAGAGAAAGAGAGAAGTCTTAGTTCACCCAAAGGGAGTACAGGTTATACATGATGGAGAGAAGTCACAACAGGAACAACCATTATTATTATTATTATTATTATTATTATTATTATTATTATTATTATTATTACTACTACTACTACTATTATTATTATACTTCCATCTTCAGTTTCTCTTCATTCTAGCCCATGGTGTTAGTATAAGGGTGTGTGTGTGTACAGTATGCACCTATGTATCTGTGTGTTACTCCTACCTTGCGTGGCGGTGTTCCTCTCATTGAGAAGCTTGGTCTGACTGTTAGGCAGGATCTTGATCTCAGGAGATTCTGGGTTCTGGCCAACACGCGACGCCATCAGAGCATTCAGGTACTGCATGCGAGTCACCTGGCAGAGGAAGAGTACTGTTAGTCTGACACACACAGAGAAAGACAAACACACACACACACACACACTGACCCGTATGAGCTGCAGGTCAGTGAGGGCGTGGACGGTGTAGTCAGGACAGTAGCTGGATGGGCTGGTGGCATCTCCCATCTCAAATGGATCCCTGGGAGGACGACGCTGGGTCGAAACTGGAGACTGGTGCACTGGACACACACACACACAGGTGAATCAAACACGCACACACACAAATGCTGCCGGCAGCAAATTTTTGTGCCACCCCCAGTAAATTTCTACCACGATGGTGTTGCACTGAAGTTCACAGGAAACTCAAGAGACAGAACTCTGGTGTCAGCTCATTTTGTGCACCCCTGTCAAACTGTGCTGCCTTCAAATACAGCATCAAATAATTATGACACTAACTTTGCATTATGTAATCAAATAATTATGACGCTAACTTTGCATTATGTAATCCAATAATTACAACAGAGTAAATGTAAATGAGTCTGGAACTCATCCTAGAACGGGGTAGGCAGCTAGATTCAGCCACGGAGAGGATGGTCGGGGGGCCAGAACATAATTATAATAATTTGTACACTGCAAATTGACCACAACTAGGCCCAAACATTGAGACACAATCACATACACTACATGACCAAAGGTATGTGGACACCTGCTCGTCGAACATCTCATTCCAAAATCATGGGCATTAATATGGAGTTGGTCCCCCCTTTGCTGCTATAACAGCCTCCACTCTTCTGGGAAGGCTTTCCACTAGATGTTGGAACATTGCTGCAGTGACTTGCTTCCATTCAGCCATAAGAGCATTAGTGAGGTCGGACACTGATGTTGGGCGATTAGGCCTGGCTCTAGTCGGAGTTCCAATTCATCCCAAAGGTGTTCGATGGGGTTGAGGTCAGGGCTCTGTGCAGGTCAGTCAAGTTCTTTCACACCGATCTCGACAAACCATTTCTGTATGGACCTCGCTTTGTGCACAGGGGCATTGTCATGCTGAAACAGGAAAGGGCCTTCCCCAAACTGTTGCCACAAAGTTGGAAGCACAGAATCGTCTAGAATGTCATTGTATGCTGTAGTGTTAAGATTTCCCTTCACTGGAACTAAGGGTCCTAGCCCGAACCATGAAAAACAGCCCCAGACCATTATTCCTCCTCCAACAAACTTTACAGTTGGCACTATGCATTGAAGCAGGTAGTGTTCTCCTGGCATCCGCCAAACCCAGATTCGTCTGTCGGACTGCCAGATGGTGAAGCGTGATTAATCACTCCAGAAAACGCGTTTCCACTGCTCCAGAGTCCAATGGCGGCAAGCTTTACACCACTCCAGCCGACGCTTGGCATTGCGCATGGTGACCTTAGGCTTGTGTGCAGCTGCTCAGCCATGGAAACCCATTTCATGAAGCTCCCGACTAACAGTTATTGTGCCGATGTTGCTTTCAGAGGCAGTTTGGAACTCAGTAGTGAGTGTTGCAACCAAGGAAAGACGTTATTTACGCGCTACAGCACCCGGCGGTCCCATTCTGTGAGCTTGTGTGGCCTACCACTTCACGGCTGAGCCGTTGTTGCTCCTAGACGTTTCCACTTCACAATAACAGCACTTACAGTTGACCGGGGCAGCTCTAGCAGGACAAACTGACTTGACGGAAAGATGGCATCCTATGACGGTGCCACTTTGAAAGTCACTGAGCTCTTTAGTAAGGCCATTCTACTGCCAATGTTTGTCTATGGAGATTGCATGGCTGTGTGCTCGATTTTATACACCTGTCAGCAACGGGTGTGGCTGAAATAGCAGAATCCACTAATTTGAAGGTGTCCACATACTTTTGGATATATAGTTTCTTGTTTTATTCGTGGGAATACTGGGAACAGATTTCCTAAATCAAAAACGTTGTAAAAACATACAACTTATAATTGTTTCTTGTTGTGAAACGTTTTATAACATTTTCCGTTGAGAGCCCTAATGAGCACGACCCAGGTAATGGTACTAGTGAGGTATATACGTATGTGCGTGCTGCAGTTCTGTGTCTTACCTGAGGTTGGCGCTGTGAGTGCAGACACACCGTAGTATGTGAACGCTCCGTTCTCAAACTTCAAGCCCTCTTTACCGATCTCAACCTCCACACGCCCCTACAGGGACATAGTCAGGTACCATAAAACATGCGCATGTGCCAACACACACACTGACCTGAAGGAGCAGTATGAAGTAGTCTACGGGGTGGTTGTGTGTGAAGAGGTAGTGGTCACCCACACACACACAAAATACACACACACTGACCTGAAGGAGCAGTATGAAGTAGTCTACGGGGTGGTTGTGTGTGAAGAGGTAGTGGTCACCCACACACACACACAAAATACACACACACTGACCTGAAGGAGCAGTATGAAGTAGTCTACAGGGTGGTTGTGTGTGAAGAGGTAATGGTCACCCACACACACACAAAATACACACACACTGACCTGAAGGAGCAGTATGAAGTAGTCTACGGGGTGGTTGTGTGTGAAGAGGTAATGGTCACCCACACACACACAAAATACACACACACTGACCTGAAGGAGCAGTATGAAGTAGTCTACGGGGTGGTTGTGTGTGAAGAGGTAGTGGTCACCCACACACACACACACACACTGACCTGAAGGAGCAGTATGAAGTAGTCTACGGGGTGGTTGTGTGTGAAGAGGTAGTGGTCACCCACACACACACAAAATACACACACACACTGACCTGAAGGAGCAGTATGAAGTAGTCTACGGGGTGGTTGTGTGTGAAGAGGTAGTGGTCACCCACACACACACAAAATACACACACACTGACCTGAAGGAGCAGTATGAAGTAGTCTACGGGGTGGTTGCGTGTGAAGAGGTAATGGTCGGGGCTCAGGCGGTTGGAGGGGTCAAAGTGGACTTCCTGGTTGACACTGGGGTGACGCAGCAGGTGGAATAACACCTTCTCTGACACACGGGCTGGACTGAAGTGCTCTACCTCTATAAGGGGACATGGACACACACACACACAGCACCTTCTCATGACCTTTCCAGAACACAAACTGATTGCATTGCTTTGCTCAAGCGTGCTGCCTAATACACAGGTCTGTGGAGCTTTAGTTATCCAATACATTTGTGTAGGGCTGGGGCAAAAGCCTGCAACTATCCAGGAGCAGGGTTGGCGAGCCCTGGCCTATGGTTTCATCACTGATCAAAAGCATACTAGTTTGTCTAACAAACCTTCCATCTTGTCTTTTCTATTGTAATTAGCTACACTATTCTATTGTAGTCTACATTCTGTTCTATTTTCATTCCAAACCTTAGTGGCTAAAGGTGAATCTATGTCAAGCAGCTGAAGAGGACAGAGAAAGGTCAAATAACATCCACCCACATCCAAAGTGTAGTCCTATAATGCAGACAAAATAACTATCCAGGTTGAATATCCATTCCTGCATATTTTCCACCGTGAAGACTTATCGTTTGTATCCATTAACTTCTGTTACAGTGATGTAATATTACCAGTGGTGTTAAACTGTTACTGTCCTGGTAAACCACTGACTCATGACATAAGTGTGTGTGTGTGTCTCCGTGTGTTACGCGCATGCGCACACACACACACACACACACACACACACACACACACACACACACACCCACCCACCTCTGGACAGGAAGCGGTGTGTGGCCAGCAGTAGCTGAGGTGAAGTGCGGATCTTGGGTTCTCCCTCTGGGAGTTTGAACAGAGAGAACTCTTCGTGGACGCTGCGAGGCTCCAGAGGGATCTCCAGAGGGGCCAGCGGACGCTTCACCTTCATGTCCACTACAGAGAGAGGGGGTAGGGGTTAGTGGACAGGGAGAGCGGTTAGGAGTGAGGGGAGAGGGATTAGGTGACAGGGAGAGGGGTTAGGTGACACACACACACTCGCTCTCTCTCTCTCCCACACAGACACACACACACACACAGCGCACACACTTGCAAGCCCATACGGACACACACAATCTCGGTCTCTCGTGCTCTCTCTCTTACTGTAGCCGTCTGACTCATCCAGGATCTCTGATTTGATGATCTCCTCGATGACGTCCTCCAAGGTGACCAATCCCAGCACCTCGTAGAAGGGATCGCCCTCCCCCTCGTTGTTCACCTTCTGAACGATGGCCAGGGCAGAGTTTCCTGGAGAGAGGGGGGTGAAAGGGGGTAAAGGTCAAAGTTGAGGAGAGCTGGGTACCTTAGTGGTGAAATTGCAAGCCAACCACAACTTTGGCTTTTCACATTAGTCCACAAGGTAGGTCTATGCAGGTGTGACGTTAAAGAAATTGACTTGATGTTGTGGCTATCTTTCAAAAAGTATCACCACACACACACACGTATTAACACACGCACACCTTTCTTGAACTCTTCCAGCATAGCGTCCAGTTTGGTGTCGTTGAAGACAAAGTGCAGAGGGTGATTGTAGAACTTGGTGATGGTCGTCATGGGAGTACAGTCGTCAGGGTCGACCAGAGCCAGGTCCTTGACAAACAAGATCTCCACGATGTTAGACCTGAATAAATTACATTAGATACCTGTTAGTGTGTGTGTATATGTTCCTATGTGTGTGTTTGAATGACCCACCTGTCTTTTCTGTAGACGGGATGTGTGTGTATGTTTCTTTAAGTGTATGTCCCTTTGTGTCTGTGTGTCAGTGTGTGTGTGTCCTTTGTGTCTGTGTGTCAGTGTGTCAGTGTGTGTGTGTCCCTTTGTGTCTGTCCCTTTGTGTGTGTGTGTGTCCCTTTGTGTCTGTGTGTCAGTGTGTGTGTGTCCCTTTGTGTCTGTGTGTGTGTGTCCCTTTGTGTCTGTGTGTCAGTGTGTGTGTGTCCCTTTGTGTCTGTGTGTCAGTGTGTGTGTGTCCCTTTGTGTCTGTGTGTCAGTGTGTGTGTGTCCCTTTGTGTCTGTGTGTCAGTGTGTCAGTGTGTCAGTGTCCCTTTGTGTCTGTGTGTCAGTGTGCGTGTGTCCCTTTATGTGTGTGTGTCAGTGTGCGTGTGTCCCTTTGTGTCTGTGTGTCAGTGTGTGTGTGTCCCTTTGTGTCTGTGTGTCAGTGTGTGTGTGTCCCTTTGTGTCTGTGTGTCAGTGTGTGTGTGTCCCTTTGTGTCTGTGTGTCAGTGTGTGCGTGTCCCTTTGTGTCTGTGTGTCAGTGTGTGCGTGTCCCTTTGTGTCTGTGTGTCAGTGTGTGTGTGTCCCTTTGTGTCTGTGTGTCAGTGTGTGTGTATCCCTTTATGTCTGTGTGTCAGTGTGTGTGTGTCCCTTTGTGTCTGTGTGTGTGTGTCCCTTTGTGTCTGTGTGTCTGTGTGTCCCTTTATGTGTGTGTGTGTTGAGCCCATCCACCCACTTCTCCTCTTCATAGATGGGGACTCGTGTGTATCCACTCTGCATGATCTCTGACATGGTGGAGAAGTCCAGCACAGCGGTGGACGGCAGCATGAAACAGTCCTTCAGCGGAGTCAGGATGTCCTCCACTGTCTTCCTGCGCAGCGCACCACGGCTAAACTCTTCCTTCACAAACTCACTGCAAATCACAATGATGACAAACGATAACGATGGATTATAACATTTACCATTTACTAGGTGTCAAAGAACTTTACAATCCCAAATCAACCCCTAGCTCCTAAACCCTAGACGGGGGGTAGTCAACTCCAGTCCTGCAAGCTTTTCAGCCCAGTACTCGCAAACCTGATCAGTTGTGTATATGTTGGGCTGGAACAAAAGCCTGCCCCTGTTGGTCACCATGGCTAGATGTAGATTTTGTTTACTGCAGTATGGGAATAATCATACACACAGTAGTCCTATAGATCAGTGACATAGCCGTGTATGGCAACCATGGACATAACACACGGTCATACAGATATGTGTGTGTTTGTGTGTGTCACGTACCTGTAGGGGTCGTTGACGTTGGTGCGGATCATCTCCATGGCCCTCTCCCTCACGCCGCAGGTGCTGATGTCACGTCTCAACACCAGGTCCAGCACCAGGCCCAGTGGGCACGACAGTGGGCACGTCAGCACCATACACACCTGGCAGAGGAAGATGGAACCTGTTCAATTCTACCTTCTTGTTAAGAAAAAAATGTATATGGGGCTGCTAGGAGCCACCGGTCTCACTAGATGCTAGAGGACAATGGGGTTGTGTTCATTAGGGCACGCAACAGAAAACGTTTTAAAATGGAAAACGAAAATGAGCATTTCTTATTGGACAAGTCCAGGTATTTCCTCCCTGTTTGAGTCGGTTTTCTCCCGGTTGGTGCCTAATGAACACGACGCTTGCCTTCTGTTAGGTTCCATACAGACCTGTGCCAGCCAGGTGAAGCCTGGGGCTAGCTGGAAGCCGTAGCCGGAACACACTATGTGGGGAACAAGCTCTGACACCAGGAAGATGAGGAACCCGCTGGTGAAGACGGCGGGCGCTATGGAACCCAGGACCCTGTAGAGCAGCACACCGAGAACCGAGTGGCCCAGAGCGCACAGGAACAGCAGAGAACACACCTAGAACCGAGAGTGGGGATGGTGTGAAGTTAGTGTGGATTTCAGAGTGATGTCCTTACATCTGAATATTGAGAGGGTAGGGCAGGGGTCTCTGGTCTTGGATGTGCAGGCTTATATTCCAACCTAGCACTAACACACAGGGTTGGGGAGTAACTGATTACAACAACAAAACTAACTGTAATCAGTTGCGTTACCCGCTAAAATATTGGAATCAGATGAGATACTTTTGAAAAACTGATTACTTCTTGGATTACTTTTAAATTCAGAAAGGATGTTTGTGAAAAAATACATCATGACACCTTAATGTTTTCTCAATGACATTCAATTGAAAGGTGCACGTTTAAGTTTGTGCCACCTGAGCAAGTTTAACCCCAAGTCAGAGACTACTATGATGACACACCAAATACGTTTGATGGATCCCTTTTGTCTTCTTCTAATGCCTCTTAAAGGAAATGTAATCCAAAGTGACTGAAAGTAATCAGATTACATTACTGAGTTGGGGTAATCCAAAAGTTACGTTACTGATTACAATTTTGGACAGGTAACTAGTAACGGATTACATTTAAAAAGTAACCTACCTAACCCTGATAACACACCTGTTTCAACTAATTAAGGTCCAGACACGAGCTGATTATTTGAAACAGGTGTGTTAGTGCTGGGATGGAACAAAAGCCTCTACACCCAATAGCATAGCTCTACAGGAGGGGTGTAAATTTGGGACCCATGCACCCTAATTATCTGAGGGGCCAAAATGTGAGAATGTAGCATTTTTCAAACATCTGAAACAGCTTTTTCCTGCAATCTAGAGCCATAATCATTATTCTTAATTCGATGTAAAAAAATATATATTTTCCTGCATATCTAAGCATACCTCTCGAGTTGTCCTTTTTTTTAAAGAAACAAAATATGCAAAATATGCTCAAATCTGGGTAAAACTTTGAAAGGAATGCGAGTTTTATTCAGTACATTTAGTTATTGTTTGCTTTTCTAAAGTCTACCAACCTTGACAGCAGGCATGCCAGCTAAGGTAGACAAGCTAGCTACTCTAACTTGATTGATAGCATTAAATTGCTACTTGGTAGCTAGTTATGAGGTTGGGAGATTGGAAACCTATCTGGGCTAGCTAACGCCAACTAAATAAAAATGCTAAGTGGCTAGTAGTATTACAGAGAGAAAAAAACATGTATTATATATTTTTTATATAAACAGGAAAAATCTTAAGGGGCATGTGCCCATGTATCCCCTATGGGCATCACACCTCTGACCCCAGGTCTAATCATTGTGTGTGAGTTGTAGTAGTAGTAGGGACCCACCAGGCAGTTGCCTCGTCTCCGGATTGGCTCGAGGCGCTTGGCGGTCCGTTTGTCCTCCTCGGAGCCGCAGCTGTGGAAGACGTAGAGTTCCAGGGGGTCCAGCCACAACAGGCTGAGGTTGACGCTCCTCAGCACCCCGCACACCAGGATCAGCAACACGATCAGCACCGCCAGACCCCACGGAGGGATGTAGTCCGCCAGAAGACCTGTGTCGTTGTTGATCTGCAGCCTGTCCGGTCCCACCGACACCCAGCTTCCGCTCTTCAGCACGCACAGGTGGTGGTAGGTAGGTTTGGCATCATCCACTCCTCCGGTGGAGGATGCAGCGGGAGAGCTGCTGCTCTTGTCCCGCGTCTGTACCGTTATCAACCCACTGTACTCCTCGTCCGCTGTGAACTCCCCCGTGACCTGGAAGGCGGCGGAGTCACGGCGGGTCTCCTGCTCGCACGGGTCGGCTGTATCCTCCACCGCCCCGGTCTCCTCCTGTCTTGCCCCAGCGAACGCCACCCACGGCCAGGTCCCATTTAGATCCCAGCCGAACAGCCGAAGCTTGAAACTGGCCCCTTGCGGCGCAGAGATGATCCGCTCCTTCATATACACCTGGCCTTCTGGGTCCTCCAGTCGCAGCCCCAGAACCCACGGGTCTTGCTGGGTGCAGGCGCCGTCCCTGGTCCTCCAGCAGAGCAACAATATCATCAACAAGAACCGTAGGTCTGCCAAGCTGGCCACCATATTGGAATTGGGCAGCTGGGCTTTGCGCGAATCATGTGACTGCCTGCCGGTGTCGCAGCTGCCCGCCCACCGAGGCTCTGCGAGCCACACAGCGCTCAGAAAGAAACTGGTTCCCTTTCGACGCCATTTTGGGGAGAAAGTGCATGAGCTTAGTGTCGTGCACTGCTCTCATTCGGAGCCGCAGTGGACGTAGTTTCCTCTTTAAAAAAAAACACCTTCTCGGAAATTGACCAATGAGTCTATGGCTGATGACACCCAATCAAGAAAGCGGGTTGTACCACGCCCATCTTTGTTTGGAGTCTTAAAAACAAGTCAGCTTCCAGCCAAATGTAAAGGGTCCTTGCTATGTGGGATCCTTGGGACGTCCCCCCCTCCAATACCCATACCTAACATTTTAAATGGTTAGGTATGGTTAAGGTTTAGGGTAAGGATGTCCCATGGATCCCAGATAGCACTGACCAAAACTTAAAGGGGCTTCATCAATATTCCTTGACGCATAATAGACATAAACGCATAATGCTAAATGACTAAATTATAATAGAGACCATTTAGGCAGCCTAAAGATTATGTAACTGCATGTTGTTAAAGCATTATTTAGTCATCCAGATTTTCCTGACTTTTGCTTTCCTCCATTTGATGGATATTGTCATCATCAGCTTTGTTCTGCACAGTGAAAACAATAGGCCTACAAAGGAGCGTTCAACTATGTTATTTCAGGATCCCTGTGAGTCCAAGTACAGAGCTCCAGGTAGAAGTTTCCTTTTGGCACAGATTTAGAATCAGCTTACCCTCCTTCAACTCCTAACCCTGATCGCAGATCAGTTTAGGACCAAATGCATTATACTCTGTACACTAAGACCGCTACAGATGTCTCCATCTGAGACAAAGCCATCCACTGGAGGATACAATCACCACTAAAGAAGCCTAAACAGTCACACCCAGCACCACACTGACTAGGCAAGTTAAAACATGACTGATTAAGGGTCTGCCACAGAGCCAAACGCTGTAGTTATGTAACCCCAATGAAAACACAGCATAAACGTGCAGTGGAAGGGTTAAATTCCTATCTTCATGTAGCTACCTGCATACTTCTACTTTCTGAAAAACTGTCTTTGACAAACTGAACTACATGACTTTGTGCTGTTGGAGTTATATGCGTCACAAAGAGAGCATTTTTGTTTACCTTTTGTTACTTGGCATTGACAAAAAGTAAGGCTAACAGTCACTGATGTTTGCCATCGGTGTGGCCTACTGTTGACATTACTATTGTGGGAATTTCTTTAACCTTTTCTATACGTTTGACACGTCTAGGTGGGATAAACAGTGAACACAGACTGTGACAAAAAGAGCACAGTAGACACAGCAGTTTACATAGAGAAATATATCTCAGGTTTATTAACCCTATATCGACTTCTTCAAAACTCCATACAGATTCATTATTATAAAACAGTAAGTACACATTGCTTACCACAGAACGTATTGCTGATCAGTCATTAAACATGAAAGTCGTTGTAGGACACAAGCACTCCAAACCCTAACTTCATGTAATAAATAATATAACATTTCGAACTCTGACCGGCTTCTCGTGGAAGACTAGCAGAGAGAAAACTGAGAGAGATCAGTGTGAACCTGGAGGCCAGACCCCTAGTCTCTGTCAGACTGTTCAGTGTGTGCTTATGGGTCTCTCTGAGTAAGCGGTATTAAACTGTCTAAAGAAACATTGTACCCATTCTAATTTAATGCACAAAAAGCATCCTTCTTGGAGGACAGTTCTATTCTATTTCATAGTGGGGGTCTGGCTCTCAGTCTAGCAGTATGGCACTAGCCTGTTCCCAGATCTGTGTGTGCCGTCTTGCCAACTCCTACACTGAACAAAAATATAAACACAACATCTAAAAAGTGTTGGTCCCATGTTTCATGAGCTGAAATAAAAGATCCAAGACATTTCATATGCGCAAAAAGCTTATTTCTCTCAAATTTGTTTACATCCCTGTTAGTGAGCATTTCTCCTTTACCAAGATAATCCATCCACCTGACAGGTGTAGCATATCAAGAAGCTGATTAAACAGCATGATCATTACACAGAACCGTTTTGCTAGGGAACAATAAAAGGCCACTAAAATGTGCAGTTTTGTCACACAACACAATGCCACAGATGTCTCAAGTTTTGAGGGAGCGTGTATTTGGCATGCTGACTGCCGGAATGTCCACCAGAGCGATTGCCAGAGAATTGAATGTTAATTTCTCTACCATAAGCCGCATCCAATGTCATTTTAGAGAATTTAGCAGTACGTCCAACTGGCCTCACAACCACAGACCATGTGTATGGCGTCGTGTGGGCGAGCGTTTTGCTGATGTCAACGTTGTGAACAGAGTGCCCCCATTGTGGCGGTGGGGTAATGGTATGGGCAGGCATAAGCTACGGAAAACGAACACAATTGAATTTTATCGATGGCAATTTGAATGCAAAAAATACAGTGACTAGATTGTGAGGCCCATTTTTTTAAAGGTATCTGTGAGCAAGAGATGCATATCTGTATTCCCAGTCATGTGAAATCCATAGATTAGGGCCTAATGAATTCATTTCAATTGACTGATTTCCTCATACAGTGGGGGAAAAAAGTATTTAGTCAGCCACCAATTGTGCAAGTTCTCCCACTTAAAAAGATGAGAGAGGCCTGTAATTTTCATCATAGGTACACGTCAACTATGACAGACAAATTGAGGAATAAAAATCCAGAAAATCACATTGTAGGATTTTTAATGAATTTATTGGCAAATTATGGTGGAAAATAAGTATTTGGTCACCTACAAACAAGCAAGATTTCTGGTTCTCATAGACCTGTAACTTCTTCTTTAAGAGGCTCCTCTGTCCTCCACTCGTTACCTGTATTAATGGCACCTGTTTGAACTTGTTATCAGTATAAAAGACACCTGTCCACAACCTCAAACAGTCACACTCCAAACTCCACTATGGCCAAGACCAAAGAGCTGTCAAAGGACACCAGAAACAAAATGGTAGACCTGCACCAGGCTGGGAAGACTGAATCTGCAATAGGTAAGCAGCTTGGTTTGAAGAAATCAACTGTGGGAGCAATTATTAGGAAATGGAAGACATACAAGACCACTGATAATCTCCCTCGATCTGGGGCTCCACGCAAGATCTCACCCCGTGGGGTCAAAATGATCACAAGAACGGTGAGCAAAAATCCCAGAACCACACAGGGGGACCTAGTGAATGACCTGCAGAGAGCTGGGACCAAAGTAACAAAGCCTACCATCAGTAACACACTACGCCGCCAGGGACTCAAATCCTGCAGTGCCAGACGTGTCCCCCTGCTTAAGCCAGTACATGTCCAGGCCCGTCTGAAGTTTGCTAGAGTGCATTTGGATGATCCAGAAGAGGATTGGGAGAACGTCATATGGTCAGATGAAACCAAAATAGAACTTTTTGGTAAAAACTCAACTCGTCGTGTTTGGAGGACAAAGAATGCTGAGTTGCATCCAAAGAACACCATACCTACTGTGAAGCATGGGGGTGGAAACATTATGCTTTGGGGCTGTTTTTCTGCAAAGGGACCAGGACGACTGATCCGTGTAAAGGAAAGAATGAATGGGGCCATGTATCGTGAGATTTTGAGTGAAAACCTCCTTCCATCAGCAAGGGCATTGAAGATGAAACGTGGCTGGGTCTTTCAGCATGACAATGATCCCAAACACAACGCCCGGGCAACGAAGGAGTGGCTTCGTAAGAAGCATTTCAAGGTCCTGGAGTGGCCTAGCCAGTCTCCAGATCTCAACCCCATAGAAAATCTTTGGAGGGAGTTGAAAGTCTGTGTTGCCCAGCGACAGCCCCAAAACATCACTGCTCTAGAGGAGATCTACATGGAGGAATGGGCCAAAATACCAGCAACAGTGTGTGAAAACCTTGTGAAGACTTACAGAAAACGTTTGACCTGTGTCATTGCCAACAAAGGGTATATAACAAAGTATTGAGAAACTTTTGATATTGACCAAATACTTATTTTCCACCATAATTTGCAAATAAATTCATTAAAAATCCTACAATGTGATTTTCAGGAAAAAAAAATCTAATTTTGTCTGTCATAGTTGACGTGTACCTATGATGAAAATTACAGGCCTCTCATCTTTTTAAGTGGGAGAACTTGCACAATTGGTGGCTGACTAAATACTTTTTTCCCCCACTGTATGAACTAATTCAGTAAAATCTTTGAAATTGTTGCATGTTGCGTTTATATTTTTGTTCAGTATAAAGTAATTGGTGTGACAATGGCCACATAGTAGCTGGCAGACAGCCCAAACAGATCTGGAATCAGGCTAGTATGGCACCCTCGTGTCTCCTCAGTCATCACCTCTACCAGCCACCGGTGAGTCAACCACCCACAGTGGAAAAGCTGTCTCTGGTCTGAGAATACAGCACCAGGAATCTTTAAACCTCCCGGTCTATGTCCCAGGTCTAATCACCACACTTGGGCTGAGCTAACAACCACACAACAGAGCCTGGCTGCCAGTTAAGCTTTGCCGTCCCGCCAGGAACCAACCACCAGCTAGAAGGAGCTGGACATTAAAAAAAAGCTTATAGGACTGTTCAGACCAGCGGTCAAGGAATTTCAACATTACTTGACCGGCGGGAGGGAGGAGGGGAGCGTAGAAGCTGGGGGAGAGGGTAAAGAAAGGAGCAGAGAAGAGGCTAGAAGGAGGGGAGGAAGAGAGGAAAAAAGGGGGTTGAGGGAAGGGAAGGAGGGGAGAAGAGGGGAGGAGAGGAAAGAAAATTGGGAAAGGAAAAGAGGGGAAGGAGGCATGGTAGTCTATCCAGACAGACAGCTACCAGCTAGCTAACAGCTAGCTATGCTACCACGGTGCTGTGACTTTGGTCATTCATGTCAAATGGTCAGTGTTACTAAATGCTACTTCAGCTAGGGGAAAAAATTATTGGAGAGAAAGAGAAATGTTCTTTGAGGTCAAATCCAAGCAATGTTTTTATTGCTATTTCAATATCTTCCTAGTAAAATGTCTTAGTCTAAGGAGATATACATTTTTATCTCTGATAAGTATTCTCACAGAGGCTACTTTATACATGTGTTCCATATAGGCATCCTCGCTTACTCCCATTACACACAATATAGCAGACAAATGCCAGTTTCTTCATATACAGTAGTATTTACAGTAACATAATACAAGCAAGAAATATATAACATCTCTTCGTCTGTCACAATAACCCGTTGACAGACGCGATTGTTGTAAATGGAAGCCCGTTTCACGAGAGAACACATAAAAATAACTGAATATTATTACTTTTCAAATAAATACATTTCTAAGTAGTCGAACAATGCTTTCATAACATCACCGTTCCCAGTACACAGACTAGGAGCATCACAGCCAACCAGTGGCTAGACTTGAAACCAGACCAGTGCTGTAACAAAACCAGTAAGACCCAATGCTACAAGTGACCTATGTGAACCAGCAGTCAGGTCTAGGGTTTCTGGGTGTAGTAGTGTGTAAGGCTGCGCCCACCATAGACTTAGAAATCCTAGAATGGACGACCCCATTCAATAGCCTGTACTGAGGGGCTTGTGTCTGTTCTATTCATTCTAATATGTGTTATACTCTTACAATTCAGGTATGAACTCTTCCCTGTGGAACAGATTTTACAGAAATGCTTTGGAATAAATACTTAGTTCTACCTCAGTTTGTGATTTTCTTACCAAATTCATATGTGTAAATCAATCTTTTATCTAGTTGTTTTTCTTCATGTTGACAGTTGCTTGAGTTACTTCATATATTTCTGGGGCTCAAGATATGTAGATTTTCATGATAGCAGTGTTATATGTCTGGTCTGCTCTCCATCCATAAAGAATGCATGGTGAAGGAGACACACATAGTCATCTCTAAACTGTGTCCACTCCTCTGGAGGAGAGTACAGTCCTATAGTTCCTCTATATATAGTCCCGTGTAGCTCAGTTGGTAGAGCATGGCGTTTGCAACCCCAGGGTTGTGGGTTCGATTCCCACGGGGGACCAGTATGAAAATGTATATACTCACTAACTGTAAGTCGCTCTGGATAAGAGTGTCTGCTAAATGACTAAAATGTAAATATATGTGTTATAGACACCATATCTACCCATAGAGAGCACGCCTGGGCACAGAGCGTGTAACAGTTTCATTTATAAACACACAATAAAACCTACATCACATTGAATCTGAATGGTCAATTGTGGATCCCCTGTTTTGGAATGTCCTTTTTGGAGTACATACAATGTAAATGGGAAGGGAACATTGTAGTGGAGGTGGCATGCCTTTTTTCAGGTCATTAGCAGTGCCAACCACCACTCACTGATTGTAACATCACATAGTAAAACTCTCAATTCTAAAGTTCATTGTGACATCACCCCTGAAAACAGTGAATTCTATATTCCATTGTGACATCACACAGTAATACTCTGAACTCTAAACTCCATTGTGACATCACTCCAAAGCAGCCAATAACGTTAAACCACAGTGTCTCAGACACCCAAGTGCTATTCCACTGCTTATGTGAAATGATATAAACAGGAAAAGAAGCTAGTATCTTAGTGGAATTGAGCTCTGTTCCCAGTTAGGTGTGTAGGTGCTAGGGGGAGTTGGTTGCAATACAGTAGTAAAGTCTGTTCTGGAGTGTCAGTGTCATTAGTCACAGTACATGGAGTTTTAGTCTAAAACAAAATAAAAATCTATAGAATATAAAACATTTGACAAATAAATCTCTCTATATATACAAAGTAATGCAAAATAAATATATTACTATTTATATTTAAATAATTAATCATATAATATACTTCACATCTCTGGTCAGGAGGTGGGTCTGTGTTAAACAAACCCACCTGTCAGTCAATCAGTCAGCCAACTCCTCCCTTCCAGTAACCCCACCCCAGCCTGATAGGGTCAGGTGGTCAACCACTTCTAGTGTGTTTCATTCCACAAATGTTCCAAAATGAGGTGCAGCCCAGGAGGTACACACACAAATCCTTACACTCCTGTTGAGCCCTTGTGTAAACAGACCCCAAACACAACAATCGCTATCTTTAACAATCATCTACTCACAACCATCTAGTTCAGTTTTTTGGGAAATCGCCATCTTTGGAAAAAAGAAAGAGAACAAAAAAAACTAACCAAGATTCTAGGACTCCCTCATGAGAATGTTCCATTTGTGTTGGGGGAGGGGGTTTGAAGGTCGTTGCCATGGAAATATGTGGGCATGTGGGAGGGGAGTGGGACAGAAAGTGTTTTAGAGAGAACACACAGGTACAGGTGTGTGGGTGAGGGTTCACAGTGAACACTAAGCTAAAAATGCATGAATCTCTACATCTCTCAATATCGCTACATTTCTCTTTAAAAACATATTTTTCAGGTCATATTATATACTATACCCAAAACCTGAAGAATTAACACATATTATAAACATGCTATACGTTGGGGTGTATATCACCCCCTCCTCACCCACATAGCTGATCCCAGGCTGTGTCTGCAGCATCCGTAATGCTGACACACACACAGACACACGTATTCACACACACACATAACCGTATGACAGAGACTAGATACATCACACATGGCCGCTGCACTAGTGCGTAATGCACCAGCGTTCCTGGTCTCTTTCTGCTCCCATCTTGAGAGGAGGGTGGGAGGATAGGGGACAGGGGAGGGTGGGGAGGATAGGGGACAGGGGAGGGTGGGAGGATAGGGGACAGGGGAGGGTGGGAGGATAGGGGACAGAGGAGGGTGGGAGGATAGGGGACAGGGGAGGGTGGGAGGATAGGGGACAGGGGAGGGTGGGAGGATAGGGGAAAGAGGAGGGTGGGAGGATAGGGGACAGAGGAGGGTGGGAGGATAGGGGACAAGAGGAGGGTGGGAGGATAGGGGACAGAGGAGGGTGGGAGGATAGGGGACAGGGGAGGGTGGGAGGATAGGGGACAGGGGAGGGTGGGAGGATAGGGGACAGGGGAGGGTGGGAGGATAGGGGACAGGGGACAGGGGAGGGTTGGGAGGATAGGGGACAGAGGAGGGTGGGAGGATAGGGGACAGAGGAGGGTGGGAGGATAGGGGACAGGGGACAGGGGAGGTTGGGAGGATAGGGGACAGAGGAGGGTGGGAGGATAGGGGACAGAGGAGGGTGGGAGGATAGGGGACAGAGGACAGGGGAGGTTGGGAGGATAGGGGACAGAGGAGGGTGGGAGGATAGGGGACAGAGGAGGGTGGGAGGATAGGGGACAGGGGAGGGTGGGAGGATAGGGGACAGAGGAGGGTGGGAGGATAGGGGACAGGGGAGGTTGGGAGGATAGGGGACAGGGGAAGTTGGGAGGATAGGGGACAGAGGAGGGTGGGAGGATAGGGGACAGAGGAGGGTGGGAGGATAGGGGACAGGGGAGGGTGGGAGGATAGGGGACAGGGGAGGATAGGGGACAGGGGAGGGTGGGAGGATAGGGGACAGGGGAGGGTGGGAGAATAGGCGAACGGAGTGTGTATTTATTTGAACACATCTTAACAAACCCCCCGCAGGGGTCGTTGTCAGATGGTGCTCTCTGTGTGTGCGTGACTGATGGTGTGCACGTGTGTGTGCGGGTGTTGGTGTTGTGTGTGTGTTTGTGGGTAGCTGGGCTTGCGTGTGCCGCCCTGGCAGTTCTGCGGCTGCTCAGAGAGCAGAGAGGTCGTCTCACCTGGCCCGTTCTCACCCCCTGGCCTCGCAGAAGGGGGGGATTTGGGGGGGGGGGAGGTGGGGGGAGGCGGCGGGTGGGGGAGAGAGGAGGAGGAGGAAGATGGAGGTGGGTGAGCCGAGAAGGGGGAAGGGGTTGTCTGGGGCAGAGGTGTGCCTTTTGTGGGAGGAGGGGTGGATTGTGGCAGGGGCAGGGCCGGGCGGGGATTGGCATGGGTGGGGGTGGTGGTTTGGGGTAAGGGGGTACGGTCGGTGGGGGGAGGGGTGGGATGGGGGAGGGCAAGGGGGCGTTTGAAGGGTGGGGTGGCCAAGGGGAGAGGGGTGCGGGGAGGGGCTGGGGGGGTGATTGGGGGCAGGGATGCGGACGTGCTGTCAAGGTGGGGATGGCTCCCATCGGGTGACTGTGGGGTGCTGTCCAGCCTGGACGCCAGCAGACCGTTCTGGTACTGGGAACGAGTGATCTGAGGAGAGGAGAGGAGAAGAAAGCGACAGAGTGTTAAGGAGGAGGAGAGCGTATAGAGAGACTAAGGCCCTGTTCAAAAACAAACCCTCACCCAAGTATGTGTGACTACTAGACAGAATACTGCTGTCAGCATAAAGGTGACTAAGACATACGTACAGTTATCAGCAGGTTAAAAGTCAAGGTTAGGGGTTAAAGGTGAGAGTGTTACCTTGACATACTGCAGGTCAGTAAGAGCCCGTACGTAGAAGTCTGGTGTGTACTGGCAGGTGATGAGCTGCGTGTTGCTAGCGGTTACCGAGCTGCATTCTCCGGGAGCGCCACGCTCAGTGCAGCTCAGCGATGCCGAGCGGTTCAGACCGCTGCTGTGAGTAGGAGAACGGAACTCTGGGATACGGAGAGGGAGAGAGAGGGTGAGCTTGGGATAATACATACACCTACACACATTCGCACAAGAACAAACACATTCACTCGCACCCACATGAATGCATGCATGCACACACACACACACACACATATTAGGTAAACACACACACATGCAAGTTCACAGACAGAGGAGAGGAGAGAACAGAGGAGAGGAGAGAACAGAGGAGAGGAGAACAGAGGAGAACAGCAGGGTATGATTGTACAGTAGAATATCATGGCTCTGACAGCAGTAATTCAGACACAGATGAAGTTAGTGAGAAACCACAGTGTGGTATAAATCACTGGATGGATACTGGAGGTTAGTGGACACACAACACAAACACACACAGGCATGCAAACACACATGATACGCACCAACGTCAGCGGCCACTACAGCCATGTCACACACACACACACACACACACACACACACATATATATATAATACAGGACTGAACAGCAACACACAGACGTGGTGTTACACACAGCAGCACAGAGAGCAACAGGTATATATATGCAACACAAACATATGGACACACAAAGATGCAGGTTGGGTACGATTGACTGGTGATTAGAGGAGGATGTGGTTATATACAGATTTTATGCTGGGGTAAAGAGGGATTATATCAGGATCGGGAGTGATGGGGACCAATCAACAGCCAGGATCAAGGGTGATGGCATCATGGGTACCAATCAACAGCCAGGATCAAGACTGAGTATTCTGTGGCGTTTGATCTCCCTGAGTTTTCATGGCTCTGGGATCTGCTCAACAGGCCTGCCATGCAAATGAGGCTCTGATTGGCTTTGGGGAACGGGAAGGGGTGTCAACATTATGAGAGTGTGTGTTTATGTGTGTTGGTTAGGGGAGCTGGGGTTAAGGAGTGTGTAGTGAGTGAAGCATGCCCAGTTCCAAATCCACCCCCCATAGCTCGTTCCTTCTAGGCACACTTCTAAGAACATTGGATAGGCATGTGGTAATAGTACCACCTTGTCTTTTGGTAGGCTGGGTCAAACTGGCATCGTATTGCCTATACCCATCTACTCTTTTTAGATCTATACAAGTGCCTAGGGGAAGGGTCTAGGGAACTATTAGTTATAGGAAGTAGTGAGGGTCAGAAGTAGAGCAGTGATCATAGAACTCTAATTCTATGCTAGTGACAGGATCAGGTAGTAGTGGCGCAAGGTAGAAGATGGCCTTTAACCACAGGTCTAGGATCAGATTACCCAAAATGTAACCAGTAGGGCAATGAGAAAACATCTGAACCTGGACCAGTGGTTAGGGCAACTAGGTAGAAGGAGTCAGGGGTTAAAGATCAGAGATGAGAGGTAGTGCCGTGGAGCAGTGGTTCCATCTAGAGCCCCATCCAGCAAGTTCCTTCCTCCCTTCCTTCCTCCCTTCCTTCCCTCCTCCTTTTCCTCAATCTGTACTGTGTAGTCCAGCTATTCCAAAGGGCCAAAGAAATTGTTATCACCCTTTCTAAATCCCTGGCCGTGCTCCAATATCACGAAAATATTTCCCTCCTTCCTACTGTCCTACCTTCCATCCTTCCTTCCTACTGTCCTACCTTCCATACTTCCTTCCTACTGTCCTACCTTCCATCCTTCCTTCCACGTCACTGATCTAACATGATAAGGTTGGTGAAACCAGTACTGAGGGAAGCAGATCAGCTATTATTCCAAGGAAGAAAGGAATGAAGGAAGAAAGGAAAGATACATTTAACCCTAACTTGTAAACCCTAACCTTATTGGAATAGGGCCCGTCATCGGCACTAAACTGAGTAATGTTGTCCCAGGCTCCTCTGCTCTGCTCTGTCCTGCTGACAGGGGACAAACCCACTGATGTGACCTGATGTGGCACACAGTCTGTTAGCAGTACATACTGTATAGGGCTCAGCTGTCAGCATCAGCAATTACCGGGCAGAGTAAGAACTGCACCACTCCACATCACTCAGTCACTCCTAGTGAAAGATGACTGCAGAGGACCGCAGGTAGCTTAGTGGTTAAGAGCATTGTGCCAGTAACCGAAAGGTCGCTGGTTCTAATCCCTGAGCCGACTAGGTGAAAAATCTGTCGATGTGCCCTTGAGCAAGGCACTTAACCCTAATTGCTCATGTAAGTCGCTCTGGATAAGAGCGTCTGCTAAATGACTAAAAAAAAAAAAAAAAAAAAAAAAAAAAAAGGACCGGCTTGTCCACCAAACCATGAATAATTCAATACCATCCTACTCCACCAGAGGGTGTAGTGGAGCGTAAATACGCGTTATGCTAAAATAGCGTTATTAATTTGCATTAGCGCCACTGTCATCTCGACCGGCGTTAAATGGTTAGCCTTTTTTTATTTTTGTTTGCAGCTTTCAGTCTGGTTTAACCAGGCTACTGTGAGTCTGCTATCAGTCTGGTTTAACCAGGCTACTGTGAGTCTGCTATCAGTCTGGTTTAACCAGGCTACTGTGAGTCTGCTATCAGTCTGGTTTAACCAGGCTACTGTGAGTCTGCTATCAGTCTGGTTTAACCAGGCTACTGTGAGTCTGCTATCAGTCTGGTTTAACCAGGCTACTGTGAGTCTGCCATCCGTCTGGTTTAACCAGGCTACTGTGAGTCTGCCATCAGTCTGGTTTAACCAGGCTACTGTGAGTCTGCCATCAGTCTGGTTTAACCAGGCTACTGTGAGTCTGCCATCAGTCTGGTTTAACCAGGCTACTGTGAGTCTGCCATCAGTCTGGTTTAACCAGGCTACTGTGAGTCTGCTATCAGTCTGGTTTAACCAGGCTACTGTGAGTCTGCTATCAGTCTGGTTTAACCAGGCTACTGTGAGTCTGCTATCAGTCTGGTTTAACCAGGCTACTGTGAGTCTGCTATCAAGCTCTGGAGAAAAGCATTAGAGGATTGAGGGTCTGATTAGATTACTAAACCTTTGTAACTCTTGGTTTCCAGAGGGAATAAAACCAGCAGAGAGTGAGAGAAGGAATAGATCTTGGGAGTTAAGTGTCGTTTGGGAGTTGAAATGTTTTCGTCTTTTACTCTACTTAAAATAAAAAGAAAAAGAGGTAGAGCAAACAATTAGTATAACTGCTCCTGTATGTAAGGTATTGATATTCTAGTGGATCTCCACGCTGTCTGTCTATCAGGTTGTACTTGCTGGAGCAGGGCTCTGAAGAAGAGGATGATGGGAGGGAAACTTAAACGTGATCTTGGCATATAAAGTAACCCCACCCCCCTCCCCCATGTGACCCCTCCCCTTAGGGTGGTTGGTTCTTTACCTGGAAAGCGAGAGAACAGAGAGAATCTCTTAAGAGAGAGGCGTCGTGGAGGGGGGGACGCCACTGAGGGGGAGAGAGGGGGAGTGACGGCTGAGAGAGGGGTGGGCAGAAGGGGGAGAGAGAGAGACGCTGTCGTTTACTCATCGGTAGGCAGTAACAGCTCTGTAGGAGTTAAATGTGCCTCTCTCGCCCAGACTGACCTGAAGACACACAAACCTTTCTCCTTCACAGAGCACTTTGACATTATCACCTCTATACATCATATACATTTAGTGAACCAAACATTTGAGGCTGCGTCCAAAATGGCACCCTATTCCCTATTATAGTGCACTACTTTTGGCCAGGGTTAGCCACATAGGGCTCTGGCCTAAATTAGTGCACTACATAGGGGATAGGGTGCAATTTCAGATTCGTCCTGAGTGACTCGTCATTTTCAAAAGGTCAACGAAGGCCTGCTGTCGGATTGGAGGTAGACAGACCAATGGTAGGGGCGTAACTGAGTGACATCAGACACTGATGTGAGTGTAGGCAGCAGTACAGTACACAGAATATAGCGCATGCACACACATTACATAGATGCTGCGCACACAGAGCACAGAGAACACTATTACAGAGAGAGATATTAGACAGAGAGAGAGAGAGAGAGATGGAGAGAGAGAGAGAGCAAGAGAAAGGAAGACAGAGGAGAGAGAAGAGAACCAGTTTGTCCTGTAACTGTAATCTTGGTGTTTAACTTTAAAAGGCTTTTGACAACCAGAACCTACTCCGCTAATGTCTGCATGTGTAGCGCCATCTACAGGACTAGTTACAATACTGACAGCATAGAAAGCCTAACTTAACTCCATTTTATGACTCTCAGTACACCGATTATATTGTAAAACCTTTAAGGGAGGCTGCTGGTCATACTGCTATCTGACCCCTAGGTGTCAGTGTTTCTAAAGAGATCTGGTTTCAGAGATACATTTCTCTCCTATTTCAACAACTCTAGCTCACATGGGACTAAACACTGCTCTCTGTATCAGTGAGTGTGTGTCACCTGTTAGGTTCAGATACTACCCATAGTTGGCATCACAGCTCCAGCCCTATGGCATCATCACCTTCCTGCCAACTAAGCCCTCTCTCACACACACACACACACACACACACACAGTCATTGGAACACACACACACCTTCCCGTCCTCCTTTAAAGGTGACACTGGTGTGTTTCTTTCTACCTGTTTACTACACCATCTGTGGGTCACATTTCTGTCTGCTGTTGGATCTCCTAAAACATAAGTGATTACACACCTACACCACAGGAGGTTGGTGGCACCTTAATTGGGGAGGACGGGCTTGTGGTAATGACTGGAGCGGAATCAGTGGAATGTATCAAATACATGGTTTCCAGGTGTTTGATGCCATTCCATTAGCGCCGTTCAGGACATTATTATGAGCCGTCCTCCCCTCAGCAGCCTCCTGTGACATACACCTACATGTGAGCTTTGCCAACACACACGCCTCATTGTGAGCTGTGGACAGTGCTAGTAGGAGCACTATCTACTCTGGTGCATGTGTGTTTGAGTAGAACATTTACAGATGTTGGTCAGTGAAGATGGTGTTTAAGGAATAAAACAACCATACTAGAAAAACGGAAGGCTAGAAATACTGTCTGACTGAACCAAGTTTATTATTTGTGTTTCTGCCAGTGTGTATGAGAGAGAAAGTTGGAGAGAGAAAGTTGGAGAGTGAGAAAGAGAGAGAGGGTGAGAGAGAGAGAGAGAGAGAGGGGGAGAGAGAGAGAGAGAGGGGCTGTGTGTTTGTCTTTAACAGTGTGTATGTGTGCATTGCTTGTGTCATATCATATACTGTATCCAGTACATTACGGCTGTGTGTGTGTGCTCACCCAGTGATGGTGTGCTAAGCGCCATAACTCCGTAGTAGGAGAAGGGTCCTGTCTCAAACTTCATGTTCTCGTTTCCAGCCTCCACCTCCACTCGCCCCTGAGGAACACACCAGTAATGTACACAGTAATGTACACACACCCAGTGACTTCCAGGTGCTGGGTACAAAAAGTAACCCAATTAAATAAAGATAGGTACCCTCACGCTGATGAGTACACCTGGAGTTTGCACAATAAAACTTCAAGCGCATTCATCAGTATGCAAGAATCTACCTTTATGTCATACACATGAACACAAAACGCACAGAGAAATGCAGTTTCTACTGTTTCAGTGGTGTTGTCTCTTCTATCTACTGTTTAAATGGTGCTGTGTAATCACTGATCTACCCACAAAGGCCGGAATCCTAACTCCATGAATATCCATGCATGATTTACACAGTCGTCAAGTTAAGCCTGAGCATCTGATGATAGGATTTCTGCCCAGGATTATGGATTTATGGGATTATTATAACATGATAATTATGGATTATTATTATTCTATTTCTATAATATAATATGTAATATAATATGCAATTTAGCAGACGCTTTTATCCAAAGCAACTTACAGTCATGTGTGCATACATTTTTACGTATGGGTGGTCCCGGGGATCGAACCCACTACCCTGGCGTTACAAGCGCCATGCTCTACCAATTTAGCTACAGAGTAAATGTTTGATCTACAGTGAGGGAAAAAAGTATTTGATCCCCTGCTGATTTTGTACGTTTGCCCACTGACAAAGAAATGATCAGTCTATAGTTTTAATGGTAGGTTTATTTGAACAGTGAGACAGAATAACAACAACAAAAATCCAGAAAAATGCATTTCAAAAATGTTATAAATTGATTTGCATTTTAATGAGGGAAATAAGTATTTGACCCCCTTTCAATCAGAAAGATTTCTGGCTCCCAGGTGTCTTTTATACAGGTAACGAGCTGAGATTAGGAGCACACTCTTAAAGGGAGTGCTCCTAATCTCAGCTTGTTACCTGTATAAAAGACACCTGTCCACAGAAGCAATCAATCAATCAGATTCCAAACTCTCCACCATGGCCAAGACCAAAGAGCTCTCCAAGGATGTCAGGGACAAGATTGTAGACCTACACAAGGCTGGAATGGGTTACAAGACCATCGCCAAACAACTTGGTGAGAAGGTGACAACAGTTGGTGCGATTATTCGCAAATGGAAGAAACACAAAATAACTGTAAATCTCCCTCGGCCTGGGGCTCCATGCAAGATCTCATCTTGTGGAGTTGCAATGATCATGAGAACAGTGAGGAATCAGCCCAGAATTAAACGGGAGGATCTTGTCAATGATCTCAAGGCAGCTGGGACCATCGTCACCAAGAAAACAATTGGTAACACACTATGCCGTGAAGGACTGAAATCCTGCAGCGCCCGCAAGGTCCCCCTGCTCAAGAAAGCACATATACAGGCCCGTCTGAAGTTTGCCAATGAACATCTGAATGATTCAGAGGAGAACTGGGTGAAAGTGTTGTGGTCAGATGAGACTGAGCTCTTTGGCGTCAACTCAACTTGCCGTGTTTGGAGGAGGAGGAATGCTGCCTATGACACCAAGAACACCATCCCCACCGTCAAACATGGAGGTGGAAACATTATGATTTGGGGGTGTTTTTCTGCAAAAGGGACAGGACAACTTCACCGCATCAAAGGGACGATGGACGGGGCCATGTACCGTCAAATCTTGGGTGAGAACCTCATTCCCTCAGCCAGGGCATTGAAAATGGATTGTGGATGGGTATTCCAGCATGACAATGACCCAAAACACATGGCCAAGGCAACAAAGGAGTGGCTCAAGAAGAAGCACATTAAGGTCCTGGAGTGGCCTAGCCAGTCTCCAGACCTTAATCCCATAGAAAATCTGTGGAGGGAGCTGAAGGTTCGAGTTGCCAAATGTCAGGCTCGAAACCTTAATGACTTGGAGAAGATCTGCAAAGAGGAGTGGGACAAAATCCCTCCTGAGATGTGTGCAAACCTGGTGGCCAATTACAAGAAATGTCTGACCTCTGTGATTGCCAACAAGGGTTTTGCCACCAAGTACTAAGTCATGTTTTGCAGAGGGGTCAAATACTTATTTCTCTCATTAAAATGCAAATCAATTTATAACATTTTTGACATGCGTTTTTCTGGATTATTTTGTTGTTATTCTGTCTCTCACTGTTCGAATAAACCTACCATTAAAATTATAGACTGATCAAATCAAATCAAATTGTATTGGTCACATGCGCCGAATACAACAGGTGCAGACATTGCAGTGAAATGCTTACTTACAGCCCTTAACCAACAGTGCATTTATTTTAAACAAAAAAAGTAAGAATAAACAACAACAAAAAAAGTGTTGAGAAAAAAGTCATGTCTTTGTCAGTGGGCAAACGTACAAAATCAGCAGTGGATCAAAAAATGTTTTCCCTCACTGTATCTACTATGTTTCTTTGAGTGAGCTCTCCATCCAGGGTAAAAGAAAACCCTGGCAATCTCATCAATATTATATCACAGCGCAGGTGTGCATGCTGAGGTTCCAGTGTCACACACACACACGCTGAGGGTTTAATGTCACTGCGCCCTGGATCAACACATCCCAATCAGGGTTAATTTTGGCAGCTATTTTAGATGTAGTTTTAGTCTTAAAATACCTTTTAGTCTTAGTCACGTTTTAGTAATTTCATCCTTTGTTAGTTTTGGTTATTATCAGTCGACTAAAACTGGACAATTTTTGTCACAGACATTTTAGTCACAATAGTCAGTGCATTATTTTCTATTAAATAATGAATATGTAGGCTACCTGTATCTTCCATCATGTGCACATTCAGATAGCCTTGTCCAGCTAGGACTACTATCCCCTCGTATAAATTAGCTGGCAACATTGATATTGTGGCAGATTGTAACCAATGCCATTCATAATTAACCACATAGGCTATAAAGCCTTGGCTACAGGTTAAACAATTTACAGTTCTGATTTTCTCCCCAACATACCTGTTAAGGGGGGGGGGGGGGGGGGGCGGGGGGGGTTATGGTTTCCAAAAATACCAGAAGTATTACTGTACTCCTAGTATTCAACAAATAGCTTTCGTTTTAGGAAAAAGCAACCGCAACTCGCATTAGTGGACCGCGTCGCGAGAGCGGCAACACAGATGAACGAATAACAGAGCACATGGGAAAATAGAGCTTCTGATGTGATCAAAGCAAAAATAGCCTACATGAAAGCAAGAGAGAGAGTAAACATGGTTTCTAGTTGAGGTTAGTTACAAGTCAAGTCACCTGGCTTCGCATCAGTTCAAAAGATTGATGAGTGACTGAAGTGACATCCTGGGAGTTGTGTGGGAGAGCGGGGCAGATCAGCTCAAGCAGACTGCGCAACTGAAAGATGTCGATTCTGCCAATGATTGCATGAAATATTCTGCATTAAATGAAAAGGAGCTTCATGTCAAATTAACTGTCCATTAGTCTCATGTGGAATTCTCGCCTCATCACATTTTCGTCGACTAAAATGAAAAGTAATTTGTAATGGTTATCGTTTTTTTCCAGGGCATCTCATCTCGTTATTGTCATAGTTTTAGTCAGGAAAAATAGGTTGTTGACGAGTATGTTTCGTCATAGTTGTTGTTGATGAAATGAACACTGATCCCAATGACCACCTAGAGCAGACACACACACAACCACACCTTCCTGAATGGTGGTACCAGAGCAGCTGTGCTCATGTAGCCGTCACTGTATCTGCAGTGTCACCTTGTGTGTCAACAACAGAGTATCACACACACAGGGGGATTGGGTTCTGAGGGCTAAGCCTAGGTAAGTCTGTGTGTTGTGTTGATGTGTTGTCTTTGAGTGAATTGTGGTAGGCTATGGTATGTACACATGTAGTGCTTTGACCTTGCTCAGAAAAGGGATCCAAACCTCCCACACTGAAAGGCGTGGTGAAATGACTGATGGGAAAACCCAGAGTCGTTTAAGACTCATCGCCCTGATCTCTGCCCCAGGGTGATCTGGGTAATCCCCCCAGCGAAACAGCACACAGCAGGGGGAGGGGTAACCTTGGCCCGACCGCCACTAAGGGAGCGGAAATCCAGGCTGTGATTTAATGATGCGCTCTATGGGGCAGTGTGTATTTGTGTGTCTGTGGGTTAAGCAAACATACTAGCCTAAACACTGAAAGCTTTATCGGTCTGCAGTCAGAGTGGACTAATGTGTGTGTAATGTAGCACAGTGCCAATTTAAGCAGTACTGTGATTCTTTGTGTTAATGAGAATTACGCTATAGTGACTGTGTGAAGCTGTGAGCCTCTCCCTCTTTCTCTCTCCCCTCCATGTCTCTCTCTCTCTGTATGTATGCTTCCCTTTCTACTCCCCCCCTCTCTCTGTGTCAGTGTGAGCCCCCCCCTCTCTCTGTGTCAGTGTGAGCCCCCTCTCTCTCTCTCTGTGTGTCAGTGTGAGCCCCCCCTCCTCTCTCTGTGTAAGCCTCCCCCCTCTCTCTCTGCGTGTCAATGTGAGCCCCCCCTCTCTCTCTGTGTGAGCCTCCCCCTCTCTCTCTGTGTGTCAATGTGAGCCCCCCTTCTCTCCCTGTGTGAGCCTCCCCCTCTCTCTGTGTCAATGTGAGCCCCCCCCTCTCTGTGTCAGTGTGAGCCTCCCCTCTCTCTCTGCGTGTCAATGTGAGCCCCCCTCCCCCTCTCTCTGTGTGTCAGTTTCAAGTTTTTATTGTCACGTGCACAAGTACAGTGAAATGCTTTTCTTGCTTGCTCTTTCCCTGCAATGCAGTAATCAATATCAGTAGTACTACACAAAATAAACAGTAAAGTAGAACAAAAACCCAAATAGAAATCAGAAGAACACAGAAAAGTAAGGTCAGATCCAGGGTCAGTAGCTATATACAGGGTCAGATCCAGGGTCAGATCCAGGGTCAGTAGCTATATACAGGGTCAGATCCAGGGTCAGTGGCAATACCATATTTACAATGTGCAGGGGCACTGGAGTGGTAGGGTTAGATATGTGTGAGCTTCCCCCCTCTCTCTCATATCTTGGTGTAGTAGGGGAAGAAAGGAGAACAGGGGAGGAGAGGAGAACAGGGGAGGAGAGGAGAACAGGGGAGGAGAGGAGAACAGGGGAAGAAAGGAGAACAGGGGAGGAGAGGAGAACAGGGGAGGAGAGGAGAACAGAGGAGGGGAGGAGAACAGGGGAGGGGAGGAGAACAGGGGAGGGGAGGAGAACAGGCGAGGGGAGGAGAACAGGGGAGGGGAGGAGAACAGGGGAGGAGAGGAGAACAGGGGAAGGGAGGGGTTAGTTGATGCTAGTTCACAGGCAGTGGGAGCAGAAACACTGGGCCTCTCCTCCTCTCCCCCCTCCTCTTATCCTCCTCTCCCCTCCTATCCTAATTTCCCTTCTTCTCTTCAATTATCATTCAATGTTCCTCCTCTTTCCAATCCTCGCTCTCTTCGACCCATTATGTCTCCTCTCCTTCCTTCTCCTTTCCACCTGACTCTAGTCACCTCTCCCCTTCTCCCCCCTTCCTCTTCTCTCCTCTTTCAGTCTCTCCTTACATAAGAGGGATCAATTAGTGAAGGACAGGTCTGCCCCCCAGCAAGCTTCACACGAAGTCACCTGACACACACACACACACACACACACACACACACATATACACATTGTGCACTTAAAGAGCTAAAGCCAGTAGACTGAGTCACACCACAGGAATCACACTGTTGACCTTAATCCAGTCTCTATGTGTGTGTGTTTAAAGCTGTGAGTGAACTGTCTACCTGTAAGATGAGGATAGATATTGCATTGGTGTTTAAGTTTTTACATGTTGGACTACGTGTGTACCTGCAGTATGAGTATGAAGTAGTCGACAGGTTTGCCTCTCTGGTAGATGTAGTGCAGAGCAGAGCGCTTGTCGCTGTCGTTGAACTTGATCTCCTGGATGACGTCAGGGTGCCTCAGAATCCTCAGTAATACCTTCTCAGTGACTTGACTGGGACTGAACAGACTCACCTCTGTTGGGGGAAGAGGTGGAAGAGCGGAGAGAGGGGGTGAGGGGAGAGAGAGGGTGAGGGCAGAATGGGGAGACACACCCAGAAACCACTTACAGATTGTACCTTCAATTCAAACAAATCAGTAAAGCTTAAAGGCTGTATAACGCATAAACATAAGGATGTTATGAGGATTTATGACCCATTTATGATGTCTACTCATCTCAAGATTATCCTGACTAAATACCAACCATTATGTTGATATATAGAGATTACATTTTTTAAATGACTTTATAAAGTCTCATAAAGGCATATAAACAAGTTAAAGCGTTATAACTTCAGGCTTTAAGTCAAGTGTCACTGACAAATCTCCACTGGAATGCCATGACATCTGGTTGACCTGTGTTCAGTTCTTAACTACAATACCATGGTATGGTACTATAGTAAAATGTTTACTACTAGCTACTTCCTATTTCCTTTCAGGTGATAGTCGACTCACCTGTAGCCAGGAAGCGATGAGCAGCCAGCATCAGCTGTGGAGAGATCTTCACCCTGCACTCGTTCTCTGTGTGTTTAAAGGCAGAGAAGTCACGCATTCTCTTGTTAGGGTCCACCTTCTTTCTGTTCCTATTGTCAGCTGGAGAGAGAGAGAGAAAGAGAGCGAGGGAAAATAGGAAGAGAGGATAGAGGGAAAACAGCAACAACCATGTTTACCACTGACCCAGGTGTGCACAGTAAACGAGTGAATTCACTATCCACAAATATTTCCCTTTTTTTTTTTTTTAGGAGGATGGGAGCTCCGTCCTTTTTATGTATTTTTCTGTTGACAGTCTTGAAATGAGGTGGGACACCGTGGGGAGATGACAGTATGAAATTAGTGGAGGGGGTGGGATTCTGAAGGCGATGTGTGTTGGGAAACTGCAACACTGCCTCTGTTTCAATACAATATAACTCCTCCTGAAGAGCTAATAGGTAGGCTTTTACTCTAGCCCTACACTTGCACGCTTGATTCAGTTAATCAAGGTCCTGAGGAGAAGCTGCTTCGTAGAATCAGTGTGTTAGAACAGGGTTGGAACCAGGGCAGTTCTCCAGGAGTAGTGTTAACCAATGGCCATCCCTTATTTAACTCATTATACTCCAGTTCACTACAGTAGAAGCAAATGGACTCTGGACTGATCTATTGTCCATGTGTAGTTTGACTCAGGGTTGGTTGATGTTGACTCACTATAAAGGTCGGACTCGTCTAGGATCTCTGATTTGATGATTTCCTCGATGACGTCCTCCAAGGTGACCAATCCCAGCACCTCGTAGAAGGGATCCCCCTCCCCCTCGCTGTTCACCTTCTGAACGATGGCCAGGTGAGATTTACCTAGAAGGGTAAACACCAGAGATAGAGTCAAGACCAGAACCCACAAGACCAAGACACAGAACATACCCAGACCAAGAACCAGAACACACTCAGACCCAGTGTGACGAGACCAAGATCAGTCAGTACAGGGGTCAGTTAGTCAGTCAGTAAGTACTGGAGTCAATGCTGTTGTGGAATATCTGAAGATTGAGAGGAGAGACTGTTCCTGGGTGTTAGGGTGATGGGGGTAGCCTACTTAAGTGTACTGTATATAGCAGGGCTGCCCAACCCTCTTCCTGGAGATGTACCGTCCTGTGGGTTTTCAGTCCAACCCTAATTTAACACACCTGATTCTACTTATTAGCTGCTCAACAAGACCTTAACTAGCTGAATCAGATTCGCTAAATTAGGGTTGGACTGAAAACCTACAGGACAGTAGATCTCCAGGAAGAGGGTTGGGCAGCCCTGGTATATAGAAAGTCTCTCTCTCTCTCTCAAAGGGAGATGGGGATAATCCACTCACTCTCCTGGTTTACTATTCCCCCTCCTCTCCTCTCCTCTCCTCTCCTCTCCTCTCCTCTCCTCTCCTCTCCTCAGTGTTGGGAACACACTGTTCTGTGTATTTTACAAGCTCTGTCACATGATGTATAATATTGAGTGTGTGATATAGCCTATTGTATTTTCAGCCTGCGCTTAAAGGGGAGGCGAACACACAGTGGTAATTGATTGGCTGAGTGAGTCAACCTAACACACACACCAACATCAAAGAGTCAACCGAACCCAACACACATATACTGTACATCTTTCCACTGACAACACAGCTGACATCTCACTAATGACCTCACACACTGCTGTCACCCTCCAGCCAATAAACAAAAGAGTAAAGACACACCACTGGGTCAGAAGAGTGAGGTCACACAGTGATTATAGCCGCAGCGATGACCTGAATGCGTAGTTGTTAGGCTCAGTCAGTATCGTCCATCTTTGATCTCTGACTGTCTGTGTGGTGTGAGGATCAGCACTGGCCTGTCACTATCAATATCCCTCCACTATGTCACCATGCTGTCTAACCACAGAGACAAGGCTATTTCAACCACTAACCCTTAACACTCACCTTGTTCCCAACCTTACTCATGTGTTAATGCTGGGATGGAACAAAAGCCTGCACACCATGTGTGTCTCCAGGATCAGGTGGGGCACTTAGCTGTTAGCACTACAGGAACTTTGGTACCAGCAGCTTGCTCTACAGCGGAGACCCCCAGCTCCAGTCCTGGAGTGCTACAGTGCCGGACTGACAGTTCAGCTGTTCCTAATTGATCCATTAAACCCACTGTTCGCCCAGAGCACACACACCTGGTTTCCCAAGTCTGAATGAGCCTCTGATTTAAACTTTGAGGATGTAAACAAACAGACAGTGGCCCTCCAGGACCAGAGCCGTCCATCCCTAGCCTGGAATCCAAACTGATATGCACCGTTTGCAGTACATAATGGTTTGGATTCCAGGCTAGTAGGCTACATCCCTGCTCTGAGCACAGAGTTGAGACCTTCGAAGGTCATATAGTCAGTTCTTCTCTCTGTGGTGTGTTCTGGTGGTGCTGGATAACAACCGCAGTGATGCTTTACTAGGACCCTCTTCACAATAAGGCCTAGGCTATATACATATATATCCATTACCAGTCAAAAGTTTGGACACACCTACTCCTTCAAGGGTTTTCCTTTATTTTTACTATTTTCTACATTGTATAATAATAGTGAAGACATCCAAACTGTGAAATAACACATATGGAATCATGTAGTAACCAAAAAAGTGTTAAACAAATCTAAATATATTTTATATTTGAGATTCTTCAAATAGCCATCCTTTGCCTTAATGACAGCTTTGCACACTCTTGGCATTCTCTCAACTAGCTTCATGAGGTAGTCACCTGGAATGCATTTCAATTTACAGGTGTACCCTGTTAAAAGTTAATTTGTGGAATTTCTTTCCTTCTTAACGCGTTTGAGCCAATCAGTTGTGTTGTGACAAGGTATGGGGTGGTATACAGAAGATAGCCCTATTTGGTAAAAGACCAAGTCCATATTATGGCAAGAACAGCTCAGATAAGCAAAGAGAAACAACAGTCCATCATTACTTTAAGACATGAAGGTCTTAAATACGGAACATTTCAAGAAATTTTCTTCAAGTGCAGTCGCAAAAACCATCAAGTGCTATGATGAAACTGGCTATCATGAGGACCGCCACAGGAATGGAAGACCCAGAGTTGCCTCTGCTGCATCTCTACATCAACTGTTCAGAGGAGACTGTGTGAATCAGGCCTTCATGGTCGAATTGCTGCAAAGAAACCACTACTAAAGCACACCAATTAGAAGAGACTTGCTTGGGCCAAGAATAAAATCAAATCAAATTTTATTGGCCACATGCGCCGAATACAACAGGTGCAGATATTACAGTGAAGTGCTTACTTACAGCCCTTAACCAACAGTGCATGTATTTTTAACAAAAAAGTAAAAATAAAACAACAACAAAAAAAGTGTTGAGAAAAAAAGAGCAGAAGTAAAATAAAATAACAGTAGGGAGGCTATATATACAGGGGGGTACCGGTGCAGAGTCAATGTGCGGGGGCACCGGCTAGTTGAGGTAGTTTAAGTAATATGTACATGTGGGTAGAGTTAAAGTGACTATGCATAAATAATTAACAGAGTAGCAGCAGCGTAAAAGGATGGGGTGGGGGGGCAGTGCAAATAGTCCGGGTAGCCATGATTAGCTGTTCAGGAGTCTCATGGATTGGGGGTAGAAGCTGTTGAGAAGTCTTTTGGACCTAGACTTGGCACTCCGGTACCGCTTTCCGTGCGGTAGCAGAGAGAACAGTCTATGACTAGGGTGGCTGGAGTCTTTGACAATTTTGAGGGCCTTCCTCTGATACCGCCTGGTATAGAGATCCTGGATGGCAGGAAGCTTGGCCCCAGTGATGTACTGGGCCGTACGCACTACCCTCTGTAGTGCCTTGCGGTCGGAGGCCAAGCAGTTGCCATACCAGGCGGTGATGCAACCAGTCAGGATGCTCTCGATGGTGCAGCTGTATAATTTTTTGAGGATCTGAGGACCCATGCCAAATCTTTTCAGTCTCCTGAGGGGGAATAGGCTTTGTCGTGCCCTCTTCACGACTGTCTTGGTGTGTTTGGACCATGATAGTTCGTTGGTGATGTGGACACCAAGGAACTTGAAGCTCTCAACCTGTTCCACTACAGCCCCGTCGATGAGAATGGGGGCGTGCTCAGTCCTATTTTTTTTCCTGTAGTCCACAATAATCTCCTTTGTCTTGGTCACGTTGAGGGAGAGGTTGTTATCCTGGCACCACACGGCCAGGTCTCTGACCTCCTTCCTATAGGCTGTCTCATCGTTGTCGGTGATCAGGCCTACCACTGTTGTGTCGTCTGCAAACTTAATGATGGTGTTGGAGTCGTGCCTGGCCATGCAGTCATGGGTGAACAGGGAGTACAGGAGGGGACTGAGCACGCACCCCTGAGGGGCCCCTGTGTTGAGGATCAGTGTGGCAGATGTGTTGTTACCTACCCTTACCACCTGGGGGCGGCCCGTCAGGAAGTCCAGGATCCAGTTGCAGAGGGAGGTGTTTAGTCCCAGGATCCTTAGCTTAGTGATGAGCTTAGAGGGCACTATGGTGTTGAATGCTGAGCTGTAGTCAATGAATAGCATTCTCATGTAGGTGTTCCTCTTGTCCAGGTGGGAAAGGGCAGTGTGGAGTGCAATAGAGATGGCATCATCTGTGGATCTGTTGGGGCGGTATGCAAATTGGAGTGGGTCTAGGGTTTCTGGGATAATGCTGTTGATGTGAGCCATGACCAGCCTTTCAAAGCACTTCATGGCTACAGACGTCAGTGCTACGGGTCGGTAGTCATTTAGGCAGGTTCTTAGAGTCCTTGGGCACAGGGACTATGGTGGTCTGCTTGAAACATGTTGGTATTACAGACTCAGTCAGGGACATGTTGAAAATGTCAGTGAAGACACTTGCCAGTTGGTCAGCACATGCTCGGAGTACACGTCCTGGTAATCTGTCTGGCCCTGCGGCCTTGTGAATGTTGACCTGCTTAAAAGTCTTACTCACATCGGCTACGGAGAGCGTGATCACATAGTCATCCGGAACAGCTGGTGCTCTCATGCATGCTTCAGTGTTGCTTGCCTCGAAGCGAGCATAGAAGTGGTTTAGCTCGTCTGGAAGTCTTGTGTCACTGGGCAGCTTGCGGCTGTGCTTCCCTTTGTAGTCTGTAATAGTTTTCAAGCCCTGCCACATCCGACGAGCGTCAGAGCCAGTGTAGTACGATTCAATCTTAGTCCTGTATTGACTCTTTGCCTGTTTGATGGTTCGTCGGAGGGCATAGCGGGATTTCTTATAAGCGTCCTGGTTAGAGTCCCGCTCCTTGAAAGCGGCAGCTCTACCCTTTAGCTCAGTGCGGATGTTTCCTGTAATCCATGGCTTCTGGTTGGGGTATGTACGTATGGTCACTGTGGGGACGACATCATCGATGCACTTATTGATGAAGCCAGTGACTGATGTGGTGTACTCCTCAATGCTATCTGAAGAATCCCGGAACATGTTCCAGTCTGTGCTAGCAAAACAGTCCTGTAGCTTAGCACGAGCAATGGACATTAGACTGGTGGAAATGAGTCCAAATTGGAGATTTTTGGTTCCAACCACCGTGTCTTTGTGAGACGCGGTGTGGGTGAACGGATGATCTCCGCATGTGTATTTCCCACCGTAAAGTATGGAGGAGGAGGTGTTATGATGTGGGGGTGCTTTGCTGGTGACACTGTCTGTGATTTATTTAGAATTCAAGGCACACTTAACCAGCATGGCTACCACAGCATTCTGCAGCGATACGCCATCCCATCTGGTTTGGGCTTAGTGGGACTATCATTTGTTTTCAACAGGACAATGACCCAACACACCTCCAGGCTGTGTAAGGGCTATTTTACCAAGAAGGAGAGTGATGGAGTGCTGCATCAGATGACCTGGCCTCCACAATCACCCAACCTCAACCAAATTGAGATGGTTTGGGATGAGTCGGACCGTAGAGTGAAGGAAAAGCAGCCAACAAGTGCTCAGCATATGTGGGAACTCCTTCAAGACTGTTGGAAAAGCATTCCAGGTGAAGCTGGTTGAGAGAATGCTAAGAGTGTGCAAAGCTGTCATCAAGGCAAAGGCTGGCTATTTGAAGAATTTCAAATATAAAATATTTGTTTAACACTTTTTTGGTTACTACATGATTCCATATGTGTTATTTCATAGTTGTGACGTCTTCACCATTATTCTACAATGTAGAAAATAGTACAAATAAAGAAAAACCCTTGAATGAGTAGGTGTTCTAAAACTTTTGACCGGTACTGTATGTATGTATGTACAGTGAGGGAAATAAGTATTTGATCCCCTGCTGATTTTGTACATTTGCCCACTGACAAAGAAATTATCAGTCTATAATTTTAATGGTAGGTTTATTTGAACAGTGAGAGACAGAATAACAACAAAAAAATCCAGAAAAACGCATGTCAAAAATGTTATAAATTGATTAGTATTTTAATGAGGGAAATAAGTATTTGACCCCTCTGCAAAACATGACTTAGTACTTGGTGGCAAAACCCTTGTTGGCAATCACAGAGGTCAGACGTTTCTTGTAGTTGGCCACCAGGTTTGCACACATCTCAGGAGGGATTTTGTCCCACTCCTCTTTGCAGATCTTCTCCAAGTCATTAAGGTTTCGAGGCTGACGTTTGGCAACTCAAACCTTCAGCTCCCTCTACATATTTTCTATGGGATTAAGGTCTGGAGACTGGCTAGGCCACTCCAGGACCTTAATGTGCTTCTTCTTGAGCCACTCCTTTGTTGCCTTGGCCGTGTGTTTTGGGTCATTGTCATTGTCATGCTGGAATACCCAGCCTCAAAACATTAATGACTTGGAGAAGATCTGCAGAGAGGAGTGGGACAAAATCCCTCCTGAGATGTGTGCAAACCTAGTGGCCAACTACAAGAAACGTCTGACCTCTGTGATTGCCAACAAGGGTTTTGCCACCAAGTCTTGGCCATGGTGGAGAGTTTGGAATCTGATTGATTGATTGCTCTGTGGACAGGTGTCTTTTATACAGGTAACAAACTGAGATTAGGAGCACTCCCTTTAAGAGTGTGCTCCTAATCTCAGCTCATTACCTGTATAAAAGACACCTGGGAGCCAGAAATCTTTCTGATTGAGAGGGGGTCAAATACTTATTTCCCTCATTAAAATGCAAATCAATTTATAACATTTTTGACATGCGTTTTTCTGGATTTTTTTGTTGTTATTCTGTCTCTCACTGTTCAAATAAACCTACCATTAAAATTATAGACTGATCATTTCTTTGTCAGTGGGCAAACGTACAAAATCAGCAGGGGATCAAATACTTTTTTCCCTCACTATAATATAATAATAATATAATATGCCATTTAGCAGACGCTTTTATCCAAAGCGACTTACAGTCATGCGTGCATACATTTTTGTGTATGGGTGGTCCCGGGGATCGAACCCACTACCTTGGCGTTACAAGCGCCGTGCTCTACCAGCTGAGCTACAGAGGACCACGTATGTATGTATGTATGTATGTATATATGTATGTATACAGTGGGGAGAACAAGTATTTGATACACTGCCAATTTTGCAGGTTTTCCTACTTACAAAGCATGTAGAGGTCTGTAATTTTTTATCATAAGTACACTTCAACTGTGAGAGACGGAATCTAAAACAAAAATCCAGAAAATCACATTGTATGATTTTTAAGTAATTAATTTGCATTTTATTGCATGACATTAGTATTTGATCACCTACCAACCAGTAAGAATTCCAGCTCTCACAGACCTGTTAGTTTTTCTTTAAGAAGCCCTCCTGTTCTCCACTCATTACCTGTATTAACTGCACCTGTTTGAACTCGTTACCTGTATAAAAGACACCTGTCTACACACTCAATCAAACAGACTCCAACCTCTCCACAATGGCCAAGACCAGAGAGCTGTGTAAGGACATCAGGGATAAAATTGTAGACCTGCACAAGGCTGGGATGGGCTACAGGACAATAGGCAAGCAGCTTGGTGAGAAGGCAACAACTGTTGGCGCAATTATTAGAAAATGGAAGAAGTTCAAGATGACGGTCAATCACCCTCGGTCTGGGGCTCCATGCAAGATCTCACCTCGTGGGGCATCAATGATCATGAGGAAGGTGAGGGATCAGCCCAGAACTACACGGCAGGACCTGGTCAATGACCTGAAGAGAGCTGGGACCACAGTCTCAAAGAAAACCATTAGTAACACACTACGCCGTCATGGATTAAAATCCTGCAGCGCACGCAAGGTCCCACTGCTCAAGCCAGCGCATGTCCAGGCCCGTCTGAAGTTTGCCAATGACCATCTGGATGATCCAGACGAGGAATGGGAGAAGGTCATGTGGTCTGATGAGACAAAAATATTGCTTTTTGGTCTAAACTCCACTCGCCGTGTTTGGAGGAAGAAGAAGGATGAGTACAACCCCAAGAACACCATCCCAACCGTGAAGCATGGAGGTGGAAACAACATTCTTTGGGGATGCTTTTCTGCAAAGGGGACAGGACGACTGCATCGTATTGAGGGGAGGATGGATGGGGCCATGTATCGCGAGATCTTGGCCAACAACCTCCTTCCCTCAGTAAGAGCATTGAAGATGGGTCGTGGCTGGGTCTTCCAGCATGACAACGACCCGAAACACACAGCCAGGGCAACTAAGGAGTGGCTCCGTACGAAGCATCTCAAGGTCCTGGAGTGGCCTAGCCAGTCTCCAGACCTGAACCCAATATAAAATATTTGGAGGGAGCTGAAAGTCTGTATTGCCCAGCGACAGCCCAGAAACCTGAAGGATCTGGAGAAGGTCTGTATGGAGGAGTGGGCCAAAATCCCTACTGCAGTGTGTGCAAACCTGGCCAAGACCTACAGGAAACGTATGATCTCTGTAATTGCAAACAAAGGTTTCTGTACCAAATATAAAGTTCTGCTTTTCTGATGAATCAAATACTTATGTCATGCAATAAAATGCAAATTAATTACTTAAAAATCATACAATGTGATTTTCTGGATTTTTGTTTTACAGTTGAAGTGTACCTATGATAAAAAATTATAGACCTCTACATGCTTTGTAAGTAGGAAAACCTGCAAAATCGGCAGTGTATCAAATACTTGTTCCCCCCACTGTATATATATAAACAGTTATGACAGCTGGTGACAACTGTCTTTCTTTACACACTCATGATGACACAAACTGTTGTTTAGGTCAGCTAACTGGCTAGGCATACAGTCAGCCACCTAGGTTTGTGTGTTATGAGCATGCAACATCAAACAACTTGTTGATAACATGTGTTACAACATTATGATACAGCAATTTTGATTGAACAGCCTAGCTAGTATAGCCCCTGGATAGCCCTAAGACTGAGTATTGGTAGCAGCCCTAAGACTGAGTGATGGCAGCAGCCGTAAGACTGAGTGATGACAGCAGCCCTAAGACTGAGTGATGACAGCAGCCCTAAGACTGAGTGATGACAGCAGCCCTAAGACTGAGTGATGACAGCAGCCCTAAGACTGAGTGATGACAGCAGCCCTAAGACTGAGTGATGACAGCAGCCCTAAGACTGAGTGATGACAGCAGCCCTAAGACTGAGTGATGACAGCAGCCCTAGCCCAATGTTCTTGCCCCCGTGTGGCCCTCCTATTCTAAATGACAACAGAATGGACCCAGAACTAATTATGGCAGGGGTCCTGGAGAGTTATAGGTACAGACCTTAGTTCCAGTCCAGCACTAACACAGCTGATTCAACTAATCAACCAGGTGTGAATAGTGCAAGTTTGGAATGAAAACCTGCAAACCTTGTCCCTGTAGCTCTCCAGAGACAGAGTTGATGACCCCTAGATTGTGACATGACAACTGGGTGGAGATATTCCACTCGTCGATACACACATCAATAGAGCGGCACATCTGTGTGTGTCAAAGTGTGTGTGTGTGTTTTGATTATGTGGAGTGACAAATGTATTATAAATACTTTTACATACATCAACCATGTATGTAAATATGGTGATGTCTGACAGGTGCATGTGTCCCCCGTCCCTCCAGATACACACACCTTTTTTGAACTCCTCTAGCATGGAGTCCAGCCGTGTGTCGTGGAACACAAAGTGGACCGGGTGGTTGTAGAACTTGGTGATGGTCTTCAGGGTGGTGCAGTCGTCAGGGTCCACAAACGCCAGGTCCTTCACATACAGGATGTCCACTATGTTGGAGCGCTCATCGTCGAACACGGGGATACGCGTGTAGCCACTCTCCATGATCTCTGACATGGTGTTGAAGTCGAGGACCGCATCGTTCTGAATCATGAAGCAGTGCGCCAGAGGAGTCATCACACTCTCCACTGTCTTATTCCGGAGTTCCAGAGCTCCTTGGATCATGTTGAGCTCCTCTTTGACCAGGTCGTTGTACGGTTCCGTCACCCTGAGCATCTCCACCAGCTTCTCGCGGTTGTACACAGTGCCAATCTCCTGGCCTAGGAGCACGTCTAGGAGCTTGCTGACAGGGAAGGAGAGGGGGAAGGTGAGCAACATGAAGAACTTGGTCACCTGGATGGTGTTGGCGCCCACCGCCAGCCCGTGGCGAGAGCACAGCGCCTGGGGAACGATCTCACCGAAAATCACGATACCCACTGTGGAGGCGACCACGGCGCCCAGCCCAGAGCCTATCAGGTCGTCCAGGAGGATGGTGAGTGTGGTATTGACCAAGACATTGCCAAGCAACAGCGAGCAGAGAAGGTAGTTCCCCTTGCTGCGGATGGGCTCAATTTTGCGGGCGTATTTCTTCTCCTTCTCTGAGCCACAACTCTGGACTATACGGAGCTCCATTGGGTCCAGAGCCATGAGCCCCAGGTTCAGCCCGCTGAACATGCCAGACAGCACCAACAGACAGCAGATGAGGATGATCTGGAACCACAAGGGGAGGAGAGTTTTTTCCCCCTCCACCACCCGCAGTCTCCCGTCGCTATCCCCGAGCAGAGCCCACCTGCCATCGGCCAAACTCCTGATGCACAGCCCATACTCCTTGTGCGGCTCACTCTTACGAAGTGGCTTAATGTTTATGCTGAGTACCCCCGTGGTCCCCCGGCTACTGATATTCATGTAGTTCGCGATGCTGAAGTCTTTGGTGAAATCAACACAAGTCCTGTTAGGTGTGTCGTCAATAATGTTAATGTTTCCCCCCTCCTCGTTCCCATCCCCTCGTTCTGTAAAGCGGATCTGCGCCCAGGTGCCCGAGTTGAGCTGCACACCGTAGAACCGGAGCTGCACTGTGCTCTCCTCCGTTACCTGGATGACCCCTTCGTCAGTGGTCGTGGCCGGTTTGTCGCTCCTCTCCAGTCGCATACCGAGCACCTGGCTCCCGCTGCTGCGGACACTGGAAGTGGCTGTCTCGGTGCGTCCCCCGACTGCACTCCAAAGAAAAACGATTAGAGTTAGAACGTAGCCTTGCTGCCCGCTCCATTCTGTCGCCATGTTTGTTTCACTGTGCTAACGACCTGGGAGCTGACGTCACTACTCATCTCCCTCCGGCCCCGCTCCTATTACCATTATATCCCTAAAGCACCGCCTATCGGACACGGCAGGTATAGCCATACACACGCACACACGTGTGTAGGCTACATACTGTTGGGGTTCATCACAGGCGGTTGGTGGCACCTTAACTTGGGAGGACAGGCTCGTGGTAATGGCTGGAGCGGAATTAGTGGAATGGTATCAAACCTATGGTTTCTATGTGTTTAATGCCATTCCATTTGCTTCGTTCCAGCCATTATTATGAGCCGTCTTCCCCTCAGCAGCCTCCACTTACAGTGCCAAAAGAAAGTATTCATACCCCTTGACTTATTCTACATTTTGTTGTTTTACAGCCTCAATTCAACATGATTTAAATAGATACAAACTGTAACTAGGCCAATCAGGAGCATCCAATGTCGTCTTGGTAAGCAACTCCATATTTTTTAGGTTATTGTCTTGCTGAAAGGTGAATTTGTCTTCCAGTGTCTGTTTGGAAAGCAGACTGAACCTGGTTCTCCTCTAGGATTTTGCTTGTGCTTAGTTCTACTCCATTTCTTTAATAATAATAAAAACTCCCTAGTACTTGCCGATGACAAACATACCCATAACATGATGCAACCACTACCATGCTTGAAAATATGAAGAGTGGTACTGTTGTGATGTGTTGTGTTGGATTTGCCCCAAACATAAAGCTTTGTATTCAGGACATAAAGTTCATTTCTTTGCCACATTTTTTGAAGTGTTATCAACACAAGTCCTTTTAGGTGTGTCATCAAACAGGATGCATGTTTTTGAATATTTTTTGTTTTGTACAAGCTTCCTTCTTTTCACTCTGTTATTTAGGTTAGTATTGTGGAGTAACTACAATGTTGTTGATCCATCCTCAGTTTTCTCCTATCACAGCCATTAAACTCTGTAACTGTTTTAATGTCACCATGGTGAAATCCCTGAGCGGTTTCCTTCCTCTCCAACAACAGTTAGGAAGGACTCCTGTATCTTTGTAGTGACTGTGTGTATTGATACACCATCCAAAGTGTAATAAATAACTTCACCATATTCAATGTCTGTTTTTTATCCATTTACCAATAGGTGCCCTTCTTTGCGAGGCATTGGGAAACCTCCCTGATCTTTGTGGTTGAATCTGTGTTTGAAGTTCACTGCTCTACTGAAGGACCTTATAGATAATTTTATGTGTGGGGTACAGAGATTATGTAGTCATTGAAAAATAATGTTAAACACTATGAATGCACAAAGATAAAGTCCATTCAACATATTATGTGACGTGTTAAGCACATTTTTACACCTGAAGTTATTTAGTCATGTCATAACAAAGGGGTTGAATACTTATTGACTAAAGACATTCCAGCTTTTCATTTTTTATTCATTCTTTACAAAAAAATCGAAAAACATAATTCCACTTTGACATTATGGGGTATTATGTGTAGGCCAGTGACACAAAATCTCAATTGAATCATTTTAAATTCAGGCTGTAACACAACAAAATGTGGAAAAAGTAAAGGTGTGTGATTACTTTCTGAAGGCACTGTATACCTCAGTGATTGATATTGGGCTAAGGTTGGGGCAATGTTCTGAGCTGCACGTTCACGCTGGACCGCGCTGCAGTTTTTTCTGTATGGACCTCGCTTTGTGCAGGGGGGACCTTCCCCAAACTGTTGCCACAAAGTTGGAAACACAGAATCGTCTAGAATATCATTGTCTGCTGTAGCGTTAATATTTCCCTTCACTGGAACTAAGGGGCATAGCCAAACAATGAAAAACAGCCCCAGACCATTATTCTTCCTCCACCCAGATTCGTCCATCAGATTGCCAAATGGCGAAGTGTGATTCATCACTCCAGAAAACGCGTTTCCACTGCTCCAGAGTCCAATGGCGACGAGCTTTACACCACACTAGCCGACGCTTGGCATTGAGTATGGTGATCTTAGGCTTGTGTGCGTGCTGCTGCTCGGCCATGGAAACCCATTTCATGAAGCTCATGACAAACAGTTATTGTGCTGACGTTGCTTCCAGAGGCAGTTTGAATAGTTATGCACGCTCAAGTTCTGTTTTTTTGTCTTATTTCTTTTTTGTTTCACAAGAAAAAATATTTTGCATCTTCAAAGCGGTAGGCATGTTGTGTAAATCAAATGATACAAACCCCCCAAAAATCCATTTTAATTCCAGGTTGTAAGGCAACATAATAGGAAAAATACCAAGGGGGTGAATACTTTCACATGCCACTGTAGTGTATTTACTTCGAGTTAGGTGTTAGCCAGACTAATTATGTAGACCTATTGTGTACACACATTTTGGCCTGAGCAATTTTAGTGTTTGCTAATTGCATTCTGTATCTTATCATTTATTAGGCTCACCGTTATGATTGTGTTTATAGCCCAAACATAGGCTTTATAGCCACCTCAAATTATCCACAAGAAAGCATATCATAACATTGCGCCTAATCAATGATCCTTTCTTGCGTCTTGATATAGCCCAAGGCATATTATTCCTAATTAAATTGCATATTCACATTTTGCCATGAAGGACCAAGGCAATGTGGCAGAGTGAATCCTGCGGTGCCCAGCGGTTCGTAGACAGTCAGAGACCCAGCTGTTACGTAAAGGGCCGGCACACTGCATCTATGCGTCTCACCCGCATCTCTCTGGCTCTGTCTGTGCATGGCCGCCAGGCTCCGAAGGCGGGTTGCGGGGGGAGGAAGCCCCGTGAGGAACCAGAGGTTCTTGATGAAAAAAATGGGTTGAGTCGACTAATTGTTTGTTCATTATTATTTCAGCTTCAATTAACGTAGACCTATAACTTACATAGTCTCAACATGGCTATTTGGTTCTGTAACAAAGTAATCAATGTCAGAAGTGTGGGCAACAGTGGGTCTCAGTTCAATCTAAGTTTCAACCAAAAGACCGTGTCTAAAAGTTGTTGTTTTTTAGATTGAATTCAGGTTCGATGACCACTCAACCAAACCAAAGATCTGCATGATGCTGCAACGTCTGTGCTCAGTGGGAATGCAGATGGATTCGTGTCACTGAGACAGCTGCGGTCACTGTCAGTGATGCATCTCACCGCCCAGCGGTCTGGTAGATGTGACTTTGAGCTGAGAGTCTCTTCAGGAATTGATGGGTCAACAACAAAGGGTGGACGACAACAACAAACATCAACAACAAAACGTGTTCAAGTCTATAATATCAAAATGTAGGCTAATAGGCTAGTGTAATGATTGAAATAACCTAATCTCTTCTAAAAAAATAAATAAGCCTATGATTTAGGCTTTTCAATTTGAGCGTATCTGTTTTAAATATGTTCACGTTTAATAGCCTAGTGAGGTAGATGTGACTTAATTCTCTTTTGATCTGTGATTTTTATCCCCCCTCTGACTTTGCCGTGACCTAGAGTTATGTAACAATAGCATGCTAGTGTAGAAATCAAGGTCGTGTTTTATCCAATGATTGTGGTTTTTATGCGATCTTATATTGCCATCTAGTGGACAAAAACGGAATATCCCTTATTGTGCAGCGCTTCTAAAATAGCGCAGTCAAGTTACATTTATTCTTTAAAAAATAAACATGGTACAAGAACATTGAAAATGTCATGATACTACAACATTTGAATATTATGTATACAATTCTGATCAATAAACATTTAAAACATTTTCAGGATTCAACTTGCATTTTGATTATAAATATTTTACGATTATGACAGATAGCCTTTCTAGAATTACTGATGTATTAAAACCACCCATTGACAATTAGTACATATTAACATTGTGTAAGAATCATCACTTTAGGGAATGCTATAATACTAAAACAACCTATAAAGATATATAGCCTATCTATCGGCTGTCAATTAATACAATTGTTAATAATAATCATATAATATGCCATTTAGCAGACGCTTTTATCTAAAGCGACTTACAGTCATGCGTGCATACATTTTTTGTGTATGGGTGATCCCGGGGATCGAACCCACTACCTTGGTGTTACAAGTGCCGTGCTCTACCAGCTGAGCTACAGAGGACCACCCAGTTATTGAAACTGTTAATGAGAGGCATCGTTAGTGAAAACACAAAACTATATTAATTGCTCCACTTCATAATCATTCCTTCATTCTTTCCACATGCACCATTTGTCTTTTTACATTGATCTACTGTAGCCTATATAACACACAAACTGGGAAAAAACAGGCAAATTGTATTTTCTGTGATGAAAACAGTTGCTATTCCATTCACACAATAATATAAAACAAAGCCATATAGTCCTATCTCAAACCTAATGTGACTCTTGTATGAAATGCATGTACAGATACTTTTTTTCCTAGAAAAGCATTAGAAAATGTCCTGTCATAATAGCTAATGGCCATAACTGAGAACAGTAGTATTTAAACTGCACTGTTTACTGTACATTGCTATCTTCACTATCCCAGATCTCATATTCGTGTGTGTGTGGAAATGTGTGTGATACCAGATGTCCGCCCCCTCTCTCCTGGGGCTCTGGATCTGTCTGTCAGTACGTGTGTGTGTTACTCCAGCCGTCCATCCCCTCTGATACTCCTAGGGCTCTGGATCTGTCCGTCTGGCAGTAGAACATTGACGGTGTAGCTGATCTTCTTCGACTGCAGTACGCTGTAGGTGTTGTCAAAACGCAGCACGTCTACACACAGGACACAATCCAGAATTACTACTGTGTATCTGTCTATCTGTATAGCTGTATCTGTGTATCTGTCTATCTGTATAGCTGTATCTGTGTATCTGTTTGTGTGAGTGTCTATTTGTATGTGCATGTGTATACAGTGCATTCGGGAAAGTATTCAGACCCCTTCAGTTTTTCCACATTTTGTTACGTTACAACCTTTTTCTAAAATTGGTTAAATTGTTTTTCCCTCATCAATCTACACCCCATAATGACAAAGCAAAAACAGGTTTTTAGAAATGTTTCTACATTTATAAAAAAAACATTTACATAAGTATTCAGACCCTTTACTCAGTACTTTGTTGAAGCACCTTTGGCAGCGATTACAGCCTTGAGTCTTCTTGGGTATGACACTACAAGCTTGGCACACCTGTATTTGGCGAGTTTCTTCCATTCTTCTCTGCAGATCCTCTCAAGCTCTGTCAGGTTGGATGGGGAGCATCGCTGCACAGCTATTTTCAGGTCTCTCCAGAGATGTTTGATTGGGTTCAAGTCCGGGCTCTGGCTGGGCCACTCAAGGACATTCAGAGACTTGTCCTGAAGCCACTCCTGCGTTGTCTTGGCTGCTTAGGGTCATTGTCCTGTTGGAAGGTGAACCTTTGCCCTAGTCTGAGGTCCTGAGCGCTCTGGAGCAAGTTTTCATCAAGGATCTCTCTGTACTTTGCGCCGTTTATCTTTCCCTCGATCCTGACTAGTCTCCCCAGTCCCTGCCGCTGAAAAACATCCCCACAGCATGATGCTGCCACCACCATGCTTCACTATAGGGATGGTATTGTCCAGGTGATGAGCAGTGCCTGGTTTCCTCCAGACGTGACGCTTGTAATTCAGGCCAAATAGTTCAATCTTGGTTTCATCAGACAAGAGAATCTTGTTTCTCATGGTCTGAGAGTCCTTCAGGTGCCTTTTAAGAATGATGGAGGCCACTGTGTTCTAGGGGACCTTCAATGCTGCAGAAATGTTTTGGTACCCTTCCCCAGATCTGTGCCTCGACACAATCCTGTCTCTGAGCTCTACGGACAATTCCTTCGACATCATGGCTTGGTTTTTGCTCTGACATGCACTGTCAACTGTGGGACCTTATATAGACAGGTGTGTGCCTTTCCAAATCATGTCCAATCAATTGAATTTACCACAGGTGGACTCCAATCAAGTTGTAGAAACATCTCAAGGATGATCAATGGAAACAGGATGCACCTGAGCTCAATTTCGAGTCTCACAGCAAAGGGTCTGAATACTTATTTCAATAAGATATCTGTTTAAAATGTTTAATACATGCGCAAACATTTCTAAAAACCTGTTTTTAGTTTGTTATTATGTTGTATTGTGTGTAGATCGATGAGGATTTGTATTTATTTAATCGATTTTAGTATAAGGCTGTAACGTAACAAAATGTGGAAAAAGTGAAGGGGTCTGAATACTTTCCCAAATGCACTGTATCTTTGCATCTGAATATTTGTGTGTGTATGTGTTCATCTGTGTGTGTGTGTGTGTGTATCTGTATCTGTGTGTGTCTCTACCAATGTGTGTGTGTGTGTGTGTGTGTACTCACAGGTTCCAGGCTCGGGGCAGGTGAGTGAGCGGTCCTCTGGGACCATGTGTGCGTTGTAGCGTTCACTAGGCAGCACCTGCAGCATATCCCCCACCTTCTGAGCCCCACCCCCCTCCTGGCTCCGCATGAACACCCCAAAGCCTATGTCTGCCCCATCACTGGCAAACTGCCACCTAGAGAGGAGAGGGAGGAGGAGGAGAGGGAGAGGGAGGAGGAGAAGAGGGGAATGGAGAGAGGTGGGGAGATAGAGGGAGGGAGGAAGATGGACGAGAAGAGAGGAGGGAGGGGTGTTACTCCACGTGACATCTTTACCAGCGCTGTATCTCAATAGTGTGAAGAGGCTTCCTCTCCTTCCTCTCCTTCCTCTGCACTGATCGGAAATCCCCACTGGGTAGGACAAATCAATATGGAAGACACCCATGTCAACTCTAGTGTGTTTGGTCAGACTTAAAGCTGGAATCCTTCATGGTGAAACTACCATGTCCGTTTGGGATTTTACAACAACAAAGAAGTTACTGCAAACAACAAACACTGTTGTTTTCCCTCATCATTGCACTGGAGAGAGAACACAACAAGTACCACAGATTTGTTTTACCAAGCTCCCCCGTTTCATCAACAAAAACAATAACCAAGACGTTGGGCCGAACAGTAATGCTGTTTCACCTTATGCGGATTTCAGCTTGAAGGTCAAAGATTACAGCCAGGTTTGGGAAGTAAGGTAAGGGTTAAAGGTCAATTGTCAGGGTTAAAGGTTAGGTTGGTTACCTGAGGACGCTGCTGGGGGTGGTGATGTCATACTCCAGTGTGAGGGCGGAGCCTCGGCTGATGGTCACGCTGTGGTCGTACTGGACCTTGACCACATTGTCCTGAACGTAGTACGACCTGGGCACTGTACCGCCGTAGTTTATCTACCACCACAACACACACATAAATTAATGCGCGCGCGCACACACACACACACACACACACACACACACACACACAAACACACACACCTCTCTCTCTCTCAATTCAATTGAAAATAGATATGTTTACATTGCCAAAGCAAGTGAAATAGATAATAAACTAAAGTGAAACAAACAATAAAAAATGTACAGTAAACATTACAAAGGAATAGAGACATTTCAGATGTCATATTATGGCTATATACAGTGTTATAACGATGTGCAAATAGTTAAAGTACAAAAGGGAAAATAAATAAACATAAATATGCGTTGTATTTACAACGGTGTTTGTTCTTCACTGGTTGCCCTTTTCTTGTGGCAACAGGTCACAAATCTTACTGCTGTGATGGCACACTGGTATTTCACACAATAGATATGGGAGTTTATAAAAATTTGATTTGTTTTTCAAAATCTTTGTGGGTCTGTGTAATCTGAGGGAAATATGTCTCTAATATGGTCATACATTTGACAGGAGGTTAGGAAGTGCAACTCAGTTTGCACCTCATTTTGTGGGCAGTGTGCACATAGCCTGTCTTCTCTTGAGAGACAGGTCTGCCTACAGCGGCCTCTCTCAATAGCAAGGCTATAGCAGGAGTCTGTACATAGTCAAAGCTTTCCTTGATTTGGGGTCAGTCACAGTGTTCAGGTATTCTGCCACTGTGTACTCTCTGTTTAGGGCCAAATAGCATTCCAGTTTGCTCAGTTTTTTGGTAAATTCTTTCCAATGTGTCAAGTAATTATCTTTTTGTTTTCTCATGATTTGGTTGGGTCTAATTGTGTTGTTGTTGTCCTGGGGCTCTGTGGGTTCTGTTTGTGTTTGTGAACAGAGCCCGAGGACCAGCTTGCTTAGGGGACTCTTCTGTAGGTTCATCTCTCTGTAGGTGATGGCTTTGTTATGGAAGGTTTGGGAATCGCTTCCTTTTAGGTGGTTGTAGAATTTAAAAGCTATTTTCTGGTTTCGGCCTAATTCTTCTCTGCATGTATTATTTGGTGTTTTACGTTGTACACGGAGGATGTTTTTGAAGAATTTGCATGCAGTCTCAATTTGGTGTTTGTCCCATTTTGTGAATTATTGGTTAGTGAGCGGACCCCAGACCTCACAACCATAAAGGGCAATGGGTTCTATAACTGATTCAAGTATTTTTAGCCAGATCCTAATTGGGATGTCGAATTTGATGTTCCTTTTAATGGCGTAGAAGGCCCTTCTTGCCTTGTCTCTCAGACCGTTCTCTCAGATCACTTTGTGGAAGTTACCTCGCTCCCTCCCTCTCTCTCTCACCATGGTGCGACAGCGAGGGTCACCATCAGGGTCAGTAAGGGTTCCTCCATACGCCACCGGGAGTTGCTCCGGGTCAATATGCTTAAGTAACACCTCCTGCCAGTTAGCTAGAGACGGAGAGAGGGGGAAAAGAGAGGGGAGAGAGAGCGAGAGAGAAAGAGAGAGGGGGGGGGGGGTCACAGTCTGTTATGGCTGTACACTCGGCCCACCACCTGTTGTGAGATTGCCCCCTAGTGGCGAGAAGTGACATCTCAACACAATACAGACCAGGGCTCTCCAACCCTGTTCCTGGATAGCTACCCTCCTGTAGGTCTTTGCTCCAACTGTTGTTACTAGCAGTTGTAACTAACCTGATTCACCTTATAAACCAATTATTAGAATCAGGTGTGCTAGATTAGGGTTGGAGTAAAAACCTACAGGACTGTAGCTCTCCAGGAACAGGGTTGGAGAGCCCTGGACTAGACTAGATACCATAACAAAAAGCAATATTAGGCGATATTTTCTTATTTACAGAAACCATACTCCTGTAGTCCATATTGATAAGAAAAATACCTCACATATACTGTAACTGCTCCCTGGTGTGTAGCATGTATGGGAACACACAGTACTCACATCCCAGAATGATGATCTTATGACGTGTCTCTTCACTCAGGAAGTGTTTGACCAGGTTGTAGGCCATCGGGAATATCTTAGGAGCTGCAGGGAGAGAGATGCACTATAAATACACACACACACACAAACACGGACGCACACACAACACAGGAGGCTGCTGAGGGGAGGACGGCTCATAATAATGGTTGGAATGTAGCAAATGGAATGGCATCAAACACACGGAAACCATGTGTTTGATGTATTTGATACCATTCCACTCATACCGCTCCAGCCATGAGCCCATTCTCCCCAATTAAGGTGCCACCAATATCCTGTGACGCACATTGTATTGACATAGATATTGTAAGACATAGATTGTAAGACATAGATACACACACACACACACACACACACACACACACACACACATTGTATTGTGTAGAATCTAGATGACTCACTCTTGATGAGAAACACCCTCTTGAGTCCTTCAGGATAGTTCTCCTCAAACATGGTAAGGATCTGCACAGTATTAGAGAGAGGGACAGCCAGCCAGCCAGACAACAGACAGACAACAGCCAGCCAGCCAGACAACAGACAGACAACAGCCAGCCAGCCAGCCAGCCAGCCAGACAACAGACAGACAACAGCCAGCCAGCCAGACAACAGACAGACAACAGCCAGCCAGCCAGACAACAGACAGACAACAGCCAGCCAGCCAGACAGACAGAGGCAGACAACAGCCAGCCAGCCAGCCAGCCAGACAGACAGACAGACAGACAGACACATTGTTTTTCAGACACATATCTATTCATGGTGGTCTCACCCATAGAGATTCATAAACACTAAAAGATGAGGGTTCCTCAAGGGTTCTTTGGGAAGGGTGATGGTTCTATGTGGAACCATAATAACTCAAATAACCTTTGAGTTCTTCAATGGTTCTTTACAGTTCACAAAATGATTCTTTGCTCTTTTAGTGATAATTAAAATGTAGAGGAGGTGGCTCATTAGAATATTTGGGGAATAGAATTTTAACAATATAATATGACTGACCAGAATAAAAAAAACCTGTATGGTTCTTCTACAGGATCTACAAAGAACCTTTCAGATTGAGAATGGTTCTATAAAGAACCATACTCCATTAAGATTCTATAAATAACCATTAAACAGGGTTCTTTATAACCCCAAAAGGGTTGTAACCATAGCGGAATCCATTTTTGGTGCTATATAGAACCTTTTTTAATGATTCTTTAGAGAACCTTAGGAAGTAGTTCTTTATAACACCATACAGGTTCTATTTAGAACATTATGAGCATTGATCTTTATTAAACCTTCAAAAAAGGGTTCTATATTGCACCAAATAGGGTGCTGCTATGGTTACAAGCCAAATAACCCCTATCTGGTACTATTTAGAACCATTAGTGTGTATATATTATGTTGTAATCTATTTAATTCGGTGGGCTCACCTCTCCATAGGCCTCTAAAGCAGGCTTCCAAAGGTGCTTCAGGCCCAGCCCCTCACAGTCATAGATCAGGGTTATCGCCTCCACATTAACCCCCAACTGAGTGAGTGAATGAGTGAGTGAGTGAGTGAGTGAGTGAGTGAGTGAGTGAGTGAGAGAGAGAGAAATAGAGAGAGAAAGAGGAGAGAGAGCGAGAGAGAGGGTTGGGGGATATTTTAAGAGCGTTGTGAACAGAGCCCCAGTAACAAGTCAAACCTCTCCTTCTTCTATATAATAATATACAGTATGCCATTTAGCAGATGCTTTAATCCAATGCGTCTTACAGTCATGGGTGCATACATTTTACGTATGGGTGGCCCCAGCGGGAATCAAACCCACAACTATTGGCATTGCAAGCGCCATGCTATACCGACTGAGCCATTTAAAGAGTACAGAGATCAATCTCTTTAATGAATGTCTGTCTGTACTGTCTCTGGCACTCTCTGAGATAAAATAATAAATCAATCATTATCATATTGAATATACAGTACCAGTCAAAAGTTTGGACACACCTACTCATTCAAGGGTTTTTCTTTATTTTTGCTATTTTCTACATTGTAGAATAATAGTGAAGACATCAAAACTATGAAATAATACACATGGAATCATGTAGTAACCGAAAAAGTGTTAAACAAATCAAAATATATTTTATATTTAAATTCTTCAAAGTAGCCACCCTTTGCCTTGATTACAGCGTTGCACACTCTTGGCATTCTCTCAACCTGTTTCATGAGGAATGCTTTTCCAACAGTCTAGAAGGAGTTCCCACATATGCTGATCACTTGTTGGCTGATTTTCCTTCACTCTGCAGTCCAACTCATCCCAAACGATCTCAATTAGGTTGAGGTCGGGTGATTATGGAGGCCAGGTCATCTGATGCAGCACTCCATCACTCTCCTTCTTGGTCAAATAGCCCTTACACAGCCTGGAGGTGTGTTTTGGGTCATTGTCCTGTTGAAAAACAAATGATAGTCCAACTAAGCGCAAATCAGATGGGCTGCAGAATGCTGTGGTAGCCATTCTGGTTAAGTGTGCCTTGAATTCTAAATAAATCACAGACAGTGTCACCAACAAAGCACCCCCACACCATCACACCTCCTCCTCCATGCTTCACGGTGGGAACCACACATGCGGAGATCATCTGTTCACCTACTCTGCGTCTCACAAGGACTCAGCGGTTGGAACCAAAAATCTCAAATTTGGACTCATCAGACCAAAGGACAGATTTCCACCAGTTTAATGTCCATTGCTCATGTTTCTTGGCCCAAGCAAGTCTCTTCTTATTATTGGTGTCCTTTAGTAGTGGTTTCTTTGCAGCAATTCGACAATGAAGGCCTGATTCACGCAGTCTCCTCTGAACAATTGACGTTGAGATGTGTCTGTTACTTGAACAATGTGAAGCATTTATTTGGGCTGCAATCTGAGGAATCTAATGAACATATCGTCTGCAGCAGAGGTAACTCTGGGTCGTCCGTTCCTGTGGTGGTCCTCATGAGAGCCAGTTTCATCATAGTGCTTGATGGTTTTTGCACTTTAAGAAACTTTCAAAGTTCTTGAAATTTTCCGGGTTGACTGACCTTCATGTCTTAAAGTAATGATACTGTTGTTTCTCTTTGCTTATTTGAGCTGTTCTTGACATAATATGGACTTGGTCTTTTACCAAATAGGGCTTTCTGTATACCACCCCTGCCTTGTCACAACACAACTGATTGGCTCAAACGCATTAAGAAGGAAATAAATTCCACAAATTAACTTTTAAGAAGGCACACCTGTTAATTGAAATGCATTCCAGGTGACTACCTCATGAAGCTGGTTGAGAGAATGCTAAGAGTGTGCAAAGCTGTCATCAAGGCAAAGGGTGGCTACTTTGAAGAATCTCAAATATAAAATATATTTTGATTTGTTTAACACTTTTTTGGGTTACTACATGATTCCATATGTGTTATTTCATAGTTTTGATGTCTTCACTATTATTCTACAATGTAGAGAATAGTAAAAATAAAGAAAAACCCTGGAATGAGTAGGTGTGTCCAAACTTTTGACTGGTAATGTATATGTAATAAATCATCCTCAGTTAAAGCATACCTTCTCTGTCTGCTTCTGGCACTCTGATATTGTATAAGAATAAAGGTCTGTCATACTGTAATACATACAGTGCCTTCAGAAAGTATTCAGACCCCTTGACTTATTCCACATTTTGTTATGTTACAGCCTGAATTCAAAATGAATTAAATGGATTTTTTCTCTCTCACCCATCTATACTCAATACTCCATGACAAAGTGAAAACATGTTTTTAGAAATTTTTGAAAGTGTATTGAAAATACAATACAGAAAAATCTAATGTACATACATTTACATTTCATGGCCAAAAGTATGTGGACACCCCTTCAAATGAGTGGATTCGGCTATTTCAGCCACACACGTTGCTGACAGGTGTATAAAATTGAGCACAACGCCATGCAATCTCCATAGACAAACATTGGTAGTAGAATGGCCCGTACTGAAGAGCTCAGTGACTTTCAACGTGGCACCGTCACAGGGTGCCACCTTTCCAGCAAGTCAGTTCATCAAATTTCTGCCCTGCAGAGCTGCCCCGGTCAACTGTAAGTGCTGTTATTGTGAAGTGGAAACATTTAGGAGCAACAACGGCTCAGCCGCGAAGTGGTAGGCCACACAAGCTCACAGAATGGGACCGCCGAGTGCTGAAGCACGTAGCTTGTAAAAATCGTCTGTCCTCGGTTGCAAGACTCACTACTGAGTTCCAAACTGCCTCTGGAGGCAACTTCAACATGAACTGTTCGTCGGGAGCTTCATGGAATGGGTTTCCATGGCCGAGCAGCCACACAAGCCTATGATCACCATGCGCAATGCCAAGCGTCGGGCTAGAGTGGTGTAAGTCTCGCCGCCATTGGACTCTGGAGCAGTGGAAACACGTTCTTTGGAGTGATGAATCACGCTTCACCAACTGGCAGTCCGACGGACGAATCTGGGTTTGGCGGATGCCAGGAGAACGCTACCTGCCCCAAGGTGAATTCATCTCCTAGTGTCTGGTGGAAAGCAGACTGAACCAGGTTTTTCTCTAGGATTTTGCCTGTGCTTAGCTCTATTCCGTTTCTTTTTAACCTAAAAACTCACTAGTCCTTGAACGATTACAAGCATACCCATAACATGATGCAGCCCCCAACATGCTTAAAAACAGTGGTAGAGTGGTAGTAGTGATGTGTTGGATTTGCCCCAAACATAATGCTTTGTATTCAGGACAAAAAGTTTTTTGCAGTACTTTAGTGCCTTGTTGCAAACAGGATGCATGTTTTGTAATATTTGTATTCTGTACAGGCTTCCTTCTTTTCACTCTGTCAATTAGGTTAGTATTGTGGAGTAACTACTGTGTTGTTGATCCATCCTCAGTTTTTTCAGCCATTAAACTTTGTAACTGTTTTAAAGTCACCATTGGCCTCATGGCGAAATCCCTGAGTGGTTTCCTTCCTCTCAGGCAACTGAGTTAGGAAGAACACCTGTATCGTTGTAGTGATTGGGCGTATTGATACACCATCCAAAGTGTAATTAATAACTTCACCATGCTCAAAGGGATATTCAATGTCTGCTTTTTTTATTTGTACCCATCTACAAATAGGTGCCCTTCTTTGTGAGGCATTGGAAAACCTCCCTTGTCTTTGTGGTTTAATCTGTATTTGAAATTCACTGTTTGACTGAGGGACCTTACAGATAACTGTATGTGTGGGGTACAGAGATTAGGTAGTCATTCAGAAATCATGTTAACCACTATTATTGCACACAAAGTGAGTCCATGCAATTTATTATGAGATTGTTAAGTACTTTTTTACTCCTGAACTTATTTAGGCTTGCCATAACAAATGGGTTGAATACTTATTGACTCAAGACATTTCAGCTTTTCATTTTTTTTGAATGGTAAAAATGTCTAAAACCACAATTCCACTTTGACATTATGGGGGGTATTGTGTGTAGGCCAGTGACAAAAAAATCTAAAGTTAACAAATGTTAAATTCACGCTTTAATTCAACTAAATGTGTGAAAAGTCAAGGGGTGTGAATACTTTCTGAAGGCACTGTATGTACTCAATTCTGGTAATATTGTCATACATATTTAACAAAGCATGGTAGGTCAAAGTGTACCTTCTCTGTCTGTTTCTGACACTCTCCACGGAGCATCTCTGTGTCTCTGATCTTGGTCCTCATGAAGTCCTGTTTGGTGCAGGACAGCATCAGACCTTTGGGGTCCAGGGGCCCGATGACATCATACCAGATGGGACTGCCCTCAAGGTCGTACCCACACATCCCCCCGGACACATACCGCTCAATCACCTGGGGAACCACATCATACAGTCAGACCCGGCGCCAGAACGAATCAGTTGGACGGGCCTTTGACCTCCTATGTGTGCACGCGCTTGCACGCATTTTTAAAAATGGGTGTAATAGTAAAGACCGTGAGTTTCAAGTTTGGGGAAGCTTACAATTTATCCTATCATTTCTACCGAACTGCGTGCCAGTTATGAATATTTATATATGCACATTTTAATGGAACAGTTTCATTTCAGTAATAACGTTTTCGTTTCTGAAAATCATTATCACGTGGTTAATCATAAAAATCTGAAGTAAAATGGTACAAATAGAAAAGATACAATTCAACTATGGCGAGAGCACTAGCCTCTGCCATATGGACACATTGATACACTGTGATCCATTGGCGGCTAAAGAAATGAGAGCATAGAACTCAGAGATAGCCGATAGGCCAATGCAGCAGTAGGCTTATAACTTCCATCATCAACTAAGTAAAATACATAGTCGACAAATAAAAACAGCAGAAATATCCTGATGACAATTCCGGTTCTTTCATTCACATTCATCTCTCCTCTCTGCCTCCCTTTCTATATGTCTTGACTTGAGCTATTGATAGTGAAGTTCAACAATGTATCAAATTATCACAGGGTCCGGCCCGAGGTCATCCTAATAAACTTGCAACATTGTATCAACTAGCCTATTCCCTCAAAGTTTCCTGTGCCAGTAAGCTGTTTTTTATGATGTTTCCACTGGATATATGGGATCATCAGATCCTGATATTTTGCTCTTTCACACCGAGGCTTGGTGATTATTGAGGCCGGGAGTGTTGGAAAGATTTTTCAAATAATGAGGAACTATCATTCACAATGGATGTTAAAAAACCCAGACTTTGTTGACTTGTGTGAGGCGAAGAAAAAATGAGTGGTGTACAGAAATAAGACATAGCCAAATGGGCACTTTCCTACATATGCATGCATTCTGGAGATAAATAAATAATAAATAAATTGGTCATTTAGCAGACGCTCTTATCCAGAGCGACTTACAGGAGCAATTAGGGTTAAGTGCCTTGCTCAAGGGCACATCGACAGATTTTTCACCTAGTCGGCTCGGGGAGATGCACCATATCTTCACCACACCCCCCTCCCCTTTTGGTGATACAACATTTTAAATTATAGACACATTATCTTCACACATATTTTAGACGCACCTGTGTAATGATCATGCTGTTCAATCAGCTTCTTGATATGCCACACCTATCAGGAGGATGGATTATCTTGGCAAAGGAGAAATGCTTACTAACAGGGATGTAAACAAAACTGTGCACAACATTTGAGAGAAATACACTTTTTGTGTGTATGGAAAATGTCTGGGATCTTTTTTATTTCAGCTCATGAATCATGGGATAAACACTTTCCATGTTGCGTTTATATTTTTGTTCAATATAGTAGAACTCATACAGCTCGATTAGAATTAGTAGTGAGAATCAAGCTGATTTCACAACCCAGATATATTATTGTTGTTGTATTTAATTCTGTGCCCATACCAATCTCTATCTGACCATGGTAGACAGGAGGAAAGCCACACAAATGATCATATTGTGTGTCGTGTAAGACGGTAGTTTGTATCAACATCTGTGTCGTGTCATTACACTGTGTAATAACACTATTAGTCTTAATGGTGTAGCTCTACTCTGTCACAGACGGAGCTGTACTTTGTCAGCAGACAGACACACAGAAAGGCAGGCAGGCACACAGACAAACAGAAAGGCAGGCAGGCACCTCAGGAGGCCTCCAGTCAGAGATGATGGTGTCTGCTTTCATGTGTTTCCTGAACTCCAGATGCTACAGAGGAGAGAGAGACTCTCGTTCAGAACAGTATTTTAGCAGTGACAGTTATGTTGAATAAAAGTAGGCTTTGAAAAGTTTCAAGTGAATTTAAAAAGAGAGACAGTGTTTGTGTGTTTTTAATGTGGGATAATGTGGAGTTCTGGATAAACACAACCTCAAGGCTTTGAACTTTGAACAAAAGGGAACACACACACATAATGGAGCATTTTGGAAGCAGTGCACCCTGGGAAGGAAAGGGATCAGGAGGCTTATACTGATAATGTGTGTGTGTGTGTGTGTGTGTAATAAGTAGCTTGAAGATACAGTCTTTGACAGCTCGCAGGGTGTCATATTATAATCCTCTGATGTAAAAAAGAATCCATAGAAATTGATTGTTTCTATGAAACAATCACCATGGAGAATTTACAGACACCAGAAAGTAATCTTGTTATCTCACCATCTTTATTATTACCTTCTAGTCTTTCTTATCAATACAACACGTTACCCTTTTTAATTACAGGGTAATGCATCATGTATACACAGTGTATAGTAACATGCACATGGTATATTGAATATGTAGACATTATTATGTCCTGTCAATAATTCTCATTACAAGTCAACGAGAGGAAAGTAGCCAGTATTTAGATATCAGAGGACAGAAGGACCTTGTTAGATCAACAAACACCTGAAACAGGGTCTCACCTTTCTAAGCATCGCCTCTGCTTTCTGAACATTGAAGCTTCGGGCTGGAAAAGAAGAAAAACAACTCAGGTCATGATACAGAATAAGACAAAACAAGATGTAACATAGACAATCATTATGGCCATTAGCAGGGCATCAAATTAAACACCCGCCATTAACACCCCGTAGATTTAGGTATTGGCGGGTAAGAACGTCTATTTCACCAGCCATGTAGGCGGGTGGTCAATTTGCAGGGCTCTACAGTGCGTTACATTCACATTTGCCAATAAAAATAGTCAAAAGTAAATTCTGAGCACGTGACTTATAGCAGAAAAATACTGCAGTAGCTGTTTTCAAAGTATTTCTGCTGTTTTGTTTCATAGCTCCTATGAATACAAATTATAAATTATATCAATCAAATTTCAATCAAATGTATTTATAAAGCCCTTTTTACATCAGCAGATGGTGGTTTTGATGTAATTATGTCAGGATTTGTATTTATTTATGCATTATACCTGCTGATGTTCATGTTTTGCTGTTGAGTTTGAGATGTAAGATACATTTCACAAAAGGGACACATAATAAATCATTATTATGCTCGAGTGAAAGAACTCACCTATGGAAATATTCCTTAACCACACAGTATGGACCATAAATTAGCATGGCCTTGAATTTAGGTTGGCCGATACTATTCATAGAATTAAGTGCAACTAGTGTACAGGGTACATAGTAACACCATCCAATGACAGTGAGACAGCGAATCTGACACAGTTGAATAAGTTGAATAAACTCTCTTTTGTAAGGCTAAAACACTGGATGAGGGAGAACGCAAATATTGATCTATTCCGTCTGCCTTGAAGTAATGCCCACTATATGGAAGAGTCAACTCTCATGGACACAAACGTGCACACAAACGTGTACACACACACACTATACAATAGCTCATATGTAATGGCATATATTGCCTGTAGTGAATGCTGATACATTATTTGCAGAATGAGTTTTAATCTTGCACATTATAAAAGCCCAAACCCCAATGCATGTCACCTAGTAGCTACTACAACACTGCTATGTCTTTTTAATGCCCTTGTTGTCAGACACCTGTGTGTACAGACCGTGAGTACGCTACCATCATCCTAGCTGCAGTAATCTGGTGCCTGTGTTGTCTAATGCCTATTACAGGGTTAGTGTCCAGCTGCCTGCCTGGTTGTCTATGGGTAGTTTACAGATACTGGACCTGTTCCCCTACCTGTCCACCTATCTCATTACACAGGTGAATACACTTCCCTAAGAGACTAATAGGAAATTGAGTGCTCTATTGAATTGATCAGGGCCTTTGTCCAACCACTGAAAATAAAATAATTACACACATTCACAATGTGGCACAGGTGCTGGACAATGAAATACAGCCATGGAAAGAAAGTACAAGTCTGTTCACTGTTTGCTGCTTAAAATATGATTTTCTAGAATATAGGTAGGCTAGTGGTTAAGAGCGTTGGGCCAGTAACTGAAATGTCGCTAGTTTGAATCCCTGAGCCGACTAGGTGAAAAATCTGTTGATGTGCCCTTGAGCAAGACACTTAACCCTAATTGCTCCTGTAAGTCGCTCTGGATAAGAGCGTCTGCTAAATGACAAAAAAATATAAATAATAGAATAAAAAAAAAATATATAATAATAATGAAATTAAACAAAAAATTATAAAGATAAAACGATAAAAATTTATATAAATTAAAATTAGTAAAAAATATAACAAAATCATTAAAAAAACACAAAAACACTACAAAAATTCAGGTTTGGGAAGTCCTCTAATATTTAGCCTACTTTGTTTGTCCAAACCCGGTCTACTGGCTGAGTAAATATGCTCTGGTGGGCATAGGGCAGGAGGAGGAGGAGGGGGCTCACGGTCCATCCCTATTGGTCAGGCCAGCAAAGTGCCCCATAGGCTGATGTTTACTTCCAAAACATTATCAAAAACACAGCAGCCGAATGTCAGAAGTCACCAGAGCAGAAGCCCCACTGGCAGCCAGAAGCGATAGAGACCAGTCTCTACATACACAAACATGGATACAGAACATGTCCCCAAATCTTACCGGAGTCTTCAGCTACCTATACACAAGTTTTTTAACAATCCATGTTTCTGACGTATCTTGGATCACACAGGTGATTCTCTCTTCCCCTCTCTATCTGTGTGTGTTTCTTTGTATTTACATTGACAAATGTATTTGCTAATATTTGATATGGAGGACACTGTTTCACCCTTTTGTACATCATTGAGGCTAATACTGGTTGGGGGAGGGAGGGGGAGGCTGTTTGTGGGAGGGAAGGGATCTCTCTGCTGTACTCTCATGTAGCCTGTAATTCTGTGTATGTGTGTGAGGGGGTGGGGGGTAGAAGGGGCATTATATTGTTGAAAAATAAAGCAATAAAGCAATATGCACATCATGTACACACAGCAGAGTGAGAGAGCGAATAATTATGCGGTACACATATCTGCACATACAGTATGTGACGAAGCAATTTTCAGGGACCACTATTGGCTCGTGAGCACTACTTTCAGAACTACTGGTTAAAAAGTATACAAAAAGGGGGGGGGGGGATGTTGGAGCTACACAGGGGGGTGTAGAAGAGGAATTATCTTAATTGTTTTTGGGGGGGATGCTTGTGACATTTTAAAAATGGGAATAAATATATTGTCAAAAAAAATATCACTTCCTTAAAGACTTGACTACTAAGTATTTGTTAAAGAGGCAATATGTACGTTTTTGGCCGATTTGTAACAGTTCCATTTCCACTGGGTCTGCTGAGTGTGGGTTAACAATACCTCATATCACACCTCTTACACCCAATCTGAAAAACTACTGTCTCTCTGCAACAGGTAACATATGTAAAAAAGACAATATTTGACTGTATATTTACAAAAGATGTCACCACCATGAATAGGAGTCAACTATCATTTGAAAACAGAGCTGTGGATTGACGGTTGGTCAAAACACAACTTGTCAAAATGCCTCAAATGCCTAGGCTACCTGTGTGACGTAGCTCCCTATTGGAACAGACAGAGCGGAAAGTGATTACTGTACTTTTGTCCTCTGTGGTTGTCACAACAAAACCTGTTCTCATATTATTGGACAATAAGTTTCACTGTAGGGTTCACTCTCTATGGGTCAGAGAAACAGACTGCATGTGGTGTATGCTAAGCCCATGTCCACTACATCAGTGAGATAATGAAGCCTATAGGCATACTTTAACTCAGACATAGTCTACTGTATCAGCGCAAATGTTGCATCCTCTTTCTATTCACCATGAGGAATACAGGCCTGGTCATTAGGATTAGAGATGTTGAAAAGCACTTTAGGGTAGGCCTAATTTAATTTGAACATGACCATCCTACCATCATATTGTAATGTATGCAATAAATGTTGCAGGGTAAAAAAAATACATATCAAAAACATAATCTGCAGAAATTCATGTTGCTATGGGAACAAAAATGTAGTTTTCATCTTACCTCGGAGCCAGCGAAGCAGGTAGTGATCATGCTGCGCGGGAAGGTCTGGGAGAATGTCCTCAACCTGCTCTCGAAACTAGCAGGAGACAACACAATACTGACACAACTAACTAAATAAAGAATTGGTGAGGGGGGAAAAGGAGGAATACACTGAATAGGCTCTATGACAACAACGAAAAGTCGCTTTTTGAGACAGTACCTTGAATAAACAGAGGCTAGACTACAGGCCTACAAAGAACATAAAATATTATAGTGGAAAGTTTAAATTACCTCGGCTAAAATTTCCACCTGCTTCGGGCTGAGGTCGCCCACGCGTCCGCTCATTCTATCTGTGATGACCGCGTAGGCGCTCCAGTAAATCACTTTCTGTGAATGGAACTCCGGTGGACTAAAGCGGTCTCTGTCACTGTCACACACACACCTCCCATGTCATTCCCCTCCGCCATCAGACCCCTCCCCTCCCTCCAGGTAGTCCTGCGGTCACGGTGACTCCGAGGCACACTGATCCAGGACCAGCCTATCCTTCCCAAATCCTCACCTTTAACTACACGGGGGAAATGCTAAACTGACCTCAGCTCAGTGTCTAGGAACAGCTCCAGCCCAGATAAACCCCCAACCACAGTACAGTAGTGATATAGAATAGTAATAACTCTGTGACAATCAAACAATGCAATGAACAAAATTATCCTTTATTATCATATAATATATGCATATTTGGCATATTTCACAGGGAAATCTAGCACATAATCTAATATCTTTGCCATGCATTTTAGCAAATAGCCTACTATAAAGATAGCAACCTGATGGTCTGTTTAGGGGCTTTGAAGATACTTTATAGTCTGCTTTGTCAGAAATGTGCCCTTGCAACACAAAGGTCCTTTACCAAGAGGGTACAAAACAGGTATAAAAAGTTAAACAAACAGATAAACCGGATACATAGAAGCTTCAAAAGGCAAAGCACCCTAACAATTGACCAAATGTCAATTACTAACAGAACTAAGATTGCAGAGATTCACAGCAGAGCTCTGTGACCACCAATACAATCAATAATTATCATATCGTTGGCCAATGCATTAGACCAGGGATACTTAAATATGTCCCTATAGGCCAGAAGTACTGCTGGTTTTCATCTTTCCCTTCCAGTCAGGGACTGATTCACACCTGGGCCCTGTTCAAACTACTTTAAATTCTTCTTTCCTCTCTCTTTCTTAAAGTGATCTGATTTGGTTAAATTGGTGAAAACAATAGGTTGATAACCTACTATCATCTAGCCTATCGAGTCACTTCTAGGTCTATGATTAGCTCAAGGGAGAGAACAGGGAAGGATGCACTTTTTGGCTACGTTTACACAGGCAGCCTAATTCTGATCTTTTACCCAATTTTGGGCAATTAACTCAGGTAGAAAAGAAAACCAGCAGTCCTCTGGACCTCCTGGCTCAGATTTAGGAGGCCTGTGCATTAGATTAGACTGTTCACATTTAATATAGACATAAACACTCAGCGGTACAACACAATACACAAATAAAGCCAAAATGTAATATTCCAAATACTGAATGGGTGCAACCTGTAGAATATACTGTAGCTGTGGATGAGACCCCGGTGTGCGCTCATTGGAGACAGGTCACAACTATCAGGTGTTGAGACAGTTACAGTACTAGTAACGGTAGTTGTAGAAGATACAGTGCCTTCAGAAAGTATTCACACCCCTTGACGTTTTCCCAATTTTGTTGTGTTACAAAGTGGGAAAAAATTGATAGAATTATCATTTTTGGTCAACGATCTACACAAAATACTCTAATATCAAAGTGGAAGAAGAATTCTAACATTTATAAAAAAAAATATTAAAAAGAAAAAACACTAATACAGTACATCTTGATTAGAAATATCTCCTTTAGTCAATACATGTCAGAAACCCCTTTGACAGCAATTACAGCTGTGAGTATTTTTGGATAAGTCTAAGAGCTTTGCACACCTGGGTTGTATAATATTTGCCCATTATTCTTTGAAAAATTCTTCAAGCTTTGTCAAGTTGGTTGTTGATCATTGCTAGACAGCCATTTTCAAGTCTTGCCATAGATTTTCAAGCCGATTTAAGTCGAAACTGTTACTTGGCCACTCAGGAACATTTTAATGCTGTCTTGATAAGCAACTCCTGTGTAGATTTGGCCTTGTGTTTTATGTTATTGTCCTGGTGAAATTATAATTTGTCTCCCAGTGTCTGTTGGAAAGCAGACTGAACCAGGTTTTCCTCTAGGATTTTGCCTGTGCTTAGCGCTATTCAATTTATTTTTATAATTAAAATAATTGTCCAAGAAAATATAATAACAATAATTTTCACTCAATTCACAAGAGGCTGAATGTATCTCACAGGAGAAAGCATCCAAGCGAGCGAAACAGCGCCCCTCTGTCTCTCTACGTGTAGGTCATCTATCTGATGCTGTCTGGCCCAAACGAGTATGACATTGTTGCCGCCCATGGCATTGAAGGCAAGGGAAGCCAGCGAGCATTTGGCCTCCCATGATAAAAAAAAGTAGAAGAAAATTAGCCAATCAGCGTTGAGCTAAACAGTGCGAGCTCAACTGTGAATGGTCCTGGCACACCAAAGTGTCAAGTGAAGCCAGCTTACTCTTGTGCCTTGTTGCAAATAGAATGCATGTTTTTGAATATTTTTATTCTGTAATGGCTTCCTTCTTTTCACTCTGTCATTTAGGTTAGTATTGTGGAGTAACTACAATGTTGTTGATCCATCCTCAGTTTTCTCCTATCTGTAACTGTGAACATCTTTCCATTCTCCACTGTCATCAGACAGGATTAATGATCTTGTGGGTTGAATTTCCACCAACGAATGGATGGAGGGGTTCCTTTGAGAAATTGCACTCTACATAAGAGTAGATATGAGAAGCAGCATAGATCTTGGTCACGTTGTAAAAGGAGACTATATCGTTATCATAATCTACAAATACCCCGACACTCTTCAACTCATTCTGTTCTTCAGTGTGGAAGAGAGAAAACAAGGTCCCCTCATAAACTCCTACTTTACCCTTGTTCCACCTCAGAGTCCAGGCACCATCTTTAGTTCCAAACCCTATGTTCTTCTCCTTGTTGATGGACTCCTTGACCACTCCTACTATCCATGATCCCCCCACCTCTACAACAAAGTAAGATTTCTTTGTTGATATTTGCTGTTTTCCCAGGACACAGGGATACATTTTGAATCTGTTTTTCCTTAGATTCCTTCATTCCTATTTCCTTTACTTTTTTCGTACCTCTTTTGCTTTCCATAATAGAAGAATAATGTGCTGTTCCAGGTTCTAAGGTGATAAGAACTGTAATAGAATGGAAAAAATATATATTCAACGATTGCAAATTACACAGTGTTTTTGTTATATAATCATACAGTTATAATTATTTTAAAGCATCTAGTCAATTGTAACAAACAACAAACGTCAAAAGGGATTACAACAGGTATCTGTCAATTAGATAAAATCTCAGCATTAAAAGCAAAATGTGTCATTTTCACTTCAAGTCAATAGTGCTTCTGCAGCAAAGCACCCCCACAGCATGATGCTGCCACCCCCGTGCTTCACGATTGGGATGGTGTTCTTCGGCTTGCAAGCATTCACCTTTTTCCTCCAAACATCATGATGGTCATTATGGCCAAACAGTTCTGTTTTTGTTCCATCAGACCAGAGGACATTTCTCCAAAAAGTACGATCTTTGTCCCCATGTGCAGTTGCAAACCGTAGTCTGGCTTTTTTATGGTGGTTTTGGAGCAGTGGCTTCTTCCTTGCTGAGCGGCCTTTCAGGTTATGTCGATATAGGACTCATTTTACTGTGGATAAAGATACTTTTGTACCTGTTTCCTCAAGCATCTTCACAAGGTCCTTTGCTGTTGTGCTGGGATTGATTTGCACTTTTTGCACCAAAGTACGTTCATCTCTAGGAGACAGAACGCGTCTCCTTCCTGAGCGGTATGACGGCTGCGTGGTCCAATGGTGTTTATACTTGCATACTATTGTTTGTACAGATGAACATGGTACCTTCAGACGTTTGGAAATTGCTCCCAATGATGAACCAGACTTGTGGAGGTCTACAATTTTTTTTCTGAGGTCTTGGCTGATTTCTTTTGATTTTCCCATGATGTAAAGCAAAGAGGCACTGAGTTTGAAGGTAGGCCTTGAAATACATCCACAGGTAAACCTCCAATTGACTCAAATTATGTCAATTAGCCTATCAGAAGCTTCTAAAGCCATGACATCATTTTCTGGAATTTTCCTAGCTGTTTAAAGGCACAGTCAACTTAGTGTATGTAAACTTCTGACTCACTGGAATTGTGATACAGTGAATTATAAGTGAAATAATCGGTCTGTAAACAATTGTTGGAAAAATTACTTGTGTCATGCACAAAGTAGATGTCCTAACCGACTTGCCAAAACTATAGTTTGTTAACAAGAAATTTGTGGAGTGGTTGAAAAACAAGTTTTAATGACTCCAACCTAAGTGTATGTAAACTTCCGACTTCAACTGTATACACTACCGTTCAAATGTTTGGGGTCACTTAGAAATGTCCTTGTTTTTGAAAGAAAAGCATTTTATTTGTCCATTAAAATAACATCAAATTGATCAGAAATACAGTGTAGACATTGTTAATGTTGTAAATGGCTATTGTAGCTGGAAACGGCTGATTTTTAATGGAATATCTACATAGGCGTACAGAGGCCCATTTTCAGCAACCATCAGTCCTGTGTTCCAATGGCACGTTGTGTTTGCTAATCCAAGTTTATAATTTTAAAAGGCTAATTGATCATTAGAAAACCATTTTGCAGTTATGTTAGCACAGCTGAAAACTGTTGTGCTGATTAAATAAGCAATAAAACTGGCCTTCTTGAGACTAGTTGAGTATCTGGAGCATCAGCAATTGTGGGTTCGATTACAGGCTCAAAATGGCCAGAAACAAATAACTTTCTTCTGAAACTCATCAGTCTATTCTTGTTCTGAGAAATGAAGGCTATTCCATGCGAAAAATTGCCAAGAAACTGAAGATCTCATACAACGCTGTGTACTACTCCCTTCACAGAACAGCGCAAACTGGCTCTAACCAGAATAGAAAGAGGAGTGGGAGGCCCCGGTGCACAACTGAGCAAGAGGACAAATACATTAGAGCATCTAGTTTAAGAAACAGATGCCTCACAGGTCCTCAACTGGCAGCTTCATTAAATAGTACCCTCAAAACACCAGTCTCAACATCAACAGTGAAAAGGCGACTCCGGGATGCTGACCTTCTAGGCAGAGTTGCAAAGAAAAAGCCATATCTCAGACTGCCCATCTTTTATTTTTATTGGCCAGTCTGAGATATGTATTTTTCTTTGCAACTCTGCCTAGAAGGTCAGCATCCCGGAGTCGCCTCTTCACTGTTGACATTGAGACTGGTGTTTTGCGGGTACTATTTAATGAAGCTGCCAGTTGAGGACCTGTGAGGCACAAAACTAACTCCATACTTCCATTCATTTTTTAAAACCGGTACTTGTTACCTTCAGACGAGTCCCGTAGAGCAAAACGGAGAACATAGTCATGTTTGTAAGTCTCTCCTTTCCATAGAGTGGCGAAACCGTTCAGACGTTACAGACGTTTTCGTGAGAGGACCGATTTTCGGATGTCTCATGGTCTGACAAACACGATGTAGCTCGGCCATCTTTCACCCCAACTGCGGAAGGCCGCCATAGGCGGATGCGGTGAAATGCAAAGAAAACATATCTCTCGCTTAAACTAACCGATTTTGATGGGGATTTTTTAAATGTTACTTATTATGTCGACTCTGGGAGGTTTTAAGAGCACCACAACACATGAGAAATGAAGATATGGTCAATAAACGTCAATCATATGCATTAATTCCTCTACTGTATCAATAGGAATTTACATAGATTAATGTAACATTAACACTCACCTTCAAGATAAGATTGGACCATATCAATATCGGTGATATTGTTGGAGAATGTGTCTGGCTGGTTCAAGGCCTTCTACGGCAGCAAATAACTCAGGTCAGACAAAATGTGAAGGGAAGTTTTAATACCTTTACAGTGTTCCTCTCCATACGTCATCAATTACTTTCTATACAGATGTTCATGTTTTGCAGCAGTATTTGGTTCAACATGGCCTAATTCCACTGGTATTTAACATTTCAGTTGACATCAAAGGGAACATCAGGGGAAACTCTAGTCCGTTGTTTTTTCTCTCAGTGCTCCTCAGGCCTTATCTGCACTACACATGCAAAAGTGACTCAGCTAGCTAACGTCCTATCAAAAATATGAACATCGATTCCATTTACGTAACGGTTCCAAAAAATAGTACTTTAAGCTTAAAAAAAAGCTTGATATAATTTCTATAGATTTGGACAAGACGGACAGTGAGAGTTGTCAGAGAACTCCCCACATATAACACACAACTGGAGAGACCACTTGTCTGTCAAACAAGACTCTGCACTCTGCCGATGGAGAGGAAGTTCAAAACGCCATTCTAGAATCGCAGGCTTACAGGAAGCTACGTCAAACTGCCACAGGCTATTTCCTCATTCTAAAATAGCGTTCACATCCTCAAATAACAGCTTACATCGAGAAACTTCTAAGTAGCACTTCACTGTCTCATGTCGTGCTGCTCTTCTCAAGCCTGGTATCCAGTTGTCAATCAAGTAACTTTAATATAATTCATCATTGTTTTACCATCTGGTCATTCTAAACATACAGTAAATACATTAAAAGAAGAGTAGAGAAAAGAAAGCAGTTTGTTGACAGAGTGTCTGTTGGAAACATTCATCAAGATGCTCCTTGGCTGGCTGACAGACAGATCCCAGCAAGAAGCCAAGAAGGCAGAGCAGGAAGAGATGAGAAGATAAATTTCAGTTTCAGGAGAGTTAGTTATTTTTTTGGTTGTTGTTATTGTTATTTGTGTTAAGTGTTTGGCCTCGTGGGTTAAAGCAGCATTCGAGATGTTTCTCAGACTTAAAGCCACGTCACTGTTCCAGTTTCTCTGTCTGTCTGTCCCGGAACATAGGCCTACACCTCTGTCCTTCCAAGGCCTTCAGAGAGAGACTCTGTGGGAATGTCCTGCCATTGACGGCCTGTGTCTTTAGTTCAGTTGTTAGCCACGCCTGATTGGCTGTTTGTGTCCTCATCACAAGCCGTGTCTTATTGGCAGTTTGTGTCCTCACGTCCTGTCAGTTTGTCCAAGGTCCTCAGAGCTCCAGCCTCTTTCTCTGTGCAAAGACATCCAGGCTGTGTGTGTGTGTGTGCTTGCACGTACTGTGTTTCCATGTGCGAGACTAACTGTGTGTGCGTACAGGTGTGTGTGTGTGTTAGACAGTGTGTGTGATGTAAAAGATGAACTCCATGTCCATGGCTGTCTGTGGTACTCTGGCTGAGCCTCCGTGGATGACGGGGATCAGAGCGCTGTCTAGCTCGTTCATATAGCGCTGGGGTAGGAGCCTGCCTCCCGAACCAGCCTGGTACTCCACCTGACACACCACACACAGACACACACACACACACAAACCATTAACTTCAGTTAAAATCCTTAATATCCTTACAGTTTCATTTGACTCCAGTGGGTGTCGTTGCTATAATAGTAAACAAATCAATCAAATGTTTTCATAGCGCTGTTCACAGATACATTTGTCACCAAGTGACACCTTTTCATAACATTACAGTGTGTTAGTGCATTAGTAACCATGTCAGTGTGTGTGGAGACTCTGAGGGCGAGGGAGTTGATGCCGCTGGCTGAGAGGACCGAGAGGTGAGGGGTCAGAGCACTACAGCTGGCCACAGCCATCTCCTTCTGGAACACACTGCAGGACGGCAGCACCACAGATAGGGACACGTCTGGAGTCTTCAGCCAGTAGAACACCTGGAGGAAGAGACAGACAGACAGGTAGAGTCAGAAAGACAGAAAGATGGCGTAAGACAGGTACAGACAGACAGGTTTGAGTGACAATGTGTTTGTTTACAAGTGTGTGTTTCAGAGAGTTGTGACGCAGAAGGTGAACAGAACACCATGTCTGTAAGTATGACCTGTGTGTGTCCTACCTCAGTACACCTGATGGTGCGTCCGTCTGACTCAAACTCTGTGTCCTGCTGCATCCGCACACTGTGGACCCCTTCCAGAGGTTTCCTGTCCACACCACTGGTCACACTACAGGGACACACACACAGTAATGGATTGATCAATTATGCACCAGGGAGAAGATCACCAGTGTGTGTGTATAATAACCCTTACCCAGCGTTGACGGGGGCGCTCCAGTCAATCCAGCGGACGGTGACATTGTCCTGGAGCTCCCCTCCGTCAGCCTTGCCACAGGGGATGTGGAAGTCAGTCTGCCCCCTCAGGGCGGCACGCAGGGCCTCCATGGTCTCTGGGGGGATCTGCACCATCAGGCCGTCCTCCACGATACTCGACTTTGCGATGAAGCCTGACGAGGCCTTCAGAGCGCCGTTGAACACCACAAAGCTGGCCCCCGTCACTATAGAATAACACAATGATACACTGGTTAGAATAACAGAATATCATAGATAAAATCCCAGCAGATTTACCGATTTAGGTTGGAGTCTGGTTTGGTACTGATAAAAGAAAAGGACAGGACACAAGGGAAAAAATCAAGTATATTCTTTCATTTAATTACAAATAATATGTTTTAACAAACAGAAAGACAAGCAAGGACTACTTAATGTTTTAACTAGTCAAGACCACAACACCACAGGAAACACCTGCTTCATATCTGGGTCGTATTCATTATCCACCAAATGGAGAAAAAAACTGACTGAAACAGGGGTGGGCTACCTGTAGTTGTCCAATAAGAAATGTTCTTTATCGTTTTCTGTTGCAAAACGTTTTGCTACATTTTCTGAAACAAAACCAGTTTCTTCTGACCTCTAGTGGGCAATATAGGTTGTTACTGACCTGTGCGTGTCTTGCCAGGCTGGCTGTTGGCCTGGGTCTGGTAGTTGCCCTCGTCGTTCTGGAAACAGACCAGGTGGGAGTCAGCCTCTGAGCTGAACCCGGCACCCACACTGATCACATGCTCGTTAGACGCATTCACAACCTTCAGCATCTAGAAAACACACACATATAGTTAGACAGTAATGCACACACAAAAACACTTGCACACACACACCCCAGGGTTTAGAAAATTTGTCGGCGGACAAATGACAGGCAAGATTTACAATTACCGGACGCAAGATAAAATTACTGGACACATTTGCATTGGGTGCTTAACGGTGCTCAGAATGACAGACAGGTCCGGCCCACCTATTAGGCAGGAAGACCACTAGGGCGGCAGATTGACGAGGGTGGTATTTTCTGAGCTAAACTGACCAAGACGCACCTCCAACAACATATGTTGCCCCCTGATAAGCATTGCCCACTTTTCCAAAGACAGTCAGGGATGAAAAATATTTTGCTTGTCCAGTGTGCTGTTGGAGAGACGCAGCGCTGCACCAACACTGTCAAAGTCATCAAATATAAATCAAGGCAAGGCCATTTGGCATTCAAGAGGTGCCCAATCTGCCAGGGTACCAAGGCCATCTGCCAGGGCACCAAGGCCATTAACCAAAATAGCCAATTAAATGGATTTGAAAACCGAAAACCGTTATCTATTCTATTAAGAAAAACATGTGTATGTAAAATGTACATAAATAATTGGCCTACACGTAGACTATGCCTATTGGCTACAGCCTCATGTCCACACCGATGCGGACATGAGGGAGGCGCCAGGAAATGTGGCCAAACTTGAATGAGAATTACATATAGGCTAAACGCCAGTCATCTTGCACAAATATCATGTAGGATCATTAATAAACGTCTAAAGGCTTGATTCTTACATACTCGAGGCACTGTTGGTTCAGACCCGAGAGAAAGGCCAGTGCCTGTTGTGCACCGCAACATCACCCACCTGGCAATCTGAGTGGAGGCAGTCAGCATTTTGAAACTATTTATACATAAACTTAATTGTTCAAAACCTGGAGTTTTTTTGTTTCAAAGTAGCCTAGCCAAATTCCGACCATAGGAATGTTGAGGGAATTATTTTATAAACACTTCCTAATATGCCATTGAAAACAGTATTTCTCTCATGTTCTATTAGTTTTCAAAATCGACTTTCTCCAGCATCCAAAGACACAATCCTAGTCATATTAGCAACCCATGCTAGTTCATGCATCTTCCCTCTTTTTAAAGAATATTTTCATCTCTGTCCCATGAAAATGTTGCATTTGCAGTGTGCTTTTGAGAACTGTGTTTTCCCGCTAATTGCATTTTGGAACATTCGCGTGTATAACCTTCTGTCGTGTGCGCATTGCTGCGCTTATAATCTGAAGAAATAATAGTTTATCTACATTTTAAACTAAACATTCTGATCTGTTGCATCAGTCTCATTGTTTTTTACAAGAAAAAATAATGTTCAGTGCTTGGATCTATCATCCCACAACTGTTCCAGAGTCTGTTCGGAATATTTATTCTCACACAGAACGACAAACTGACCAATAGAATAGGTAAACTTTTCTACTATGGGGGATAGTAGATTGACATAGGCTAGTGATTTTGCTGTTCGTTACTCATCTTGTTAGCTGAGGAAATTAAATGTGGACAGTTCTTCTAACATCTTCAATGTGCCCCTCGGAATTCGATAACAATGACGCGCGCCATTGCATCTCTGACCTGTCTATCTTCACTTGATCTTGGGAGCTGCGAGGCCTTTGAGAAGGACCCGATCACGTGACGGGCATTGGCTAATTAGGATTGAGATATCTGAGAGAAGTGGCTCTCTCAGATGTAAAAGCACGTTCCACTCCAGCAGCAAAGAGCTGTTCAGGGGCAACTATTGCGCTGTTTGACAGTGATATTCGCTCAAGCTTTCTCTGTATGCTGTGCAAATGTGATAAATAAGATACATGACGACTAACGGAAATACACAAGCGGCAATTGTCTGGAGAATTTTAATTTTTAAAATCAGCTTTCCATTATTTTTGGGGGGCCAAAAGCCGGCAATTACCAGTTATTGGGAACCCTGACACACACACACACGTCGGTCTTACCTCAGTGAAGCTGCTCTTGGGAATGTCGATGTAGCTGTGGCCCATCTCCATGTGGATCCTCAGACCCTCCACAGCAGGTAGACTGTACTGGTAGTTCCTCAGGTCCTGTGGATGATCACAACACACACGTCACAGGTTTGTTTTGGGGACATTAATAGTATGTGGCCTACACTCTTTTTTTTTTTTTTTTTTTTTTTTTTTTTTTATTTTTTTTAGTCATTTAGCAGACGCTCTTATCCAGAGCGACTTACAGTTAGTGAATACATATATATATTTATACTGGCCCCCCGTGGGAATCAAACCCACAACCCTGGCGTTGCAAACACCATGCTCTATCAACTGAGCTACATCCCTGCCGGCCATTCCCTCCCCTACCCTGGACGACGCTGGGCCAATTGTGCGCCGCCCATGAGTCTCCCGGTCGCGGCCGGCTGCGACAGAGCCTGGATTCGAACCAGGATCTCTAGTGGCACAGTTAGCACTGCGATGCAGTGCCTTAGACCACTGCGCTTCTCACAGAGAAGATGAGATGAGTATTTATTAGACAGACCGAGAGAGAGACAGCGAGAGCGAGAGAGCGAGAGAGAGAGAGAGAGAGAGAGAGAGAGAGAGAGAGAGAGAGAGAGAGAGAGAGAGAGAGAGAGAGATTAGTTAATGTGTTCATGTGTTCTGAATGCAGCAAACGTAACTGCTGGACCACCCCAGACCACTACAGGCTACTCTCAGCAGAGAACAGCTGGCAGGGAACCTAACTACTGCGGTGTGTTCTCCCATAGGACACCTGATTTATCTCTGTGTGTCATTTCTGTCCCGTCTCTGAGGCTGGCCTCCTGTGGGAGAACACACTGCACGGCATACGGCTCAGTGATCATCACAGAGGATCAGGGAGATATGTCTTAACTCTATTTTAAATCAGGGAGATATGTCTTAACTCTGCTTTAAATCAGGGAGATATGTCTTAACTCTGCTTTAAATCAGGGAGATATGTCTTAACTTTAAATCAGGGAGATATGTCTTAACTCTGCTTTAAATCAGGGACATATGTCTTAACTCTGCTTTAAATCAGGGACATATGTCTTAACTCTGCTTTAAATCAGGGACATATGTCTTAACTCTGCTTTAAATCAGGGAGATATGTCTTAACTCTGCTTTAAATCAGGGAGATATGTCTTAACTCTGCTTTAAATCAGGGAGATATGTCTTAACTTTAAATCAGGGAGATATGTCTTAACTCTGCTTTAAATCAGGGACATATGTCTTAACTCTGCTTTAAATCAGGGAGATATGTCTTAACTCTGCTTTAAATCAGGGAGATATGTCTTAACTCTGCTTTAAATCAGGGAGATATGTCTTAACTTTAAATCAGGGAGATATGTCTTAACTCTGCTTTAAATCAGGGAGATATGTCTTAACTCTGCTTTAAATCAGGGAGATATGTCTTAACTTTAAATCAGGGAGATATGTCTTAACTCTGCTTTAAATCAGGGAGATATGTCTTAACTTTAAATCAGGGAGATATGTCTTAACTCTGCTTTAAATCAGGGACATATGTCTTAACTCTGCTTTAAATCAGGGAGATATGTCTTAACTTTAAATCAGGGAGATATGTCTTAACTCTGCTTTAAATCAGGGAGATATGTCTTAACTCTGCTTTAAATCAGGGACATATGTCTTAACTCTGCTTTAAATCAGGGAGATATGTCTTAACTCTGCTTTAAATCAGGGAGATATGTCTTAACTCTGCTTTAAATCAGGGAGATATGTCTTAACTCTGCTTTAAATCAGGGACATATGTCTTAACTCTGCTTTAAATCAGGGACATATGTCTTAACTCTGCTTTAAATCAGGGAGATATGTCTTAACTCTGCTTTAAATCAGGGAGATATGTCTTAACTCTGCTTTAAATCAGGGAGATATGTCTTAACTTTAAATCAGGGAGATATGTCTTGACTCTGCTTTAAATCAGGGAGATATGTCTTAACTCTGCTTTAAATCAGGGACATATGTCTTAACTCTGCTTTAAATCAGGGAGATATGTCTTAACTCTGCTTTAAATCAGGGAGATATGTCTTAACTTTAAATCAGGGAGATATGTCTTAACTCTGCTTTAAATCAGGGAGATATGTCTTAACTCTGCTTTAAATCAGGGACATATGTCTTAACTCTGCTTTAAATCAGGGAGATATGTCTTAACTTTAAATCAGGGAGATATGTCTTGACTCTGCTTTAAATCAGGGAGATATGTCTTAACTCTGCTTTAAATCAGGGACATATGTCTTAACTCTGCTTTAAATCAGGGAGATATGTCTTAACTCTGCTTTAAATCAGGGAGATATGTCTTAACTTTAAATCAGGGAGATATGTCTTAACTCTGCTTTAAATCAGGGAGATATGTCTTAACTCTGCTTTAAATCAGGGACATATGTCTTAACTCTGCTTTAAATCAGGGACATATGTCTTAACTCTGCTTTAAATCAGGGACATATGTCTTAACTCTGCTTTAAATCAGGGCTGGAGACCTACGTTTACTACATAGCTTCGGTTTGATGCCAATGCTTTTTATCAAAGTTTTAGATTGATCAAATTGCATAAATAAATACTCTGAAATACTTGAGATTTACAATAAAAAACTCCAGCTATTATTTATAACTGTGTGTGTGTATTTTCAGTACTTACAGCCAACAGGTTCATGATGGTGTGTCCTGTCTCTCTGAACACAGTTTCTCTGAAGCGGACGCTGACCAGCGTGCTGGGATACACTGCAAAAAAACACAAAGGTCATTAGATTCAGGCTCCACATCCATCTAAACAGTTATTATTATTATTTCACCATGTCATTACAGTAAGTTATGGTCACGTGTGTAAAGTGAAAGTAAAGGTGATCTCAATAGCCTATACTGCCCTACCAAGCAAAAAGACAGTAACTGCTCATTTGGTCAAAAATGAGTTAATGTCATTTTTGCTACATTAAATACATGCTTAATCATGTGGACAAGTATCCTGCCTCTATTGTATTGTGTTTTGCAGTAACTGCATAAGGTTACTGTGAAACCAAGGTAAATAAAAGCCATTTTTCTCTGTTCCACGCTATGAGCAGTTACTGCCTTTTTGCTTGGTAGGACAGTACAGTCTACAGCAGATATCTAGGACTTGGTCAAGTTCAAAAGTTTGAAATAGCTATATACAAATAAAAAAATTACTTTGAAAAGTCAAAGTGAATAGCCTTCTAAAATGAATTACCATGAACACTACATGACCAAAAGTATGTGGACACCTGCTTGTCGAACTTTGCATTCCAAAATCATGGGCATTAATATGGAGATGGTCCCCCTTTTCTGCTATAACAGCCTCCGCTCTTCTGGGAAGGCTTTCCACTAGATGTTGGAACATTGCTGTGGGGACTTGCTTCCATTCAGCCACAAGAGCATTAGTGAGATCGGGCACTGATGTTGGGCAATTCATCCCAAAGGTGTTCGATGTTGTTGACATCAGGGCTCTGTGCAGGCCAGTCAAGTTCTTCCACACCGATCTCGACAAACCATTTCTGTATGGACCTCGCTTTGTGCACAGGGGCATTGTCATGCTGAAACAGGAAAGGGCCTTCCCCAAACTGTTGCCACAAAGTTGAAAGCACAGAATCGTCTAGAATGTAATTGTATGCTGTAGCATTAAGATTTCCCTTCACTGGAACTAAGGAGCCTAGCCCGAACCATGAAAAACAGCCCCAGAACATTATTCCTCCCCCACCAAACTTTAGTGTTGGCACTATGCATTCGGACAGGTAGCGTTCTTCTGGCATCTGCTAAACCCAGATTCGTCCGTCGGACTGCCAGATGGTGAAGCATTATTCATCACTCCAGAGAACGCATTTCCACTGCTTCAGAGTCCAATGGCGGAGAGCTTTACACCACTACAGCCGACACTTGGCGCATGGTGATCTTAGGCTTGTGTGCGGCTGCTCGGCCATGGAAACCCATTTCATGAAGCTCCCGACGAACAGTTCTTGTGCTGACGATTCTTCCAGAGGCAGTTTGGAACTCAGTAGTGAGTGTTGCAACCAAGGACAGACGATTTCTACACGCTACGGGCTTCAGCACTCGGCGGTCCCATTCTGTGAGCTTGTGTGGCCTACCACTTCGCGGCTGAGTCGTTGTTGCTACTAGATGTTTCCACTTGACAATAACAGCACTTACAGTTGACTAGGGAAGCTCTAGCAGGGCAGAAATTTGACGAACTGACTTGCTGGAAAGGTGGCATCCTATGACGGTGCCATGTTCAAAGACACTGAGCTCTTCAGTAAGGCCATTCTACTGCCAATGTTTGTCTATGGAGATTGCCTGGTTGTGTGCTCGATGTTAGACACCTGTCAGCAACAGGTGTGGCTGAAATAGCCAAATCCACTAATTTGAAGGGGTGTCCACATACCTTTGTATATATAGTGTACAATGAGGGTAAAAATAAATTAAGGACACCTTCCTAATATTTAATTGAACCCCCTCCCCCTTTTGCCCTCAGAACAGATTCAACTTGTCTGGGCATGGACTCTACAAGGTGTTGAAAGCTTTCCACAGGGATGCTGGCCCATGTTGACTCAAATGCTTCCCACAGTTGTGTCAAGTTGGCTAGTTGTCCTTTGGGTGGTGGACCATTCTTGATACACACAGGAAACTGTTGACCGTGAAAAACCCAGCAGCGTTGCAGTCCTTGACACAAACCCGTGTGCCTGGCACCTACAACCATACCCCGTTCAAAGGCACATCAATCTTTTGTCTTGTCCATTCACCCTCTGAAAGTCACACATACACAATCCATGTCTCAATTAACTCAAGGCTTAAAAATCCTTCTTTAACCTGTCTCCTTCCCTTCCTCTACACTGACTGAAGTGGATTTACCAAGTGACATCAATCATAGCTTTCACCTGGATTCACCTGGTCAGTCTATGTCATGGAAAGAGCAGATGTCCTTAATGTTTTGTACACTCAGTGTATTTATTACCACTGAATCTAGACTGGGCTAGTAACTGTTGGGGGCTCACCGCTGTGTTCTGCTCCCAGCCGTAGCAGCAGTCTGAGGGGGAACACCTTGGCCCAGGGTACCTCCAACCTCTGGATGAGCAGACCACAGAGGAAGGGCTGTGGGGGCAGACAGAGACCCTCCAGGGGCTGGAAGGTAGGGGAGTAGAACAGCACACCTCCGTGCTCCTTACTGCCCAGGAAACTACCTGTAAACGCCACGTTGCCCAGCTCCTCCACATACTTCCCTGGAGGAGAGGAGGGTGAGAGACATACTGGTCAGGGTGTGTGTGGCTCTGTCTGGTAGATGGAGAGGCGTGGCAGTGTGTGTGGTCCTACCTCTCTGTGCATCCTGGTAGATGGAGAGGTAGAGTGTGAACAGGTCTTTGGGCAGAGCCCTCTCCACAGGCAGACACTCCAGGATGAACACTATCTCCCTCTGTCCCACAGTCTGTAGACCACTGGAGCCCAAACACCAGCACTTCCTACTGCAGTCTACAGCACAGTAGACATACACACAGTGAGGACACACAGACACACACATTGCCTGCAAAACACCTACGACCACAATCTGATAGGAATAACAGAGACACACATTCATTTTTAGAATGAGCCTAGGGGTGCATCTCAACTCTCTCCTTGTCACCTTTCTTTTAATAAGAACTGATCTACAAGAATTGGACAGGTGAAAGCTATCCCCCAGTAGGCATCGGCTAGGCTACATTACTTCACTTGTCCCGTCTTTAAAGTTCAGTGCAGATGAAGGAAACAAGACAAGGAGAGAAAGCCAGTTTACATTATTGAGATGTACCCCAGGAAGAATAGAAGGGTAGAGATGGGTGTTCTACTCACAGGTGACCAGTTTGACGTTGACCAGCAGGTTGGCGTTGAGGACAAAGGTCAAAGGTCGCGGCCCTCCCTCCTCCAATAGGAGCAGGATCTGGCAGGGGGCGGGGCGCTCCTCCACCAATAGATCTCCTCCTCCTCCCTCCTCCTCTCCGGTGGTGATGAGTAGAGGTGGCAGGCCCTCCTCATCCTCTGGCAGCAGACTGGGGCTCCTCTCTACATAACCCCCCACCCCACACAGCAGGCTGTAGTCCCAAGGTCCTGACACTGGGGGGCGCACCACCTCCACCTCTGCTTGGGCCTCCGGGGCCGACACACCACCCTCCGACACCGCTGCAGAGCCAGGGGACACTCTGCTACCAGCCTGGAGGACACAGACGGATAAGAGATTGATGAATAGACGTATTAACTGACAGAAAGACAGATACATTTATGTGTCTAGGGCAGGGGTGTCAAACGTCCGGCCCACGGGCCGGATCAGGCCCGCAAACGGGTTTAATCCGGCCCGCAAGATGATTAAAAAAAATAAAATAATAATAATAATAATAATTTTGTAAAGTATAAAAATGCGCTGCAATTTTTCAATTAAATAAACTGCTGTTCCAATTGCGTCCACTGGATGGCGCAATAGCAATTGTGTTAAGCAAGCAAACTGTTTATACCGGGGCAGAGCAAGTAGGTCAAGCACGTGCAGCCAATGAGCTACTTTGTTTTGCCCGCGATATTTATTACGGCTTCTACTTTTAACATTATGTGCTTTGGCACCCTCATTGCCCCAATATGTTTCTGTCAAAAAAGAGAAAAGTGGACGCAGAGTGCAGAGTGTTCCAAGAAAAATGGTCATCCTATTTATTCACGGAATTGAATGGGAAAGCTGTATGTTTGGTGTGTTCAGAGCATGTTGCAGTGTTGAAAGAATATAACCTTCGTCGCCACTATGTGAGTCTTCATGCCGACAAATATGACAACTTTCAAGGACAGCGGAGATGAGAGAAGGTGAATGAACTGTTGGCGGGTCTGAAGAAACAGCAGTCTGTGTTTACTCACGGCCGAGACATCAGTGACGCTGCAGTGAAAGCTAGCTACCTCATTGCTAATGAAATCGCAGTGGCTTCAAAACCATTTAGTGAGGGTGAATTTGTAAAAACATGCACGATGAAGGCAGCGGAGATTGTGTGCCCTGAAAAGCGGCAGGCTTTTGCAAATATCAGCCTGACAAGAAACACAGTTGCAGACAGGATTTCCGATCTTTCAGTGGATTTGGACAGCCAGTTGAAGCAAAAAGTAAAGTCATTTATTGCGTTTTCGGTTGCAATTGATGAAAGCACGGACATTACAGATGTTGCACAACTGGCCATTTTCATCCGCGGAGTTGATGACACATTGACCGTCACCGAGGAGTTTGTGGAGTTGGTGCCGATGACAGATACAACGACAGCAGCTGATATTTTTACCGCACTCGTCGGCGCGCTGGACAGGGTCGGAGCCGCGCTGTCAGCCTGGCTACAGATGGTGCGCCCTCAATGATCGGGAAAAAAGCAGGCGTTGTGACAAAGTTCAGAGAGAAAGTGCAATCTGCAAATGGAGGACGTGATTTTTTGACTTTTCACTGTATTTTGCACCAGGAGGCTTTGTGTTGCAAGTCATTAAAGATGGATAACGTCATGAAGGTGGTCATCCAAACTGTTAATTTCATCCGATCCAGAAGCCTGAATCACCGTCAGTTTGACAGCCTTCTCAGAGAGAAAGACCACATCTATGGCCTGCCATACCATACTGAGGTAAGATGGTTAAGCCGAGGTGCTGTGCTGAGGCGTTTCTTTGATTTACGAGAAGAAATTGAACAGTTCATGGAAGAAAAGGGCAAACCAGTGTTAGAATTTCATTCCGCAGAATGGATGCAGGACCTTGCATTTATGGTGGATGTTACAGAGCACCTGAATAACTTGAACAAACAGCTGCAAGGGCGCAACAAAGTTGTCACGCAGTATTATGACAGCATACGTTCTTTCAAGTTGAAGCTGTCATTGTGGGAGACGCAACTTGCCGGTGGTGATGCAGCTCACTTCCCCTGTCTGAAAAATGTGTGCGCGACCCAACATGTGGCAGACATGAAGCGGTTCAAAGATAAAATAACGGGACTGTTACGGGAGTTTGAGCAACGCTTTCAGATTTATGTTTATATGTTTTTATGTTGATGTGCTATTGATTTTAATTGATTTTATTTTATTTGTATATTTAACCTATTCTTGACTCTGTGGTTCTTGCACTTGTTTGGGGAACAGGATTTCATTATTTTTATCTACATTTCTGCCTGAGAAATGACACCCTGATATAGTTCTGTGATCTGTGATATACTTCTGTGAATCACTGAGGCATTGTGTGTTTGTGTGTTCTTTGTCCTCAGAACTTTCAAATAACTTGAGGTGTTTTATGATTAATAGTGATGTTGTGCTTGTACTATTTTGGACACACTGTCCTCAGGCTCCAGCTTTATGTTGTATGTTGATCGTATTAAAACAAAGAAAACAATCTGAAGTTGTTGTTTTTAAGTTATATATACCATGATTTTTCCGGTCCGGCCCACTTGGGAATAGATTTTCCTCCATGTGGCCCCTGAGCTAAAATGAGTTTGACACCCCTGGTCTAGGGTCCATGTGTATGTGGTCTTTATGTGTGTTTGTGTGTGGGGTCTAACTGCATATGTGTGTCTCTCAGTGTGTGTGTGTGTGATTGTGTGTGTGTGTAAGTCATGCCTCTTACCGTAGGTGGGTCAGGTGTGACAGGGCTGGACTCCTGGGAGCCCCTCCTGCTGGTCACAGAGAGCCTGGTGGTGTCGGCCACCTCTCCATTGGGCAGTATGCCATCTGCAAACCACACACGCTTCTGCTCACGAGGACAACCTGACACATGCACCACACAGGGACAGGGACTTCTGTCACTTCCCCTTTCATTTCAACTGTTGTTTAGATTAGAGCGCAAAAATTAATATAAATGCGAAACAAATGGGAAAATAATACAAGAAATCCAAAATCAGCAAAATAAATGAATACGTTTTTGTTTAAATCTTTCATCATAGCCAAACTGTGGCTGAATAAGCTATTCTATGGAGAGCAACAGGATGTTTATCGCTTTTGGGACCACTGTTACACAACTAGCGACTACAATGGCCCATGTAGGGGTGCGTACGTACCGTCGCTGCCAGGGTTTTTGAGCACGGAGACAGGCACCATGACAGTGGGCGGGGGGGAGTTGAGGGTGCCTGCAGCCCGGGCCTGCTGCAGGGGGGGGATGGTGCTGCAGTACTCTGACGGGATGTTGGGGTTGGGGCTCGGACCTGTCGGACTCATCATACGCTCCAGCGCCTGGGCTAGAGGGGAGAGGGAGGGGGAAGGGGGGAAGAGAGGGGACGAGAGAGAGGTAGAGACAGGTAGGTAGAGGTAGACAGAGAGGAAAGAGCGTTAGCATACAAACATGGGACACGAACACAGACAGAGGTCAGGGGGCAAGACCGAGTACACAATTTGTATATGTACAGAGATCTGGACATGTTTGTAACTACACAGAGATGCATGTTCTGTGCTATAGCTAATAAACATTGTTGTATGGAATGTTTGGCATGTCATAGAAGCTATTCTTGAATATGGCCTCTGTAAAAGTAAATGGTGAACTGTAATAAAAACAACCGTTCCACCACCTCTCCTGGCCAGACACTCCAATATCCATACAGCAATCTACTGTGGACAGATGGAGGCCAAGCATCACATTGAGACAGCTATCCTTTTTACACTACTGAGCCAAACAGAGCTGAACCAAGCCAAGTTGTACTGGGCTGGCCTGGTTACGCATCCAGTTGCTGGAACCATGCTGGAAAAGACTATGTCAGAGCCAGCACAGTAAGGTCCAGGTCGGTCCTATTGTGTGAATCAGGCAAGAGTGAGTTTGCAATGATGGAGAAAACAAGAGAATGGAGAGAGTGAGATATGGAGAGAGAGAGGGTGCAATATGGAGAGAGAGAGAGGGTGCGATATGGAGACAGAGAGAGGGGGTGAGATATGGAGAGAGAGGGGGTGAGATATGGAGAGAGAGAGGGTGAGATATGGAGAGAGAGAGGGTGAGATATGGAGAGAGAGAGAGGGTGAGATATGGAGAGAGAGAGAGGGTGAGATATGGAGAGAGAGAGAGGGTGAGATATGGAGAGAGAGAGAGGGTGAGATATGGAGAGAGAGAGAGGGTGAGATATGGAGAGAGAGAGGGTGAGATATGGAGAGAGAGAGGGTGAGATATGGAGAGAGAGAGGGTGAGATATGGAGAGAGAGAGGGTGAGATATGGAGAGAGAGAGGGTGAGATATGGAGAGAGAGAGGGTGAGATATGGAGAGAGAGAGGGTGAGATATGGAGAGAGAGAGGGTGAGATATGGAGAGCGATAAAAAAAAATGATTGAAGGAAAGCGAACGATGACCTAATGGGGGGGAGGGGAGAGAGAAGTGCTGACTGGGCTCTGGACTGCATTATATTGATGTAACGTCATATGATCTTTATCGACCTGGTTGGACTGGCCCAAGCTAACACAGTCTGTCAGGCTACCTGTACACACAAACGCACACAGGGACACACAGGTACACACACAGACGCACACAGGGACACACAGGTACACACACAGACGCACAAACACTGGAACACGAAGTCACTAAACTGGAACACACACACACGCACTGGAACACACACACACACTATAAAGAGCACTACTCACAACAACAGATCAATAGCACAACAAAGAGAGAGAAACAGAGGAGAGTTGAAGAGTTTCACCTTGATCTCAGACAGACAGAATGACACGGCATAACAAGCCCAGCAGTCAGTGTCCTTCATTAAGCTGGTAGCAGACTCAACATGCCCATACAGATAAACAGATGCCTGAAATACATTCAGCGTGTGTGTTTATGTTTATGCGTGTGTGTATGTAAGCAGCATGCATGCTGTGTGTGTGTGTGCGTGACATCACGTAGCAGGTTTTCCACGTTGCGCACCACAACAACAAACAGAGAATGAGATGGTAACAGATAAACCAGTATGAGCTGCAGCACCAATCTTTTCCTTCTCTTTTACAAATTGAAAGTCCGTTCCCATCTTACCTTTTCCTCGTCTTCACTCCTCCAAACTCCCAGCTAAGACAGTCCCCTTGGTCACGCTAACCTACTTAGCCTTACTGACGCTAGCCCCAGTTAGCTGAATGTAAATTGTCTGTATTAGCTGAAGCTAGCTCTGTTAGCCCCACTTGGCTGTTAGCTGCGTTAGCCGCAGACTCCAGGCAGGCAGGGGGGTGTACTGAGAGCCTCACAGGCTGCTCCCCATACTGATGAGAGCGATGGAGAGAGGGAGGGAGGGAAGAATGGAACATCGCATCACTCTGCTCCAGCCCTCACAGGCCCAAGCAAAGTAGACCTCTCTCTCTCTATCTCACACACACACACACACGCTATCTCTACCACACTCACACAGCAGACAAGGAGCCGAGAATAGAATAGTCACACCAGCCTGTCCCTGGACCGCAGAGATGCTCAGAGTATGTGTGTAGGTGCCAGAAAGGGAGTCAAGGTGCTGTGTGTGTGTGTGTGTGTGTGTGTGTCTGTGAGCGTCACACTCTCACTGCGTCAGGTGGCTCCTGTCCCACACTCACAGTCAAGGACACACACCAACGTCCTGACTCCTCTCAGCCATAACTACCTCCCTCTCCTCTCCCCCACTCTCTCTGCACCAGTCATTTCGTCCTGACTAACCTCAGCTCTGTCTCTGGAGATGAGAAAGTCCTTCATCACCCGACCGGGGAAGCAGAACCATAGAGACGGAATGCATAGAACAGAAACGCTTTTCTATTCCACATTATTTACCACCACTCACCAATAACAGCATAGAGCAACATAAATCACTGGTTAGTAGTGATCTGCGAGCACATAAAAAAAGCATTTTCAATGAGGATGGATGTTCTAGCCCTTTTGTTTCTATAGCAGCTCAGTATACCAGGGAAGGCTAGAGACGTTGTTGTTCAGGAGTGCAGGAGGGCGGGACACGACAGGAGCTTGGGGAAAAGCAGACGCACAGAGAGACAGGTGCACACACACACACACTCTTACACAACCTGGTCTTAGGTTTTTACGCAGTCCCACGCACACTCAAACAAAGGAAACACTTTCACGCAGGCTGTGTTAGAAAGCACTTTAGGCACTAGGCTCTCTGATGCAAGATAGCCGTTTTATCCTCGAGACTACACTGCACATCTAACTTAACCTAAGATCCCTGGCCATTCTTAGGCTGTGTCTGAAAACTTCACTGGCTGTTAAGTCCTTGTTTCCTCAACTTCACCGAAAGCAAATTAGATGAGGTCCAAGGGAGGGACATTGGGTCCTCTCCTCCAATGAGCTTTGAGAGAAATTGAGGAAACAAGGACGGAGGAAGCAAGCATTTCACGGCTAGTGACGTTTGCTACACCGTGACCAAGCCACAAACAAGCACAACAACTTCCAACTAAAAAAGGGCTATTCATCAGTCATGTGTTGTTCTAGATATATTTAACCTTTATAAAACCTAGACAGCAACTCTCTTCTAACAGACCATGTCCCGTCTGTTTGGCTTGTTCTTCAGAGTTGTTATTTTAATGCATATTACTTTGCTTTAATGAAGACTCCAAGTTGAAACAGTTTAATGACTAATGAAAGTCACAGAGAGTCAACATAAACTGGGTTCCTTTCACAGAGCTCCCATAAGCCCCCAGGGCAGAGCAGAGCTGAGGCCTACTAACTACACTACAGACACCAGGCTGTGAATACTCTGTGTTCTTCAGACATCAGTCTTCGTTCATGTTGTTCTGAGAACAGGAGCCTGACAAAGTCATTCAGAGCAGTCAGCTGACTTGCACGAATCGGATGGTGGTCTGTGATTGGTATCTTGGAAGAAAACACTCATAGAAGAAAATGGATGTACACACGCACGCACACACACAATACAAACATTATTACACCTGTGCATGAACTTATAGACAAAAACACACACACACCTTGGGTCTTACTTCTGTGTACGGTCTCGAAGCAGATGACACACACCCGGGCCTCCTTGTCCAGGTACTTGAGCTTCCATCTCCTGTTGCAGCAGATGGCACAGTACACCTGTGCCACGGGTGGGAGGACAACCGTCAGGCAGGAGAAAAACAAACACTACTGCAACACCACACTATACGTACACGCTACGACGACAATCTACATGAAGTTATTCATGCCATGTTAAGTGTGACCCACATCTTGCACTAGCATAAAGAAGAGCAGTAAATTACAGGAATAACTGATACAATCGATTGTGCAGCAATTAAGAAGAGAAGTCAAAGGAGGTTGTAAAGTAAATTAGACTAGTCCTCTTTATACAGTGCCATGGTATTGTTGAATACTCATCTGATTGGCTTGAAGGGCATTCTAGAGCGTGCATTATTTCCCTATAACACACGGTATATCCGCACAGTAAAATTCAATGGCTAGAGTTAATTCATACATGTTCTATGTTTGAGCTGCTTTTGAAAGCAAAAGTCGAACTGAAAACATTATTGGCATTGTTGAATTTGATTTTGATAATAGCAAGCTAGGAGTGATGGTTTGGTTAGCTAAACTAGCAAGTCAGTTTGTTTGGTTAACAAGGCAACTACTGTAGCTATCTAGTAAACTTGTTAGCTACTTCAGTGGATGTTGAACACATTTCTACTCACAAATGAACACATTTCTAGCGGCAAATGTGTTAAATTATAGCCATGTTATAAAAGGGATAATCAACTTGGGGCTCTATGCGTTCTCTGGAAAAGAATGCAACTCCGCGTCGTTCATTATTTTCCACAGAACACATAGCCCCTCGCTGATTAACTCTTACATATCCTGTTGGACTGCAGTAAGTAGCCTATAGAGTTAAAGCCCATGGGACTCCTGTGTAATGCTGCTTTAAATCACTGGGCTGTTATGGCCTTAGCTCTGGCTTTAATCACTTGGGCTGTTCAAATCAAATCAAATGATTTGTCACATGTGCCAAATAGAACAGCTGTAGACCTTACCATGAAATGCTTACTTACAAGCCCTTAACCAACAATGCAGTTCAAGTAATAGAGTTAAGGAAATATTTACTAAATAAACTAAAGTAAAAAATAAAATAAAAAGTAACACAATAAAATAACATAATAATAATGAGGCTATATACAGGGGGTACCGGTACCGAGTCAATGTGCGGGGATACAGGTTAGTCGAGGTAATTTGTACATGTAGGTAGGGGTAAAGTGACTATGCATAGATAATAAACAGCGAGTAGCAGCAGTGTAAAAACAAAGGTGTCAATGTAAATAGTCCGGGTGGCCATTTGATTGTTCAGCAGTCTTTTTGACCTAGACTTGGCACTCCGGTACCGCTTGCCGTGTGGTAGCATGGAGAGCAGTCTATGACTTGGGTGACTGACTTTGAAAAGATGTTGGGCCTTCCTCTGACACCACCTAGTATATAGGTCCTGGATGGCAGAAAGCTTGGCCCCAGTGATGTACTGGGACGTATGCACTACCCTCTCAAGCGCCTTACGGTCAGAGGCCGAGCAGTTGTCATACAAGGCGGTGATGCAACCGGTCAGGATGCTCTCGATGGTGCAGCTGTATAACTTTTTGAGGATCTGGGGACCCATGCCAAATCTTTTCAGTCTCCTGAGGGGGAAAAGGTGTTGTCGTGCCCTCTTCACGACTGTTTTGGTGTGTTTGGACCATGATCGTTTGTTGGTGATGTGGACACCAAGGAAATTGAAACTCTCGACCCGCTCCACTACAGCCCTGTCGATGTTAACGTGGGCCTGTTCGGCTCTCCTTTTCCTGTAGTCCACGATCATCTCCTTTGTCTTGCTCACATTGAGGAAGAGGTTGTTGTCCTGGCACCACACTGCCAGGTCTCTGACCTCCTCCCTCTAGGCTGTCTCATTGTTGTTGGTGATCAGGCCTACCACTGTTGTGTCGTCAGCAAACTTAATGATGGTGTTGGAGTTGTGCTTGGCCACACAGTCGTGGGTGAACAGGGAGTACAGGAAGGGACTAAGCACGCACCCCTGAGGGGCCCCCGTGTTGAGGATCAGCGTGGCAGATGTGTTGTTACTTCCCTTTATCACCTGGGGGCGGCCCGTCAGGAAGTCCAGGATCCAGTTGCAGAGGGAGGTGTTTAGTCCCAGGGTCCTTAGCTTAGTGATGATCTTTGTGGACACTATGGTGTTGAACGCTGAGCTGTAATCAATAAACAGCATTCTCACATACAGTGGGGAAAAAAAGTATTTAGTCAGCCACCAATTGTGCAAGTTCTCCCACTTAAAAAGATGAGAGAGGCCTGTAATTTTCATCATAGGTACACGTCAACTATGACAGACAAAATGAGAAAAAATAATCCAGAAAATCACATTGTAGGATTTTTTATGAATTTATTTGCAAATTATGGTGGAAAATAAGTATTTGGTCAATAACAAAAGTTTCTCAATACTTTGTTATATACCTTTTGTTGGCAATGACACAGGTCAAACGTTTTCTGTAAGTCTTCACAAGGTTTTCACACACTGTTGCTGGTATTTTGGCCCATTCCTCCATGCAGATCTCCTCTAGAGCAGTGATGTTTTGGGGCTGTCGCTGGGCAACACGGACTTTCAACTCCCTCCAAAGATTTTCTATGGGGTTGAGATCTGGAGACTGGCTAGGCCACTCCAGGACCTTGAAATGCTTCTTACGAAGCCACTCCTTTGTTGCCCGGGCGGTGTGTTTGGGATCATTGTCATGCTGAAAGACCCAGCTACGTTTCATATTCAATGCCCTTGCTGATGGAAGGAGGTTTTCACTCAAAATCTCACAATACATGGCCCCATTCATTCTTTCCTTTACATGGATCAGTCGTCCTGGTCCCTTTGCAGAAAAAACAGCCCCAAAGCATGATGTTTCCACCCCCATGCTTCACAGTAGGTATGGTGTTCTTTGGATGCAACTCAGCATTCTTTGTCCTCCAAACACGACGAGTTGAGTTTTTACCAAAAAGTTATATTTTGGTTTCATCTGACCATATGACATTCTCCCAATCCTCTTCTGGATCATCCAAATGCACTCTAGCAAACTTCAGACGGGCCTGGACATGTACTGGCTTAAGCAGGGGGACATGTCTGCACTGCAGGATTTGAGTCCCTGGCGGCGTAGTGTGTTACTGATGGTAGGCTTTGTTACTTTGGTCCCAGCTCTCTGCAGGTCATTCACTAGGTCCCCCCGTGTAGTTCTGGGATTTTTGCTCACCGTTCTTGTGATCATTTTGACCCCACGGGGTGAGATCTTGCGTGGAGCCCCAGATCGAGGGAGATTATCAGTGGTCTTGTATGTCTTCCATTTCCTAATAATTGCTCCCACAGTTGATTTCTTCAAACCAAGCTGCTTACCTATTGCAGATTCAGTCTTCCCAGCCTGGTGCAGGTCTACAATTTTGTTTCTGGTGTCCTTTGACAGCTCTTTGGTCTTGGCCATAGTGGAGTTTGGAGTGTGACTGTTTGAGGTTGTGGACAGGGGTCTTTTATACTGATAACAAGTTCAACAGGTGCCATTAATACAGGTAACAAGTGGAGGACAGAGGAGCCTCTTAAAGAAGAAGTTACAGGTCTGTGAGAGCCAGAAATCTTGCTTGTTTGTAGGTGACCAAATACTTATTTTCCACCATAATTTGCAAATAAATTCATAAAAAATCCTACAATGTGATTTTCTGGATTTTTTTCTTCTCAATTTGTCTGTCATATTTGACGTGTACCTATGATGAAAATTACAGGCCTCTCATCTTTTTAAGTGGGAGAACTTGCACAATTGGTGGCTGACTAAATACTTTTTTTCCCCACTGTAAGTGCTCCTTTTGTTCAGGTGGGAAAGGGCAGTGTGGATTGGAGTGCGATTGAGATTGCGTCATCTGTGGATCTGTTGGGGTGGTATGCGAATTGGAGTGGTTCTAGGGTTTCCGGCATGATGGTGTTGATGTGAGCCATGACCAGCCTTTCAAAGCACTTAATGGCTACCGACGTGAGTGCTACGGGGCGGTAGTCATTTAGGCAGGTTACCTTCGCTTTCTTGGGCACAGGGACTATGGTGGTCTGCTTGAAACATGTAGGTGTTACAGACTCGATCAGGGAGAGATTTAAAATGTCAGTGAAGACACTTGCCAGTTGGTCCGCGCATGCTCTGAGTACACGTCCTGGTAATCCGTCTGGCCCCGCGGACTTGTGAATGTTTACCTGTTGTCGTGGCGTGACTTTATCTCTAATTAAATTAATCATGTAACAATTAACTCATTAGTATCTGGGGCACCACGAGAGTGGTTCTTTAAAGAATTACCATCTCCTGAATTAAACTCTAAAAGGTCTTTACATATCACATCTATAAACAGTCAACTTATTAATCATAACCTCGTATCATATCATCATTCTGACAGTCGTAACTTCCTTGCATCTGCAAAAACCCGAGCCTTACTTATGATTCAGTACTACACAATTTGGTTTCATTATTTATTTACTAGCTAATTAAATGGGAACACAGGATAAACCCAGTGTATCTTCCAGGTCCGCCCTGGAAAGGGAGTTGGGCCTTCTCGCGGCACGCTAGTAAGGCTCTGATTGTCCAAAAAGGTTCCAACAAGTCTTCTGTTGTTCTCTTCTTCGTAGTTGTCCGGTCTCCGATGACTTGTTGTGTAGTCCTGAACAGAACTACAGAGTTGATTTTCCTTTCATTCGCTCATGAAGATTCCCAGTGGGTTGATGGACGTAGCGTAACAGGATGGCTTGAGCAGAGTAATAGGATGGGCCTACTTAAATTAGCTTTCGAAGATACTTTACTTAAGACAGCTAATCAGCCGTACCAGTGATTGTCCGGGAGGTGAGATCTCTCTCCACTTCGTGTTGAGATTCAAAGTTCCAACCATTTTAAACGTGTGGCTGCCACCTCATGCTTTTCTGGTCTGGTATGTTAATTTCTTTACCAATCTCTGCTCGAAAGGGGGCGGTTCCGTCAGGCTGACATGCTTTCTGACCTCACTTTGGGCGGTGACTACTCATTGTGCCAAGTTAAAAAAAAACAATTCTCATATAACTTCAAATCAAATCCCTCTCTTAACAAAAACACTTTCATCGTTTTTTCATATTATATGCACAATGCATAGGATGGACACTTTGTACATGTAGTGGGTATCCTTTCCAAGTTACAGTATTTCCTTTAATACAAAAATTATGACATCACAAAATAACAAACAATATGACATTAGTGTCCAATAGATCGCCTCTGACCATTCCCCACGTTCTACATTAGGAATATTATTCCAGTATTCGCTTTTGAACGTGTTAAAGTTTAAGCGGGAAAAAGTCTGTTGAAACAAAGACATTCCCTTGGGGGATCTTCAAAGGGAGAGCCTGGTCTTCTTTGTTGATTTACAACAGGTTGTGAGCTGTTAACCCCCTCTACGGGTGAGAGTGGGTCTGATTGAACTTATTCATTGCAAACCTGATCTACTATTTGGATTCTCGTGGACAGTCATGACACTGTTTAAAGGTCTTGCTCACATCGGCTACGGAGAGCGTGATCACACAGTCGTCCGGAACAGCTGGTGCTCTCATGCATGCTTCAGTGTTGCTTGCCTCGAAGCGAGCATAAAAGGCATTTCGCTCATCTGGTAGGCTTGCGTTGTTAGGGAATTAGCTCTAGCTTTAGTCACTGGGCTGTTAGGGCCTTAGCTCTGGCTTTAGCCCTGGCTTCTCAGACCTCAGAGAAGAGGAGATCTATAGAGAAGCTGGAATAAGAATCACTGACTCATGCCTCTTTCTGAGCAAGCTATTTATATAGTAGCAGAGGATGGGGGTATGGTATATAGGCTATATCGTGCCATACTGCGTGATCAAGTGTGACGTATGTGAGCAGGGGACTCCGTGTTGTTTGTTAACAGGAGACAGGAACAAAAAGGAGTGTTGTGTCTACAAAGAGAACGATAGGTCAAAGTCAGGTGACAGTCTGGATGAACTGAATCATAGCTAGGTCACTGCTCCACATTGTAACCCACATTTACACTTGAATACCTCTGACTCAGTAAATACAGAAATGTGCTTAATTGGAAATGGCAGTACCGCTGCTTTATTGAAGTTAACTGATTGGTTTGGAGTCAGGTAATGTTCCCAGAATGTGCAATTATGAGAGGAAGAGATTGCCCTCTTTCCATTATTTATTTTCTTCAGTTTCCATTCATATTCAGGATCTTTGTGACTGGGTCACATATTTATACTCAACAAAAATAAACACAACATGCAACAATTTCTAAGATTTTATAGAGTTACAGTTCATATAAGGAAATCAGTCAATTGAAATAAATAAATTAGGCCCTAAACTATGGATTTCACATAATGGTGAATACAGATATGCATCTGTTGGTCACATATATACTATATATACAAAGGTATGTGGACACCCCTTCAAATTAGTGGATTTGGCTATTTCAGCCACACCCGTTGCTGACAGGTATATTACATCGAGCACACAGCCATGTATTCTCCATAGACAAACATTGGCAGTAGAATGGCCTTACTGAAGAGCTCAGTGACTTTCAACATGGCACCGTCATAGGATGCCACCTTTCCAACAAGTCAGTTCGTCAAATTTCTGCCCTGGTCAACTGTAAGTGCTGTTTTTGTGAAGTGGAAACGTCTAGGAGCAACAACGGCTCAGCCACGAAGTGGTAGGCCACACAAGCTCACTGAACAGGACCGCAGAGTGCTGAAGTGCATAAAAAATGGTCTGTCCTTGGTTGCAACACTCACTACCGAGATCCAAACTGCCTCTGGAAGCAACGTCAGCACAAGAACTGTTCGCGGGAGCTTCATGAAATGGGTTTCAATGGCCGAGCAGCCGCACACAAGCCTAAGATCACCATGCGCAATGGCAAGCGTCGGCTGGAGTGGTGTAAAGCTCGCCGCCATTGGACTCCGGAGCAGTGGAAACGCGTTGTCCCACTAATCTTCAATCGCGGTGCGAAGTTGCTGGATATTGGCGGGAACCGGAACACACTGTCGTACACGTCGATCCAGAGCATCCCAAACATGCTCAATGTGTGACATGTCTGGTGCAGGCCATGGTGGGACATTATCAGCTTCCAGGAATTGTGTACAGATCCTTGCGACATGGGGCTGTGCATTATCATGCTGAAATATGAGGTGATGGCGGCGGAAGAATGGTACGACAATGGGCCTCAGGATCTTGTCACGGTATCTCTGTGCATTGAAATTGCCATTGATAAAATGCAATTGTGTTCAAGTCCGTAGCTTATGCCTGCCCCTGCCGTAAACCCAACTCAAAACTTGACACATCTGTGGCATTGTGTTTTCTGACAAAACTGCACATTTTAGAGTGGCCTTTCATTGTCCCCAGCACAAGGTGCACCTGTGTAATGATCATGCTGTTTAATCAGCTTCTTGATATGCCATGCCTGTCAGGTGGATGGATTATCTTGCAAAGGAGAAATGCTCACTAAAAGGGATGTAAACACATTTGTGCACAACATTTGAGAGAAATAAGCTTTTTGTGTGTACAAAACATTTCTGGGATCTTTTATTTTTATATGAAACATGGGACCAGGACTGGGGCTGGGACGGTCGGGGCAGCTGGGGGCAGTGCCATAGTACAGGGAGTTTAGGTCAGGGAGAGAGTGTGGAACTGCATGTTGCGTTTATATTTTTGTTCAGTGTATGTTAAGACCTCTTTATTATGTGTTACTATGTAAAAGTATATTTAGCTACTAACACCTAATGTCAATAAAATGAATATCTTCAAAACACCAAATATGTTATCAAGAACAGGGCAAAAGATGACCCTAGAAATGAGGGTAAAGAAAGTCCCTTCATGGACAAATTTAGGTACGTACCTTCCCACAGGCCCGGCAGTGGTGCCTCCTCCTGGTGAAGGTGAACTTCTGCCAGCAGTTCATACAGTTGGGTGCCTCTGAATCCGGTACCCAGGGGGGCTGCTTGCACCCCAGCCCATCCTCATCCTCTGCCAACCTCCCCTCTGAGGACCCGCTCCCCTCTCCAGCAGGCTCGCCAGAATAGGGCGGGGGCTCCGACAGCTCGTCGTACCCCACACTGCTCTCATAGCGCTCAGGTGGGGAGTAACCTGGACAGAGCACACCTTGGTTAATGGGGTCCTCTGCAGGGTTGGGGCTGGGAGGAGATGGGCTCTGGTCCACCTCTTCCCCAGTGTCGGTGCGGTCTGTGGGGCTACTGGGCCCTTGGTCCTCCCCTTCTGCTGGAGGTACTCTGGGTGCTTGGCAGAGCAGTTGTTTGGGTCGGGCCCCTCCGTAGTAGGGTGGTGGGAGGTTCCTGGGACTACAGGGGCTGGTGTCTGTCTGGTAGGGGCTGGGGGGTTCCTGGGAGGGAGTGGAGAGGGCTGGACTCGCATTCCCCTCTGCAGACAAGGTCCTGTCGCTCTCCGGCGAGGCCAACCTCTCTATCCTCTCCAGCCCCTCCCCTCGGCTCCGGCTGCAGCTCCACAGCTCCTCCTCCACCAGCCGCTCCTCCAGGTTCCCGTTGAGCTCGGAAAAGCCCTCGTCCTGGAGGTTCTCCCCGGGCCTCCCGCAGTCAGGGACCCTGTGGTCCTCCTGGCCCTGAGTCTCTCCCCGGAGGAAGGCGTCCAGCTCCTCATCCGTCACCAGCAGTCCGGCCTGGTCGCTCTCCGGCAGGTACTCGAACCCAAACTCAGGTGGGTCCACTGGACTGGGGCTGGGCTCTGAGGGAGGGGAGGCTGGGCGCTGTGAAGCCCCTGGGGCTGGCTGTTTTTCCACTGGGGAGAAGCTGACCTCCAGTGGCCGCTGGGAGACGGCGGGAGCCGAGACTGCCAGGTGGAAAGGCATGGTGGTTGTCTCTGGGCTCTGTGTGTTAGGTGACTGGACAGGTTGGTTCTTAGGGGCAGCATCAGGGCTGGTACAGTCCTCCACAATCCCAGGGTTCTCTGGGAGAGTAACTTCCTCCTGGACCTCGAAAGCAGACAGGGACTCTGTCTTTAAGGTCTCAGTTAGGCCAGCCTCCTCTGCCCCCCCTCTTATGGCCTCCTCAGGGTTTTTGGAGGCCACCAGGGCCCCAGACATGGACACGCCCATGGGCAGGCAGGACAGCGAAAGCTCCGTCTCTGCTGAAGGGCTCTCTGCCACACCACCACTGCCGTCCTCAGGGTTAGGTTCCTGTCCAGTGCATCTCCCAGAGCTCTCTGCTTCAGCCAGCTCAGAGGGCTCCAAAGACCCCTCACCCTCCTCCCTGGCCTCTGTGTCGATATCACACATGGGAGTGTCCTCTTTCTTGGTGTCTATGGCAACAGGCAGGACACTAGCCTGGTCCTGGTGGCCTGTTGTTTTTTTCAGGTGTTGGTTGACGAAGGCCACCTCTGCCTCCTCTCCCTCTCCGTCTCTCTCTGTCTCTCCAGACTCAGAGTTCCTCAGTGAGGGGGCATCTGCGGGCTCACAGGCCCTCTCCACAGCAGCAGGAAGAATCACATCCAGCAGACTGAGAGAGGCAGAGTAACCACCAGAGTCCAGCCCCAGCAGCCCCTCCCCTCCCCCGGCAAGAGCCTCCCTCCCCTCAGTCCTCCCATGGCCGGGACCCAGGCCGGCTGAGGTCTCCCCAGGCAGAGGCACCACGGGGCTGGTGAAGTCCACCAGAAGCTCCTCCTCCAGTCGTCTCTCCGCCACATCCAGCTCACTGAAGGCGTCGTGGCTGTTGGCCCGGAGGAGGAGGTGGGCTGAGCCCGTGTCACTGACCAGGTCACACACAGGCTTCAGCGCCCGATTGGGGAAGGGTGGCGCACAGCTCTTAGCTGCCCCCCGGCCGTCCACGGAGGAGAGAAGGTCAACCCCTGTGAGAGGCCGTCCCTTGGCCTCGCGCTCCCCAGGACTGGGGCTGGGACGGTCGGGGAAGCTGGGGGCAGTGCCATAGTGCAGGGAGTTTAGGTCAGGAAGAGAGTGTGGAACTGGAACTGTGGAGGGTTCCGGAAGGAAACCCTGGGGGCTCAGAGAGTGGCCGGGATACACGGGAGGCGACAGAGAGACTGATCTGTAGTTGTGCTCATCTGGTAGGGAGGGGAAGAGAGAAGTATCCGTTAATCAATTCTGTCGTTTATATCTCAGCAGAACATGTGAGCAACAAGTTAAGTCAGCAACTACAAAATACAATGTGCAAGTATCAGCTAGTTTTAAAAATATATTCATTTTTCACTTAAAACGGTGCAATATGCAGAAATTGCGCCGCCATTTCCAGGTTGTTAAAATTCGAATAGTTCGCCTAATTTCAGTTCATGTGACAAAACAAGCAATGTTTAGCGTAGAGAATCATTATACCATCTAAACCGCTGTGAAATATATTTTCAATAACCAAATATATTATATTTTCAGCTGTTTGAAGCAAGTGTACAAAACCGAAAGTAAAAGAAGCAAAAACTAAACTTAAGAACGGGAAGCATAGAAATAGTGCACATAGAACTGATCTACAGCTTCTTAGACTTGCTTTTAATGGAAATGACATATCTATAACTCACAGTTCTATGTGAAGTTGGTTGGGTCGCCCCACACCTCACCCTTCCAACCCACATACAGAAAAGAAAAAGAAATACATGCTACTCAATGGGTTTTTTCATAGTAATGGCGTCTAACCTGTATTGAGCTCAAAGTCATCCAGAAGCTTATCCAGGTCACATACAGCAGCCTTGAAGAAGCTGTCCATGCTGGGCTGTTGGTGGGAGAGAGGCTCCACTCACAACTTCGCCTCCTGGAAGTAGAACATAAAGTATTGTTATCTGTTATCTAGTAGTCTTAGGTGGACTGGGCGAATGCATTTCAATCAACGTTTCGGTTTGCATTTCAGTTTCCAAGTCAGTGTAAAAATGTTGTAGTTAGGTATAAACCTAAGCCTTCATCCACAATTCCCACTCCCCAGACAGGTTGATGAATTAATAACATATCAATCGTTGACCAAACAGTTAGCATCTCAAACGTTCTCCAGCTATGTGTTATTGTGTACTTCAGACTCTGACCCCTGCTCTCCATGTCTGTGGAGAAATCTAATTAAAGATCTACCATTAGGGAAGATACCAAGGGAAATAATAACCCCATTGGGTGTCACAAACAAGTCTGTCACGAGTTTACAGCAGCCTCATCAGTTTAAGTACACATAAAGGAATTTTACAGTGCTTTATAAGTATTGCACCAACTATTTGGTGTGGAAATATGACTAGGGCAACCCTTAATGTGAGGAAACAGCCAGCTAGTCATTGCAGATTTATACAAATGTTGAAATCATAGCAACAAATTAAAGGACACTGTCCCAATCCTGCATTATACCATTTATTCAACTGCGTGACCAAGACACTATCCACTTATATATATATATACAGTTGAAGTCGGAAGTTTACATACACTTAGGTTGGAGTCATTAAAAGTTGTTTTTCAACCACTCCACAAATTTCTTGTTAACAAACTATAGTTTTGGCAAGTCAGTTAGGACATCTACTTTGTGCATGACACAAGTAATTCTTCCAACAATTGTTTACAGACAGATTATTTCACTGTATCACAATTCCAGTGGGTCAGAAGTTTACATACACTAAGTTGACTGTGCCTTTAAACAGCTTGGAAAATTCCAGAAAATTATGTCATGGCTTTAGAAGCTTCTGATAGGCTAATTGACATAATTTGAGTCAATTGGTGGTGTATCTGTGGATGTATTTCAAGGCCTACCTTCAAACTCAGTGCCTCTTTGCTTGACATCATGGGAAAAATCAAAAGAAATCAGCCAAGACCTCAGAAAAAAAAAGTCTGGTTCATCCTTGGGAGCAATTTCCAAACGTCTGAAGGTACCACGTTCATCTGTACAAACAATAGTATGCAGGTATAAACACCATGGGACCACGCAGCCGTCATACCGCTCAGGAAGGAGATGCGTTCTGTCTCCTAGAGATGAACACACTTTGGTGCGAAAAGTGCAAATCAATCCCAGAACAACAGCAAAGGACCTTGTGAAGATGCTGGAGGAAACAGGTACAAAAGTATCTATATCCACAGTATAACGAGTCCTATATCGACATAACCTGAAAGGCTGCTCAGCAAGGAAGAAGCCACTGCCATAAAAAAGCCAGAATACGGTTTACAACTGCACATGGGGACAAAGATCTTACTTTTTGGAGAAATGTCCTCTGGTCTGATGAAACAATAATATAACTGTTTGGCCATAATGACCATCGTTATGTTTGGAGGAAAAAGGGTGCCCCTTGCAAACCGAAGAACACCATCCCAACCGTGAAGCGCGGGGTGGCAGCATCATGCTGTGGGGGTGCTTTGCTGCAGGAGGGACTGGTGCACTTCACAAAATAGATGGCATCATGTGGAAGGAAAATTATGTGGATATATTGAAGCAACATCTCAAGACATCAGTCAGGAAGTTAAAGCTTGGTCACAAATGGGTCTTCCAAATGGACAATGACCCCAAGCATACTTCCAAAGTTGTGGCAAAATGGCTTAAGGATAACAAAGTCAAGGTATTGGAGTGGCCATCACAAAGCCCTGACCTCAATCCTATAGAAAATGTGTGGGCAGAACTGAAATAGTGTGTGCGAGCAAGGAGGCCTACAAACCTGACTCAGTTACACCAGCTGTCAGGAGGAATGGGCCAAAATTCACCCAACTTATTGTGGGAAGCTTGTGGAAGGCTACCCGAAACGTTAGACCCATGTTAAACAATTTAAAGGCAATGCTACCAAATACTAATTGAGTGTATGTAAACTTCTGACACGTTAGACCCATGTTAAACAATTTAAAGGCAATGCTACCAAATACTAATTGAGTGTATGTAAACTTCTGACCCACTGGGAATGTGATGAAAGAAATAAAACCTAAAAGAAATCATTCGCTCTACTATTATTCTGACATTTCACATTCTTAAAATAAAGTGGTGATCCTAACTGACCTAAAACAGGGAATTTTTACTAGGATTAAAATGTCAGGAATTGTGAAAAACTTAGTTTAAATGTATTTGGCTAAGGTGTATGTAAACTTCCGACTTCAACTGTATGTATGTGTATATATAAAAAGTATTTAGTCAGCCACCAATTGTGCAAGTTCTCCCACTTAAAAAGATAAGAGAGGCCTGTCATTTTCATCATAGGTGCACGTCAACTATGACAGACAAAATGAGAAAAAAAAATCCAGAAAATCACATTGTAGGATTTTTAATGAATTTATTTGCAAATTATGGTGGAAAATAAGTATTTGGTCAATAACAAAAGTTTCTCAATACTTTGTTATATACCCTTTGTTGGCAATGACACAGGTCAAACGTTTTCTGTAAGTCTTCACAAGGTTCACACACACTGTTGCTGGTATTTTGGCACATTCCTCCATGCAGATCTCCACTAGAGCAGTGATGTTTTGGGGCTGTCGCTGGGCAACACAGACTTTCAACTCCCTCCAAAGATTTTCTATGGGGTTGAGATCTGGAGACTGGCTAGGCCACTCCAGGACCTTGAAATGCTTCTTACGAAGCCACTCCTTCGTTGCCCGGGCGGTGTGTTTGGGATCATTGTCATGCTGAAAGACCCAGCCACGTTTCATCTTCAATGCCCTTGCTGATGGAAGGAGGTTTTCACTCAAAATCTCACGATACATGGCCCCATTCATTCTTTCCTTTACACGTATCAGTCGTCCTGGTCCCTTTGCAGAAAAACAGCCCCAAAGCATGATGTTTCCACCCCCATGCTTCACAGTAGGTATGGTGTTCTTTGGATGCAACTCAGCATTCTTTGTCCTCCAAACACGACGAGTTGAGTTTTTACCAAAAAGTTCTATTTTGGTTTCATCTGACCATATGACATTCTCCCAATCCTCTTCTGGATCATCCAAATGCACTCTAGCAAACTTCAGACGGGCCTGGACATGTACTGGCTTAAGCAGGGGGACACGTCTGGCACTGCAGGATTTGAGTCCCTGGCGGCGTAGTGTGTTACTGATGGTAGGCTTTGTTACTTTGGTCCCAGCTCTCTGCAGGTAATTCACTAGGTCCCCCCGTGTGGTTCTGGGATTTTTGCTCACCGTTCTTGTGATCATTTTGACCCCACGGGGTGAGATCTTGCGTGGGAGCCCCAGATCGAGGGAGATTATCAGTGGTCTTGTATGTCTTCCATTTCCTAATAATTGCTCCCACAGTTGATTTCTTCAAACCAAGCTGCTTACCTATTGCAGATTCAGTCTTCCCAGCCTGGTGCAGGTCTACAATTTTGTTTCTGGTGTCCTTTGACAGCTCTTTGGTCTTGGCCATAGTGGAGTTTGGAGTGTGACTGTTTGAGGTTGTGGACAGGTGTCTTTTATACTGATAACAAGTTCAAACAGGTGCCATTAATACAGGTAACGAGTGGAGGACAGAGGAGCCTCTTAAAGAAGAAGTTACAGGTCTGTGAGAGCCAGAAATCTTGCTTGTTTGTAGGTGACCAAATACTTATTTTCCACCATAATTTGCAAATAAATTCATAAAAAATCCTACAATGTGATATTCTGGATTTGTTTTTGCCTTTTATTGTCCCCAGCACAAGGTGCACCTGTGTAATATCATGCTGTTTAATTAACTTATTGATATGTCACACCTGTCAGGTGGATGGAAATGCTCACTAAAAGGGATATAAACAAATTTGTGCACAACATTTTAGAGAAATAAGCTTTTTGTGCGTATGGAAAATTTCTGGGATCTTTTATTTCTGCTCATGAAACATGGGACCAACACTTTACATGTTGCGTTTATTTTTGTTCAGTATAGTATTTTACTGGGTGACTTTCACTTCAGTCATTTTCTATTAAGGTATCTTTACTTTTTCCACCACTGTTGTGTGCATATCAGTTGTACTACTATGCATACTACTAGGGACATCAAACGTTCAGCCTGCTGCACAGACCCTATGGACACTCTAGTCTAGAGCGCCTGGTTAAATTGTGCTTAGGTGCATTTTTTTTGTCTCCATGCTTAAAGTAGTAAGAAATGTATGTCATTGTTATAAAAACGTGAATGCTTCATTTACCATAAATCGAAATATTGACGTCTTGAATTATCTTATATTATGCAAATGTCCCTATGGTAGACAGGTTAACGTTTTCACAACACACAGAAAATACACATACTTTTCACCTCAGATTGGTGATGCTACTATAAAAGTTTATAGTCATCTCGATTACACAAAATTGATGGCTTAAAACAGATCAATATCTTTGGTTTTGTATCATAAATGTTGTTGTACGAGCTGAGGATCGCAGGACTTAGAACTCTGCTGTAATTTTCTAATTCAAATGGAATGAACAATTCAAGGCACTCTATATAAAAGTCGCTGGCCACACACTAATACATCGATTTGAGAGAAACTATCACTTAAATTACAGCCAACCCTTGTCAGTGTTGATATCCTAGGGCGGGTCGTGCTTTGTTGAAGTTAAATAACAAAGCAACTGATTTGTTTCCTTCCCTGTTTCGGCAGTCTCCCAAAATCTCCATCCACCATTCTAGAATTTAGATGACTGTCTTCAACAATTCTCAATTATCTTCTAACCGGTGATGTAAACATTATTCTCAGATTCCGTGTGGCCTTTGAATAGTGTTAGTTTTAACAGCGCATATACCCCAAACATTTGCCCCGTTCTATTGATTTCAACGTTGATCCACAACGGCAACATCCGGGACTAGCATTCCTA